TGACTCCTCTATGGATTCCTGTGGTTATTTTGGGCATAGAAATATCCACCCCCGAGAAGGGGTGGGATGGGAACCACCCCCAGGGCAAAAGCACACTTCGGCACTATATAAGTTTTGTTCCTTGAGGCATTCCCCACATTGTCAAAATTTCACGTCAATCGGTTCAGTTATAAAGAATTCGAAGTAAAAACCCTGAGTAACTGGACTATAGCTCTCTGCAGCTCTTCTGGCAAAGTTAGTCCAGCGTCTTGGGCCATTTCTCCTGGCATACATTTTCGGAATCTCCTCTTTCCTCTTCTTTCGATCAAAATATCCATGTTCTCACATTTTTCAGTTGCGTGGAAAATAGCTCTTTCCACTATTTTGATACGTTCGCTTTGAAGAAAAGTTTCTGGGCTTTGATTTTTATGACACACTTTTCCAGCGATAGCCTAGATGTTTGTATATACTTTTGTGGTTAACTTCTTCTAGGACTTCACACCAAAAAGAAAGGTAGCATAAAAAACTATAGTCACACAAAGTTGGTAAGAGTGTGAATGCTGCTTCTCTTAATAGCGCATATTTTCGAGTGCTTGCTGATACAAGTTTCTCAAAATTATCCTTCAGTGGTTTAAGAGCGTCGTGATGAGCACTCCATCCTGTCTCTACTAGTTTTTTGACCGATACTCCTACACGTTTCATTAGAATTTTCCATCGATGTGTGGATAATGAAAAGAACGTATAAATTCTTTCTACTGTTCCGAAAAAAGTTACACTTGAACTAATGCTCTCAAAAGAGTGCACTCAACACAGATTTAGTGAATGAATAGCACAAGGTATAAACAACGCTTTAGGATTGTTCTTTGATGAACCCCTGCTTCGGTTGCAGCGTTTTTATATCCTTGAGCCCAATATAGATGTATATCCAAGTTATCAGTTTCCAGCTGCGTAAGGATATTTTCAGTAAGTTTGACTGCAGTATGTCCAGCTGTAGGCAAGAAATCTAGAAATGATTCCTTCACTTCTATTTGATCGGCTTCAATATGAACATATCTGATCACCTAAACTCATCTGATCAACATGTCTGGAGTGCTATCGAAAATAATTCCAAAATATTTTTATGGAAAAGTGGTGTTTTGACTCGCGTAAAAAAACTATTATTCAAAGCGAAAAAAAGTTTATACAACAAAGGTAGGTATTAAATAAGCCTATAAATGAGACAAGTCCGATTAAATTCCGATAATTTGTTTATGCGCAAGAGCTCGAAAATGGTCGAAAATGGCCGTTTTTTCAATTGCTAATAATAATTAATGCAATTTTCATTGCAGACACTTGTAATTCAGGATTTTTGAGACTTTTTACACCCTTAATAAATGAGTGGTAAAAATTTCAACCCAAAAGCTTCATTGGTTTGGCGTTGGCGGAATTAGTTATCTAAGAAGATGCTATTTTCAATTCAATTTTCCCAAGCTCAAAGGCGTTCTATAGTTTGGATCATTAGTTGTTTTTGTACCTAAATAGTTATATTAACATATGCATTTACTGAGAATTTAATTTTTCAATTTAATTTGTTTAAAAATGACTGAAAAAATGTTAATATTTATTGAATTGTTAAGATAGGTAATTATTATAAAATGAAATAGTCTCCTTTGTAAAAAAAATATCTCGGCTTCTAATCAACTTAAAACAACGATTTGTTTTAAATTCGAAGAAAAATAGTACTAACTAAACTATAGACGTTACTATTTCATTTTATAATAATACCTATCTTAACAATTTTATAAATATTAACATTTTTTCAGTCATTTTAAACAAATTAAATTTGAAAAATTAAATAGTCAGTGAATGCATGTCAATAGAACTATTTAGGTACAAAAACAACTAATGATCGAAACTCTTTGAACAACGCCTTTGAGCTTGGGAAAAATCAATTGAAAACAGCATCTTCTTGGACAACAAACACCAAACTAATGAAGCTTTGGGGCTGAAATTTTTACCACTTATTAAGGGTGCAAAGACCTTCAAAAATCCTGAATTACAAGTGTGCGATGAAAATTGCATTAATTACACATTTGATCTAAGCGGGAAAACCGTAATCGGTATAGGCTACTAGGGGTTTTTGGGGTCGCTGATTACGATGAGAGGGTCAGTTAACCTCCATCACGTCAGGTTCAAGGTCATGGCATCTCATCCTATTTGCCATAGATTCATGGTCTTGGTCTTTTCTTCTTTTCCTAGGATATATCCATTTTGATAGTTTGGTTGTTTTCAACGGAAATTGTTTGTTATTTCTTTTACTAGTAGCTATATAGATGCCTCTTCTGCTAGTAAGCATGTAACCTCATACGAGATAGAACGGTAGCCACATATAACCCGCAGAAAATGTTCTTCGATATACTGATTTTACGGTATTATTGTCGGATCAGTGATATGTAACTGAATGAGCGCGATGATTCAAGCGAAAGTACTTTAGGTAGTTTTGTTACTTATCTGTGATATATGAGTGAGTTCCACATTTCGAGAGAAAGTGCGTGAAATGAGTATAAATCTTGTAGAACAGTTGCTTATATATGCAAATATATAGACACAAGTAAGAAGTAAGGGTTTATATAAAAAACATGAATAACAACTAAAAAATGTTATCGGTTAAAAATTTTCTTTTGAACTTGACCTTCAAATACCTTGACCTTGACCTTGTGGAGCTTAACTGATTTGGATTCTCCGACCTCAACAACATATCCATGATTTTTTTCAGACTTTTCCATGGCTTTTTCTGCATTTGACCTTCAAATGACCTTGACCTTGTGGAGCTTAGCTGACCTCAGATTTGGATTCTCCGACCTCAAAAACATATCCATGATTTTTTCAGACTTCCATGGCTTTTTTCTGCATTTGACCTTCAAATGACCTTGACCTTGTGGAGCTTAGCTGACCTCAAATTCGGATTGTCCGACCTCAAAAACATATCCATGATTTTTTTCAGATTTTTTCATGGCTTTTTCTGCATTTGACCTTCAAATGACCTTGAACCTGACCTTGTGGAGCTTAGCTGACCTCAGATTCGGATTGTCCGACCTCAAAAACATATCCATGATTTTTTCAGATTTTTTCATGGCTTTTTCTGCATTTGACCTTCAAATGACCTTGACCTTGTGGAGCTTAGCTGACCTCAGATTCGGATTGTCCTACCTCAAAAACATATCCATGATTTTTTTCAGATTTTTTCATGGCTTTTTCTGCATTTTACCTTCAAATGACCTTGAACCTAACGTGATAGAGGTTAAGTGACCCTCTCATCGTAATCAGCGACCCCAAAGACCCCCAGTAGCCTAACCGATTACGGTGTTCCCGCTTAGATCAAATGTTGACCTGTGTTATTAACAACTGAAAAAAACGACCATTTTCGACCATTTTTAAGCTCTTGCACATAAACAAATTATCGGAATTTAATCGGACTTGTCTTATTTTACAGTTTTTCTACCTTTTTTGTATAAACCTTTTTCCCTATGGATAACAGTTTCTTTACACGAGTCACAAAACCACTTTTCCATAACTTTGACCATTATTTTAACAAAGTTTCCCAACTAGTCTGGAGTTGATTTTTTGATATTTTGTTTGTAACACGTTTCTGAACAATATTCCGCAAAAAAACTTCTAATAGTATTTTTTCCCGAAAAAAAGCTATAATGACTGGCCTATTTTGGCACTGGGTCATATTTCCACAATAGATTAACTAATTCTAAGGAATTCCCTCTATTCCCTCTGTTGTTTGATGGCTATGCCCTTTAAGAAGATTTTGGCGTGCCAGGAAATGAATAACATTTGACAGGCGACTCAAAATATCACACCACTTCTTTTTTTCTTGGTCAAAGGCCATTTGACGTTCATGGTTGATGTTTTTTTGCAGTTTCAATCCATTTTCAAAGATTTCCCATTTTTCTAAATAATATTTGACTTTAAGTTTCTCGCAAGGAAGTTTTGTGTTAAATTGGCAAAGATGGTTGACGGTTATAAACAATAACACTGACTGACTGTGATTGTCTGACGCATGACGTGGCACGGTGGTGGTGAAGGCTTTATTCCGCCACTGTACAGGGTGTGCCACCACGAATTCTATCGATGGATATCTGGGAAACCGTTCGAAGGATTTTTTTGAAATTGTGATAGAGTGATACGGACTGTGGGGCCTACCAAGCTAAAATATTTTCAAGGTCATCGTACTTCCGGTTATACTGGAAGTCGATTCCAATTTTCTTATATTAAATGGAACCCCCTATATATTATTGCATTTTTGAAAAGAGCATCTATTTTTAAGCTGAAAACATATAGCACACTCCATACTTAGGATTGACAGTTTCCGAGATATTTTGATTTTTAAGCAAAAATTGACAGATGCAGACTGTCAGCAAAATTTAATTTTCCCTCAAACATAGGTTTATTTTTTTGTGAACATTGGACATTTTTTAGAGGAAGACCTAATTTATCGAATTTGACATGAAAATTTTCCAGTTTTTGTACAGGGTGGACAATTTTTTTTTATTGAAAATGAGGTTCAGAAAATGTGGAAAACTCGAAATTTTTAAATGGAAACCCCTAATTTCTTTAACGTATTCCCATTTTGCACTAAAATTAAGTGTAACTTTGTTAAAGTCTCCCTAAACTTAAACTCAGTGGTTTTCATTTTATTTACGAAAAAACATTTCCCTTTTCTTAAAATGATGTTTCCATTTGTTTCGCACATTTTAGGTTGGCCGTGACAGGTAACATGACAACTGTCACAGGTTTTTAATTGTCAAATTTAGTTTAATAAATTCGAGGTGGGACACCCTGTTTACAAATGCTATATTCAAAATGTTGGCACTACTTAGTTTGATTTGAATGTTCGATCAGTGCATTTAATTCCTAATCAAATTAATAAGAAAATAGTCTTCCCTCATTTTATTCTAAGACAAAACCTTTTACAACTAAATTTATAAAATGTGGACTAATATCTACAATTTATTCACTGATCTACTTTCTAGATGGAAAAATTAGAATTTGTTAAACAAAAAATTACTGAATACCATGAAATTGCCAGAGAACTCGTTTCTAACGCTTGCCACGGATCATTACTTGCCAAAAATTTTGTTTTGGATGAAAGGATTGTAACAGATACTAAAGGTAAAATAAAATTCCTAAAACTAATAAAAAAGGATAAAAAATGAGTATTTTTCAGATAAGAAAAAGAAACAGAAACCGTCCTACATAGAGCAGGCAAGCAAAAAGAAATTTTGCCAGCGTTTGGCCAGGTTTGCGCCATACTTGTAAGAAATATACAAGAATGCTGAATTCTTTAACTTTTTTTTTAGCTTTATTATGCTGGTAGACTACATGACAATAAATATGTTGCACAAGCTGATAACCAATACGATAAGTGAAATAAATGAGGTATTTGAGCAGCATACTCTCTATCTGCCTAAACTGGATGGAGATGACGAGGAGGAATTGAATAAACCGCGTCCTGAAAACGCGCCACAGGTATAATAAGACCAATATTTTATTAAACGATATTCTCATTAGACCGATCGAAATAACTCATTTAGAGGGAAAAAAAGAAAATTGTTACCTGGACTTTTATAACTGGAAATGGTAAAGGGGCTTATAATATATAATAAACTTAAAAAAAAATAAATGCGTGATCAGGGGTGGCGGGGGGTTGATTTGGGAAGTTGGAAAGTTATGAAAAATTGTATCATTGGGATTTTTGGCGAAAGCTGAGGTCAATCAAAAAAGTATCCAATACACAAGTTGTAGACCATGCAAAAATCTACAACTTTTGTAGAGGTTACTTCTTAACATAACCTCAAAATTTCCGAGAAAAATACGAAAAACTGCTTTTTTTCTGATTTTTCGTTTTTTATTTCTCATTTCCGCAAAAATAGTTTAATTTTAACGAAACTTGGTGAAAATATATCTTTCTGTGTTTTAAATAACCACAAATTTTATAGATAAAAAAATCAAGAAGTTTCTGAGATATTAATTTTTTTCGGCCTGGAATATTTTTTTTTCAAATAAAAATTCTATTAGAAAAATCATCGTACAGAGTTCTGCCGGTGATCATTTTTTTCGTTTTGATATATACTTTTTGGCGAAATAAAAAAATCTATTCAAAAACATGCTCAAAAATGCAAAAGAATTAAAAAATGACGCAACAATGAATTTTCCAGTAATTGTCGATAATTCGTTTAAATTAAAAAACATTCAAAAACTGATTAAGTACACCATTAAATTCTACAGAAAAAAAAATACAAAAAAAGTGTCTCATTGTTTGACCCAAAACTTTATTTTTGTAAAGTATTGCTATAAACATAAGTCGAATAGTGAATAAATAAAATAAACAATATTTTTTTGTGTAGGATCGATTAGTGTACTTATTTTTTTTTTGATGAATTCATAGAAATACAGTGTGTCCAAGATAAGGCTAAGATAGCATTAGAAAAAAGTAGATTTTTTATACCTAACAATATGCCGTTTAGAAAGTTTTAAAATTCCGGGTAGTTCCGGATATATCCGGAAAAACACGAAATTTTGCAAAATTGTTTAATTTTTTTCTGGGCTTATTTGAAAACGAATTTTAAAATAAATTACATATTTACAATGCCGCTTTTTTCGCTCTATACAATGGCGTCAACATTTTTACAGTCCGACGTTTTGTCTTTGAGGGGTCATTATCGAGTTAATTTTTTTTAAATACGTCGTTGCTATTTTTATGACAAAATCTAGTCATTTTTAATTCTCAATTAGAAGATATTACTGTTGTAATCGCTTAAAAAGTTTTTAGCTTGTTTTAGCTATCATTTAAAATTTTTCATAACAATATAAAAGTCCATACCGCACAAAATATCCAACAATTTTTTTTACTATCATTAGCAATACTAATTAGAAATAATAAAATATATGAAATATTTTAATTCGTATTAATTTTTTTAATTAGTACAATTTTTTAAATATTGATTAAAAAAAATTGTTGAATATTTTGTGCTGTATTAACTTTTATACTGTTATGACATCCTCCAATAGATATTTTGAAAGCGTTCAGGGCCGTACTCAGGAAAAATTTAAAATGATAGCTAAAAATCTTTTTACTATTACAATAGTAATATCATCTAATTCAGAATTAAAAATGGCTTTAGATTTTGTCATAAAAATAGCAGCGCCATATTTAAAAAAATAATCTGATGATGGCCCCTCGAAGACGAAACGTCGGATTGTAAAAATGTTGACGCCATTAGATAGTGGTAGTTATAGTAGTAGTGATAGAGGTAGTAGAAAATATTGGCAATGTAAATATGCAATTTATTTTAAAATTCGTTTTCAAATGAAGCCAGAAAAAAAAACGATTTTGCAAAATTTCAGGTTTCCGGATTTAGCGTCAACAGTAGACTTTGCAGTTAATACTTTGTATTGCAGAAATATCAAATTATCCAGAGATAATTTATCACTTGTGCATTTGCAATTCGACTTAAGATGTTTATAGCAATACTGTACAAAAATAAAGTTTTGGGTCAAACAATGAGAGTTTTTTTTTCGTAGAAATGAATGGTGTAATCAGTTTTGAATGTTTTTTAATTTAAACAAATTATCAACAATTACTGAAAAATTAATTGTTGCAAGTCATTTTATAATTTATTTGCATTTTTGAGCATGTTTTTGAAATGTGTTTACAGATTTTTTTATTTCGCCAAAAAGTGTATGTCAAAACGAAAAAAATGATTACCGGCAGAACTCTTATTTTATTTGAAAAAAAAAAAAGTGTTTCAGGCCGAAAAAATTTGTGGTTATTTAAGACACAGAAAGTTATGCTTTTACCAAGTTTCGTTAAAATTAAATTATTTTTAAGGAAATGAGAAATAAAAAAACAAAAAATCAGAAAAAAACTGTTTTTCGCATTTTTCTCGGAAATTTTGAGGTTATGTTAAAAAGTGACCTCTACAAAAGTTGTAGATTTTTGCATGATCTACAACTTTTGTACCGGATACCTACTTTTTTGTTTGGCATCAACTTTCGCCAGAAATCCCAATGATACAATTTTTCATAACTTTTCAAGCCCCAAATCAACCCTCCGCCACCCCTGCTCACGCATTTTTTTTATGTTTATTATAAGCCCTTTTACCATTTCCACTCATAAAAGTCTAGGTAACAATTTTTTTCTTCAAGTGTAATTTGGTTGGACTACATTCCAAAGACGTCATTTATATTTCCATAAATTTCAGTTGCCAATGTTTACCATACATGTTGTACTGGAACCTGAAGAATTAAAACTGGATCCTTCGTTCGAAGTTGCTAGTTACATGTTTAACCACATGTTTAAGTTATGGGAAGATCATTCCAAAGCGATCAAATCACTTGTCGCAGACCCGTATTATGCCCCTTTTACCACGTGAGTAATGGAGGTGTTACATATTTGACTTATTTAAAAAATAATGTGTGCTCGATTTAGTCCCATAATTAACAAGAAAGTGGAGGACAGAATTTGTGGATGGGGGCCTACACTGGAGTTCTACTTGACGCACGACGAAGATTTAGTTGCAGAAAAAGCTAAACTCATTGAATACTTGGAAATAAATTATAAAGCCGCTTCTAAATTCATACACAGATTCGAAGACATACAAAAATTCTATGCTGAAGACCTCGAAGTAGCCGAAGAACAAGTAAAGAACGAGAGAGGTAATACAAAAAGATGACATTTATTTGCATCTCTAATTCATTTTCTTTTAGATCTTGAAAAATTTAGAACAATGTGCATAAGGTACCATCATGAAATAACCGAAATAGAGAAAATAGCAAATACTCAGTGTATGGGGATACTATATCTGCAATTGTCGAGTCTCAAAGAAATGGCTTTGCCAGAACCTAAACGATTGCTTACTATTCTAGAAGAGGTCATACCATGGTAATTTACATTTTATATTAAAATTAAAATTGAATTTTAACTAAATTAAATTAAATTTATATTTCTTATACATATAATTTGACTCAACAAAAAAATAATTATAGGGTTAAAAAGTTTTTTTTAACTTGAAATAACAAAATACAGTAAATTTTTTTTAAATTCAGAAGCTGTCATGTCTTATGATGTCTCACTGTACCAACATGAATAAGAATTATTCTCCTAAACAGTTAAAATCCTTGCAGACATTTAACTGTTAACTTCTTTATAATTAATTAATGAATCTACCTAATATTGAATTCAACCGTACTTTAACGTAAAGAAAATATTGAGTAAATTTCTATTATACAGGGGTTTCTTAAATAGAGGTAAAAAATCCAGCGACGTATTCTGTGGCCAAAAATAAGGGTTATTTGTTACACAGGGTGTCCCACCACGAACTCCATCGATGGATATATGGGAAATCTCTTGAAGGATTTTTTTGAATGGTGTTACGGATCGTAACTTAGCCGTACGATTCATGAAAAAAAATAACAGGTGGATAATCTCATAACAACCTGAGATATAAATGTTTTTTAGTTTTTCTACCCCTATTTTAGGGATAGGAAATGAAAGTGATGAAAAGTGAAATTTATGAAAAGAAAAAAATCGTGTAGGTAGTACTGATTTCCATTCCAGATACATATTATGAATACTCAAATTGATCCAAACCCGATAAATAATACAAGAATGGATCATAATAATTTTCAAAAGTGCTCGTTTTCATGTTTAGGTTCATGGAAATATTCCATTATTTGAGACTTTGTGTCCTCGATATTTCGAAAATTGTTCATTTCCGGATTTTGGGCCTACGAACACTTTTGATCGGGAGGGTGTTAAATACAACATATTAAAAATTCAGACGAATCGACCGGGAATTCAAACCCATACGGTTTGTACGGGGTCCTTTGAGTGCCAAAAAGTTTCATCATCTCAATGTCAACTTTAGGGAGATTGTTAGAATCGCCACGAACATAATCTTTCTCCATTTTCCACAAATGCAATAAAATAAATAGCCGTTACAACAATAAGCATGAGCAAACAAAGCCGGTCAAGTGTACCTACTAATGCACTTATCTCTGGTTAATACAAGTGATCGTCTGCGGTGCTCGCTCAGCCTTCCTGACATATGACATCACACAATATTCGGGCAACGCGCAAGCTTTGGGAAAATAAGAAATTAAATATTTCCGTCATTTTTGGAGATATTGCTTCATTTTTTCCACTTTCATCAAGTTAACGAATAGAGTACTAAGTGACATGGAACTCTACAACATTTTCTGTCTAAGGAAACTTCCTAATTGTTGACGAGCAGGATATTCTTGCGGCAGTAAGGCTCGAGCCCTTTATATGTGATACCGGTATAACTTTATGCTTCAGAGCAGATCAAACTAATTTATGATTCACATAAAAATTTGCAGCGATCTTCTAATACTTAAAGACGTTGGAAAACATTTCTGAACATAATCTTGGATTTAGTGTTGGATGATTTGGAAACCTTTCCATATAAATTCGCCTAGCCTCAGTACCATTTCCATCCGCAAGGCTATAAATGTAAACCATATTGGTCATTTCAGCTTTTGAATATGCATAAGCCATTATTAAAATTTGATCTTTTTAGAAAATAAGCTTCAATAATTTGACAATACACAATATTAAAAAAGATGACGGCTTCTTATTATTTCTTTGCATGGATGCTCTAAGATATGTTTAAATAATTTAAGTAACTGTAAAAATGCACTTTATCAAATAAATCAATTTTGTTGTTAAGTAATCGGTTTGGAATGCATAAAAGTGTGAAGAAACAAAAAGTGAAGATATAGACGAACGGTCCACCCCTAAAAAGATGCTTAGAAAATCAAGGTCACCGACCACGAGGAGAGGCCAGGATGAAACCTTTTGTAATCGATGCATTGAGTTATTGCGAACAAAAAACCTAAGTAACATCTTTGTGTCCGAGTGGCAGGTAATTTGTTATTAACAAAAAAGTTGCAAAATAAAAATATTGCAAAAAAACGCTCTGCAAACAATTTTCTGAGGTAAATTGGGCAAAAATAAACACTTTTTGTCTCTAGACATTTTTTCGTAGAACACTTCATTTTCGAGCTAGGGGCGATTTAATGTCCAAAAATGGCTAAAAGTTGCCAACTTTAAAAATTCATATATCAGCTCCTACCACAGCTTTCGGAACGTTCAAAAGCGCAAAATGATCCTCGAGACTTATACTTTATTGTAGTATTGAAGGTAATTTGTTTGGGAATGGGGTCAGTTTTTAAAAAAAAACAGTTTATTGGTTAGTCGACGTTTCGGCTATATTTAAGCCTTCTTCAGGACACTAAAATAATTACAATAAATAACCATACACATCATTATACATATTGACTATTAGGATTAAAACAGATTAAAATTCAATAATATTACAATTATGAAGGATCAAGAACCAATCACAAGGAAACGTTTACGAAAATATAATAATAAATTTATCCGGTACTTACATCCAAAAAAGGTTTTCCGTGTAACAAATAATCTAAATAATGGGGAGTAAAATAGATAGTATGTTGATGTATCAAAATAGTACATTACTCGATGTTGATTAAAATGTCTATGAATGAAACATATTGGAGGATTTAAGTGTGGAACAGAAAAAAGGGGGGCAAGACAAAAAACCATTCAAAGAAATTGAAATGTGTATAAAACCAGAGCTATATTGTTGTTAAATGTCTGTGTCTCTTACTTCTGTCTATAAGATTAAAATACGATGTTTGTAAATTATCTATTTCACTGCGTTTGTTGACAGAGTTTTCTCGTTTTATATTAATCATTTCACTTAATAATCTCTTTTTCAAAATTGTCTGTTTATCAATGATTCGTGTAGAATCAAAATCAAAGGTATGTAATGTAGACAAACTGTGTCCCGCAAGAGCAGTTAAATTTTGTTTGCGTTTTAAGGGATTAAAAACATTGATTACATCCCTCTTATGTTCTGTTATCCTTGTTCCCAAATAACGACCCGTTTGGCCTATGTAGCACTTNTATGACCGGGATTTTCTGTGATTGTACTGGGAATTAGCTGTATGGTCCCGGATTTCGGATTTGCACGTATAACTCCCGGAATATAACATAATGTACATATATATATATATTGTATTGTTATTTTTTATTAGTCGTGTTATTTAATTGTTTATATAATTTATGTTTATGTATCTTTGGATATCTCAACTTGTCAAATGGGAATATCTACTTACCTTCAATTGCCTAAGACAGTAGACACTATTCTCAGTGAAATTTATATTTCTCTTTATCACAATAAATTATTCTTGAATATAATTTTGGTTAATATGAATATCTAGTTATTTTTTTAANTAATTATTTTAGTGTCCTGAAATGCCGAAACGTCGACTAACCAATAAACTGTTTTTTTTTTAAACTGACCCCATTCCCAAACAAATTACCTTCAATTTAATCACTGGGTCATGAAAATACTCTAAAATTAATGTAGTATTTTTTTAAACCCGCCCCTTTTTTTAACCCGTTAAATTTGCAGTTGAATTTCGGCCGTTAGTGCCCACACGCCACCCCTACGTATCGCTATACAGATATAGATATAGTGCTGTAGTGCATATAATCGCTATTAATTCATTACTTGTTACAATTTTTACTATTTATTATTTCTATCACTCATACATATTTTCAAATTTATCAAATATTGTATATCATATAATTATTTATAAGATTAATAATATGAATATCATATTTAAATGGAAAATAATATGTATTACGTTACAAATATATTGATTTATATTTATAACTGTATCTTCATTAATGTAGCTTCAATAATAATAACTATATATAACTATATTTATATCAAAAAATTATTTAGAACTAGAATATAAAATGTTATAAAAGAATACGCATAGATAGTCAACCAAAATATTAACTAACCGAGTTTTCGCGAACGTGCGCTTATGCGAATTACTTGTTATAACTTGTTTAAACAAGCGCAATGGATTAGACTGNTTGTGATTAAAGTATAATTCAAATAATATTTATTGTTTAAAATATAAGCAAATGAGAAATTAACTCATTATATTACTAATTTTCGACATATTTTGAAAATAATTGTTGTTTAAACAATTTTAGAATATTTAAATAAATTTGTTTTTGATCTTTGATAAACAGTATATAAGTTTATGCACTTACAATAAAAAAATAAAGTTGATAATTAAAGAAAGTGTAAAGATAAATAATTATCGGACTGTTGAAAGATCAATAATTATTAACGATACACGTTTTAAAGTAGGTTGCCAATGAAGAAAAGTATTGCAAACTTAGACCTGGTAAGACCTCGGAATATCGAAGGTATTTTTCGAAAAATTAGCCCGGATGTTCCAGTACATTTAGTGTAAATGACGGTTAACTTTAATCGGCTATAACTACGTAATTAATTGACCAATTGATCTGTTTTTTTTTTATAAATGCATTGTTCCTTGAAATTCAAGTGCCAGGAAAGCAAGTGACCTTGAAAATTTTAAAATTTTTCGCCCGCGGCGCCATTTAGAGGCTCCAGGCACTTAATATCCCGGATTTCAATTCAACAAATGTAACAACCCTAAGCAGAACACATTCAATCAATGTTCACGCGCCGCCACTGTGTATAAATATAGTAACATAACACCAAATTGAAACCTGTTGTTTCTTTAACGCATTTATGAATTTTTCAATTTTTGAAGAAGAAAAATTATATATTTTAGGATCGGAAAAGAAAAAGTGGTAAAATTGGTTAACGAGGTTGACGAAACACAAAAATTTTTGTTGCAAAGCCCAGAAGAAACGGAAGAATACGTGAAGTATTTAGAATACATAGAACAGTCCACATCAAAGGTGGATGAGATGGAGGTGGAGCTGGACTACTGTAAGGAACTGTACGATATTATTGAAGAATTCAAAATAAGTGTAGCTTATGAAGACCTGCAAAACTATCTAAGCTTAAGTGTAACGTTGGGCAACTTACGAAATCTTGTGGACAAGAAGATTGAAGAGACAACGAAAATCGTTGAAGAGTTCAATTCTCAGATGAATAGAGACATAAGCGCACTGATTTCTGAAGTTGGTGTGATAAAAGATGAGTGTATGGTAAGTTCAAACAAGCTTATCTACTTTCTTCCCCATTTTATATAGACTAGGCAGTATCAGTTTTGGTTTGGGTGAATCATATACCCACGGAGATTTTTGGCTTTTTGACTTTCAAATATCACTAGAAATGAAAAATTATTTTTTAGGGAATTTTTTTGGGGTCTTTAAATTGGGTATAGGACCTTCACACTTGGCTCAAGAAAACTTTATGTTATTTAGAATCATCACACCAAAATTCATCAAAATCGGTTTTATAGATTTTGCATAATAATTTTGCAATCCAGATTTTGAAAAAAAAGAAATTGTAAATTTTCAAAATTTTGCACAGCAAAAACCAATGTCCTTAAATACTTAAAAATTTAATCACATATAGAAGGGCTCTCAAGCTTTTTGAAAAATTCGAATTCATCAATTAGGAGAGCTCTGGCGCATATTTAAACATTGGTCGAATTTTTGTACATTTCTTAAATCCTGATTTATTAATGCAATTAAGTATGAATAAAATATTATTGATTTTTTATAATTAATTTATTAATTTAGTCATCATTTCTTTTGTGATTAAAGTATAATTCAAATATTATTTATTGTTTAAAATATAAGCAAATGAGAAATTAACTGACTATATTACTAATTTTCGACATATTTTGAAAGTAATTATTGTTGTTTAAACAATTTTAGAATATTTAAATAAATTTGTTTTTGATCTTTGATAAACAGTATGCACTTACAATAAAAAAATAAAGTTGATAATTAAAGGAAGTTTAAAGATAAATAATTATCGGACTGTTGAAAGATCAATAATTATTAACGATAGGCATTTGAAAAAATCATCAAAATCGGACCTCTAGAAGCTGATATTAAAAATTTTTAAGCGCGTCGTGGTTTTAAACTCGCCGATTCAATTTCGAGCAGGCCGAAGCGGCCGCGCTCTCTGCTTCCCCCACCACCACCACCCGTACGATTTGCTTGAATTTCTCATTTGCATAAATAACTTTAAACACGTTTTAAAGTAGATTGCCAATGAAGAAAAGTATTGCAAACTTAGACCTGGTAAGTACTCGGAATACCAAAGGTATTTTTCGAAAAATTAGCCCGGATATTCCAGTACATTTAGTGTAAATGACGGTTAACTTTAATCGGCTATAACTACGTAATTAATTGACCAATTGATCTGTTTTTTTTTAAAGAAGCGTCTTTCCAATAACTTTTAAAACCTGCTTTAAAAAATTTGATTTGATAGAATATTCACAGTTATTCTAATTGTTTGTAAGTACAAAAATTCGACCAATGTTTAAACAAGCGTCAGAGCTCTCCTAATTGAGGATTCGAATTTTTCAAAAAGCGTTTGAAAGCTTGAGAGCCCTTGTATATGTGATTAAATTTTCAAGTATCTAAGGGCCTTAGTTTGTGCTGTGCAAAACTTTGAAAATTTGCAATTTTTTTTTAAATTTGAATTGCAAACTTATGTAAAATCTATTGAACCGATTTTGATGAAATTTGGTGTGATGATTCTACATAACATGAAATTTTCTTGAGCCAAGTATAAAGGTCCTATACCCAATTTAAAGACCCCAAAAAAATTCCCTAAAAAGTAATGTTTTTTAACCCTATTTTTGGCGATTTCTTCGATTTTTACAATAATAATCATGATTCATTCGATTTGTAACTAGTCATATTTTGTAAAAAATTTAATTACAAACAGTTTTTTCCTCTTCCATTTTCGCCTAAAATCAACTCTTGAAAAGAAACATAATTAAATAGGAAGAAAAATATGACATTTTTCCAATTTTTTTAACATATTGTGCCGCCAAAAGTTAAACCCACGTTTTTTTTTATGCCATAGAAAAATTATCATTTCTAGTGATATTTGAAAGCCAAAAAGCCAAAAATCTCCGTGGATATATGATTCACCCAAATATGGACTTTCTGAAACAGATACCGTCTGGACTAATAATCCAAATTTTATTCTAGCAACCTTGGCTATATGATATAGACTCCAATATAGTTGAAGTGATGGAATTGTTAACGGACTTGTACGATCGACTAGCAGCCTGTCAGCAAAGAGCTGCTGAATTCAAGAACTATCAAAAACAATTCAGAGTAAATTTACATCACACGCAATCAATATATAGATATAAATTAATTTTTCTATGTTACAGTTGGAAGTTACTCGCTTTGATATCCTGGACGAGGTAATGAGCGATGTCAAACTTAGAATACTTTTGTGGGAGAGCGTTGACTCTTGGGCTAAAAGCGTGGATGAATGGTACCACAATGAGTTCTCTACTCTCAACGTAGAAGATATGAACTTGTTTACTGCAAAGAATATGAAAAACATAAACCAGCTAGATAAGGGATTGCCAAGCAATTTAATTGTGCCAAAACTAAGGGATGAAGTTGAGCTTATGAAAGATAAGGTACATTTAATTGTCACTGAAGTTGGGAAAAGAGAGTTGCATATTTATAATATGCAATGTGTTTTAGATGCCCGTTATAACATATTTGAGGAACCCATCGCTTAAACAGAGGCATTGGGTGCAAGTGGAGAACGTGTTAAACTTTAAATTTAAAGCTGATCAAGTAATAACTCTTGAGCTTTTGGAGAATTTGAACGTTTTTAGTTATCCGAACGAGCTCATGGAAATATCCGGTCAAGCTAGCAGTGAAGCTGGATTAGAAATGCTGCTCAGAAGAGTAAGTAATACTTCTAAATACAGGGTGGTCCCGAAATATTGCGATTTAGCGGAACTTACCTTAGTCCAAAAGTTAATAGTTAAAGAGGTACATGGTTTCGAAGGGCCACAGGGTCATTTATTTCTTGATAAATGCAAATATTCACACAAAACTTTGGGGTTTGGGGTTCTTTGGGCCGTGGAATTGCAATGTGTACACATTTTAGTAATAGTTGATAGAGGGCGCTAGCGTAGATTGAATGTGTTAAAAGCGACTTCACTTTTTTATATATGGGGTGTTCGGAAATAGCGGTACTTCACTTTGTCGACTCAAAATAAGACAAAAATTTCATATAAACTTGGGGCCGCAAATCCACCCTGCGGGAGGTAGACGCGTTTAAAGATGACTTTAAATAGATGGGTTTTTGCCAATAACTTTTAACTGCTTTGAAGGAGAGGGATAAGTTTTGGACGATAAGTTACTACTAAGAAACACGATTATTTGAGGGTATTAGTTGACCCATGGGGTGCAAACCGGGGGGTATGACCACATTTTTATCAAAAAAAAAATTGTTGGAACCGCTGAAATACATGTATTTTATCGCTGCGAGTACTTACAAAAAATTCTGTAACACTTTTTACGAGTTTGTAAGATTTCTTACATTTATGAAGCCGGACTGCATTCGAAAGTCAGTATGTAATACATTGTTGTAGTGATTGCTGTGCTGTTTTTCGAGAGTACATTTAATATTTCCAAGTTTTCTTTTGAAAATGACCCGTTTATTTAGCAATCGCGAATATTATGACATGCGCATAATTTATGGCGAAGCACAAAAATGCCCACACAGCTTGTCAAGTGTACCGTGCACGATGTCCTGAACGACGTGCCCCCACACCACGAACATTTGTTGCTGTAACACAAAGAGTTTTGAACACCGGTGAAGCACAACCGTGTCGAGGTCGCGGCGGTGGCCCAGGGCGACCACTAAGAATCTTAAATGTCGAGGAAATATTTCGCATCCTGTTATGTTTGATCCAGGTTATAACCCATGGCGTGCAAACCGGGGAGGGGGGGGGAGGGTTTGGTATGATCACATTTTTATATTTTTATCAAAAAAAACTTGTACTACCAAATAATTCTTTATTTGCACTTTAGTAGTAACTTATCACCCAAAATATATCCCTCCCCTTCAAAGCAGTTAAAAATTATAGGCAAAAACCCATTTATTTAAAGTCATCTTCAAACGCGTCCACCTCCCGTAGGGTGGATCCGCAAATCCATGTTTATATGAAATTTTTGTCTTATTTTGAGTCGACAAATCTACCCCCAAAGTGAAGTACCACTATTTTCGAACACCCAGTATAAGGTAGATATCTCATTTTTGCTACCAAATTCTTATCTTTCAACTTTTTTTACACAAAAAAGTATACATACTTTATGAAAGTAGCTGACTCGCACCGTTTTTGAGATATTTGAAATTAGCAATGCTAATAATTAAAATAATTTAAAATTGTCAGAAACAAGGGATTATTTAGAATTAAAAATTGTAATGAACAGTAAAATAATAAACATTAGTAAAATCATATGTCTTTTTTACAGTAATTGCTCAAAATGTCCACCTCTAACTTCAATACATTTATCGATGCGTTTATTAAAAGATTTTCTTATTTTAAAGTATAAATCCTTATCGCGAAATGATTCCCTGTCATTTAAAACCTGCTGCCAAAATTCTTCCAGGGTGTTTATAGTTTCCTCATAAACAACTGATTTCATATGTAACCCCAAAAACAAAAACTCATGGGATTAAAATCAGGGCTGCGAGGAGGTCATGACATTCAACTCCCACGCCCTATCCAACGATCCGGAAAAGTTGTATGAAGTAGAGATTCTGCCATAAATTTAATAGTAAATCATTCAGGTAATTAACTAAATGGTGCTGCAGGAAATCTAAATACAAGTCGCCGTTCAAATTCGGAGGAAGTTCATGTGGACCCAAGTGGTTCCCTATAATTCCACACCAATCATTTATCTTGGAGTCTCGTTGGAACTAACACTCAGTTACTATGTAAGGATTTTCATTATCCCATATGTGTTTGTTTCTAAAATTGAAAACTCCCCGACGAGTAAAAGTGGCTTCATCGGTAAATAGCACATTATTTAAAATTGATGGTCAAGGTTTTGCCGAGTGCGCATAAAATGCGCAAACTGTAATCTACCTAGGAGGTCTGCTGGTATAGTTATTACGTCAATTGGAACCTGTAAATCTTAAAGCATGGACCGTATGCACTTCTCATGAAATTTCTTCCTATGCTTTGACCATGATGTGTCTCGTAATTTATACTCGAATAGCAATTCGGCGAGTTCGGTATTGGTAAAGTAGTCCGCCTGATGTAGAATTGACGGCGGCGCGCTGGTCATCAAAGCAAACCTGTATTGGTCCACTAGGTCGTAAATAATTTTTTTATATGGTACACGGATTCACTTAGATTTGCCGATTTGCCAGTGCCGTGCAGAGCATTGCTTGGCGGGGTATGTTGTCGGTATAATACGTATTATTATTATTTGATTTAATATTTGATATTATTTGTTCATATCGTAACCAGTAAAGGCAGTAAGAGTTATTAAAATAAATGTTATATGTAATTATCTATTAATTTAGCATGACACTTTGGAGACTCTTTGAAGCGGAGGATAACGAAATAACTCGGGAAAATCTCTAAATAGTGGAACCGGTTTTTGTCGAAAGTATCGAAACAAACTCAGAGTTTAAAAACAAAGATTTACACGTAAAAAGTCAACGTATTATATTAAATATATATGAATTTTTGAAAATTGAAAATAATGAACAGTGATAAAAAAGTTAGAAAACGCATTAACGAATTAACTAAGATGTCAAAAACGACAATTTATCCCGTAATTAAAGAAGGATTGATCACGGTACAAAAAGGAAATGGAAAAATACAAAATTAAAGAAAATTGACGATTTTACCAGATGTAATGCGGCGCACAATTTATAATATGTATAAAGAATAAAGTTCCTACTTTAAACGTGATTCGAGATAAATTAAGATATTATCCTGATTATAATTATAAATCTTTAGATATTTTACGACATGCTTTGTTACAATGCGATTTTAAACATAAAAAACTTGACAATCGTATGGTAATTATATGGTAATATAGCTCGGAATATAGCATATCTAGACGAGACAGGGCAAAATTTTTCTGAACGTCAATGGATTCCGTAGAATTTATGAGTTAAATGTTTTTATGCGGTTCCAATTGAGATCGAAATAACTATAAAAGATTTTGGACTGGTGTAAAATGGTAGGGATACAACTTTTCCTTATGAAAGATTTTTTGGACTGTTGTTTTACTTACATCGGACGTTCTAGCTATTTGCCTACTACCAACTCTGGATTTTCTGCCACCAAAGTTTTCTTCTTCTTGGTCTACTGTAATAGTGCGCCTGATGTGTCCCACATTGTCCCTTTTAGAACGAAAAGTATTAGTCTCTCTAAGTCAAATAAAAAGGTCTTGAAATAACTTTCGATTTAGCTGACTTCTATTTGGATATATAACTAAATATCGACGATGCACTCTACGCCCAACAAAATCTGTTTGCACATAAACGCAGACCATATTGCGCATTTCTTCATTTGAAAATAAATTATGTCTAGGCATTTTATCGCACTTTTATGTACATACAATTTGAATTGTAAGCTTATATGTAATTTTAATTGGGTACGAATAATAGGTACTGAATGGAAAATAGCATACAATAATGACAGGTGGAAAAAGTAAATTATTTGATTTCTGTCGAAAATCTACTTAAGAAACTTTATCGCTAAATTAATAATAGGTACTTAATTATAAGTTAACGCAACAGGATTGGAAGTTTTAAAGTCAAATATCTTCAAAATGGTGCGAGATAGCTACTTTCATAATGTAAGTATACCTTTTTCGCGTAAAAAAAATTGGAAAATAAGAATTTGATACCAAAGATGAAATATGAGATATCTAGTATAAAAAAGTTGTCGTTTTTTTACACATCCAATCTTATGCAGCTAGCGCCCTCTATGAATTGTAACCAAAGTCGGAACAGATTTCAATTCCTTGACCCAAAGGACCCCAAACCCCAAAATTTTGTGGATATTTGCATTTATTAAGAAATAAATGAAAAAACTAAAATAATATTTTTATTTAACACCCTGTACTTCATTAACTACCAACTTTTGAACTAAGATAAGTTCGGCTAAATTGCAATATTTTTGCTTCGGGAATCTACCTACAAATTTTGGCGCATTACCTCGGGACCACCCTGTATGTAAAAATATGTAATATTTCCTCATTTTATCAACAAATAGGTAGAAGAAGCTTGGAAATCTCTGGAGTTTACAGTTATACCGCACAAGGATTCGAAAGACGTGTACATTTTAGGTTCCATGGAAGAAGTTCAAGCTGTACTGGACGAAAGTAATATAAATATGAACACTATTGCTAGCTCTAGACATGTTGGACCGATTAAACCAAGGGTAGATGAATGGACCAAGAACTTAGACTTGTTCTCTAAAACTTTGGTAAGCATTTCCTTGCATCAAAGGGTTTACTGAAATTTTTATATTTTTTCGAATTTTGTACAACTCGTGTACAATTTTAGTGCAAAAATTTTATTTAGAAATATGGGTTTTATTTTTCATTTCAGGACGAATGGATGACATGCCAGCAAAGTTGGATATATCTTGAGGTGATATTTTCAGCACCAGATATACAAAGGCAACTACCTAACGAGGCAAAGCTTTTCATCGTCGTTGACAAGTCTTGGAAAGAAATTATGAGAAGAACAGCGAAGGTATCTAAATTGTAATAAAACTAAATACGAAAATTTTTTGACTATTATTTAGAAAAAACTTCATTTCTTCGAAACCTGACAGTTTTTTTTTTTTTTGTAGATGCCGTTAGCCATGGAGGCGGCTCTATACCCAGATCTTTTAGCAACGTTCCAGAGGAACAACGAACTACTAGAGCAAATTATGAAGTGCCTAGAGTCGTATCTGGAGACGAAGCGCGTTGCTTTCCCGAGGTTCTACTTTTTATCTAACGATGAGCTGCTCGACATCCTGGCTCAAACCAGGAACCCCCATGCCGTACAACCCCATCTGCGAAAGTGCTTCGATGCTATCGCCAAATTAGAATTTGGCATGAAACCCGTTGAGGAGGTTCTAGGTGAAGGCGGCGACGCGAGCAAAGCCTCGGACGGTTTCGTCCTCACCACCGACATAATAGCCATGATCAGTCCCGAAGGGGAAAGGGTTCAGCTTGGAAAAGGATTGAAAGCTCGCGGTAACGTGGAGGACTGGCTGGGCAAAGTGGAAGAATCGATGTTCCTCTCTCTAAGGAGACTGATGAAGGCGTCGCTCAGTCACTATATGACGCATAAAAGAACGGAATGGGTCCTGTGCCACGCGAACCAAATCATTTTGACTGTGTCGCAGATCATGTGGGCTAAGGGCGTTCATGAGATATTGGATGGAAATCCAGAACCTAAAGCAATGGCCAAGTTTGAAGCAAGCTGCATAAAGGTGAAAGAATCGTTTTGTGCCTTCGTGATGTTCCTTAATTCGATTGTCAAATTTCTACATCAAAATTAATTTATGAAGCTTAAAAGAACTAGGACTCTATTCCGACTAATAATAATAGCTCCAAGATGACCTACTAATTAATTAGAACTTTTTTTGAATTAATTTTGACCTAAAGAACACCTTGTAGAAGTTTGGCAGAAAAGTTTAGGGATACCGCATATGCATTAATAATAGTTGTTCTTTATAGGATTTAAACGAATTGGCTGTATTAATAAGAACTGACTTGACTTCTGTGACGAGGAAAATTTTAATCGCTCTGATAACAATTGATGTCCATGCCAGAGATACGATCCATAACATGGTGAAGAGTAAAGTACGTGATAGGTACGTATACACAGTTGGTTGTGATTTCATGTTAAAATCATGATGTTTTTAATATTCCTACTGAAAAACAATAACTTGTCTCAAAAACAGATTGGTCCAAGGTTTTTTTATTTCCGACATAATCCAGTCAGTTGGCGCACAAGAAGGGGGCTGCCTGTGAAGTTTTAGGGGAGTTTTGAAAATTGGTATATTTATAGATTTTGATGTGGTCTTTATGCCACCTCTTTTTTTTCGGAAGTAGCCGCCACATTGGAAAAATGACGCTCCAAAACAGTTTTTCGACGATATTTTCTCGCGTTGAAAACCTGGCCTACTATAGCCTCAATCAGCATTTGATCTACATTTGATTCCGGTATAGTTATCGGCGAAGATGTAGATTTCTCATTCTTTTGACGGTTTTGTCCGCTTTCAAACATATACAGGTTCGGAAAGTCCCCATGGTACATCGGCCGTTATGTGAGAGCGACAAAGTAAATCATAGAAATCCGTGCGATAGACAAGGATGGTTACATTGAAGACGTTTCATAATCTGAATAGTCACTCCCACTTCTAACCCGAAACGGTCGGTGACTTTTCAGATTATGAAACGTCTTCAATGTAACCATCCTTGTCTATCGCACGGATTTCTTTACTTTACTTTGTCGTTCTCATGTAAAGGCAGATGGACCATGTGGATTTTCCAGCCCTGTATGTTCTGAAACCAAGAAAAGGAACGATTTTGCCACGAATATATTTAACAGAAAGTATCATAGATAAAACAGCCGCAGAAAACATCCTATTCTTGCACGCCTTCAGTGGCTGTGATACATCGGCCCTCTTCAATCAAGGGAAAATGAAATGTGCCAATGTACTCCGAAAGAACCGAGATTTAAACGAGCTCGTCCGGGTATTTAAAAACCCAAATGCTGACCCGGAAAGCATTGCTGAAGCTGGAGAACGCTTCCACCTTGCGTTGTACGGTTACAGTGGCGTAAAAAGTATGTCGTTAAACACCTACAGATATATATACTTCACAAAGTCAGCATTTAAAAATAAATTTAATATTGCATCGCTGCCACCGACAGAAGCAGCAGCACGACAATATTCCTTCCGAACCTATCACCAGGTTCAGCAGTGGTATGGAGTTGGAAAAAATGCAGAACGGTGGGGATGGGAAAAAAGCAAGAATGGGCTAATTCCTGTCACCACACTCGAGCCCCCAGCTCCAGCAAACTTGCTAAAACTAATATCTTGCAAATGTAAAAAAGGATGTCGGGGAACCTGTGCATGCAGAAAGGCTGGACTAAAGTGCTCCGTTATCTGCGTGAATCGCAATGGTACAGTGCCGGCCCTTTAAAAGTGAACGACTCTTATAAGCAAATTGTCTATAATTGGCCTTTGTGAAGCTGACTTGATAATGTGAGGTCCAAATCGGCTGTCATTATGTCAAATTTAATGTGTGTCTATCATACTAGTTCTAGTGAGCAAAACAAATCCATTAGGTAGCAAATTATTTATTTTTCCGTACTGAAATATATTATACATTCTAACGGCCATTCATTCGCCGTCAACAAGATCTAAAAATGAAACACTTTTCGTCGTCAAAAAAACGTAATTCGTAAAGTTAGTATTTTGTCCAAGCACAATTTTTATCTATAACACTGCAATCTACATGGCATTGATAAAATTAATGTTCTTGTTATAATCCTCAGTGATGTTATCCCATGCGTTTTCAATTGCCTCCCAAAGTTCTTCGACGTTAACTGGATGGAAGTTTCTGTCTTAAATTTTTTTCTCCATATATGCCCAAGAGTTTGAGGGCCAAGGTAAAACATCGATGTTATTATCAATGAACCATTCTGATCACAATTATCTTGCTTGAAAGTGAAATTCTGAGGATACAGCATGAAAACTTTTTTCGTCCGAAAATATAATATTCTCCCAGAAGTTGTCTGGGCTTCCTACAAATTGTCTTGCAAACTCTAACCTCCGTTCTTTATACTGGGGAGTCAAAGCAACTTCCTTGCAGTTCGCACCGATCCAAGAAAATTTGTCTCAAAGGAAGCCGCTACTGCCATGTCAAAAGGATTTATTCTTGGGTGGTGCTTACTTTTCGACGACCACCTCCGTGAACATAACATACGTGACCCTCCGCAATCTATTTTTTTGTGTTTAAATATGCTGTTCTTGCATACATGCAGATCATCCGCAATGACCAATCATTCTGAAGTAAACTTATAGCTCTCACTTTCTCTGGTTCCGATAAACGCAGCATCTTGAATTACCAAGCAAATTACTAATGACACTGACATATAAAAACTTGTCATGATAAGAAGTAGACCACATCACATTAGAAAAATAAATCGTCCACTTTCAAAGGGCCGGCAGTGTACTTGCGATAATTCGGATGTTGATCTGCAAGACAGTGATGAAGAGGAAGATAAGCAGACAGTTCTTTAGCAAACCTTCGACGAAATCGAGGAAGAAGTTGATGAAGTCGAAGAAGAAAACCTATCGCGGATAACTTGGAAGAACTCGCAAAACCCGGTCCATCAGGGATAACGAAGCGAAGGAGAATGCACTAACTTTAGTCAACAGTGCATCACATGTAGATTAGGATTAGGAAATGAGTTTGTTGGCCAATACGCGTGTGGGAGTAGACTATACGGCGCTTGTACGCCGAAACTATTAATTTTACAGAAAAAAGGTTGATACATAAATTATAGCAAATGTTCTCTAGTTTAATTTATTACATAACTATTTTCACTGTAAAGTGAGTCGGAAAGGAAATATCGTAGGAAAACTGTTTTGGAGCGCCATTTTTGCAATATGAAGGCTACTTCCCGAAAAAAAATAGGTGACAAAGTAAAAATTCGGAAAGAGCACGTCAAAATCTATAAATATACCAATTTTCAAAACTGTCCTAAAACTTCACAGGCAAAACTTCCAGCTGATTGGACTAACAGGGAAAAATGATTTTGATGTTTCAATGTTTATTTCAGCAATACTTTCGAGTGGCTCAAAGTGTTACGTTACTACTGGCAGGAGAGTATAGATGACTGCGAGGCAAGGATGTCTAGCGCTAGCTATGTTTATGGATATGAGTATTTGGGTGCCGGTGGAGTTCTAGTGATCACTCCGTTAACTGATCGCTGTTATTTGTGCTTGATGGGCGCTTTACAATTGGACTTGGGTATGCCAGTTTAGATTTTAGCAATGCTTAAACATGTCATACGTTATAAGTGTTGATTCCCGATTTTATTTTGACTGAAATTTTGACCTTTCTAAAAACTTACAGGCGGTGCACCAGCGGGCCCTGCGGGCACAGGCAAAACTGAAACGACGAAGGATTTGGCGAAAGCCTTAGCCATTCAGTGCGTCGTCTTCAATTGTTCGGAAGGACTGGATTACAAGATGATGGGCAGATTTTTCTCTGGTTTAGCACAGTCGGGTGCGTGGTGTTGTTTCGACGAGTTTAACCGTATTGACATTGAGGTACTGTCTGTCATCGCCCAACAGTTGATTACTATAAGGAACGCTAAAGCGGCAAAACAAAAAAGGTGTGTGCATAATTCATTTTCTTAAACTAAAAAAACAGTCGGTAAAATAGTAATTGTTGTAATTCATGTATTCAAATCTTTCAGGTTTATGTTTGAAGGGAGAGAAATTAAATTAATTCAGAAATGTGCAGCTTTCATTACAATGAATCCAGGTTATGCCGGTCGTACAGAATTACCAGACAATTTGAAGTCATTATTTAGGCCAATTTCTATGATGGTTCCAGATTATGGTAAATGACTGTCTATTTTATTTCCGCTTTCCCAATTGTACACTTATGACAAGCACTGACACATTTCAGCTAGAACTGAGAAAAGAAGCCTCGGTCAACTCAATTTTTGAGTTTGTGAACTATTGTCAAATATTAGACCGATCGAAATAACTCATTTAGAGGGAAAAAAAAAGAAAATTGTTACCTGGACTTTTATAAGTGGAAATGGTGTTGGGGATTATAATAAACGAAAAATAAATAAATGCGGGAGCAGGGGTGGCGGAGGGTTGATTTGGGGGGTTGAAAAGTTGTGAAAAATTGTATCATTGGGATTTCTGGCGAAAGTTCATGTCAGACAAAAAAGTATCCAACTTTTGTAGAGGTCACTTTTTAAGATAACCTCAAAATCTCCGACAAAAATGCGAAAAACAGTTTTTTTTCTTGTTTTTTGTTTTTTATTTCTCATTTCCGCAAAAATAATTTAATTTTGACGAAACTTGGCGAAAGTATACCTTTTTATGTTTTACATAACCACAAATTTTTTTAGATAAAAAGATCAAGAAGTTTCCGAGATATTATTTTTTTCCGGTCTGAAACATTTTTTTTTCAAAGAAAAATTCTACTTAGAAAAATCAGCGTGCAGAGTTTTGCCGTGATAATTTTTTTCGTTTTGACATATACTTTTTGGTGAAATAAAAAATCTGTAATCACAGTTCAAAAACATGTTCAAAACTGCAAAAAAATTAAAAATGACTTGCAACAATGAATTTTTTAGTATTTGTTGATAATTTGTTTAAATTTTAAAAAAATTCAAAAACTGACACTATTCTACTACAAAACTACAAAAAAATGTAACATTGTTTGACCCAAAACTTTATTTTTGTTCAGTATTGCTATAAACATAAGTCGAATAGTGAATAAAATAAATAATTTTTTTCCGTAGGATCGATTAGTGTACTTATTTTTTTTTTAATTTTGATGAATTCATAGATATACAGTGTGTCCAATAAGGATGGGATAGCATTAGGATCTAGGAAACGGGGTGGCTGAGATTAGAAAAAAGTTGTGTTTTTTTATACCTAATAATCTGCCGTTTAGAAAGCTTTAAAATTTCGGGTAGTTCCGGAGATATCCGGAAAAACCCGACATCTTGCAAAATATATAATTTTTTTTCTGGCTTTATTTGAAAACGAATTTTATAATATATTGCATATTTACAACGCCACTTTTTTCGCTCTATACGATGGCGTCAACATTTTTGCAATCTGTAATCTGACGTTTCGTCTTTGTGGAGCCATCATCAGGTAAATTTTTTAAATACGTCGCTGCTATTTTTATGACAAAATCTAGTCATTTTTAATTCTGAATTAGATGATATTACAACTTTAATCGCTTAAAAAGTTTTTAGCTTGTTTTAGCTCTCATTTAAATTTTTTACGGCTCTGAACGCTTTCAAAATATCTATTGGATGAAGTCATAACAGTACAAGTCAATACCACACAAAATATCCGTCAATTTTTTTACTACTATTAGCAATACTAATTAGAAATAATAAAACATTTCATAAATTCGTATTATTTTTTTATTAGGTACAACTTTTTAAATTATTGATTAAAAAAAATTCTTGGATATTTTATGCTGTATTGACTTTTATACTGTTATGACTTTCTCCAATAGATATTTTGAAATCGTTCAGAGCCGTACTCAGGAAAAAATTTAAATGATATCTAAAAGAAGCTAAAAACCTTTGTACAATAGTAATATCATCTAATTCAGAATTAAAAATGACTTTAGTACAAAAACATGCTATCTCAGATTTCGGTTGGAAAACATGCTACCTCAAATTTCGGTTGGAAAACATGCTAGCTCAGATCTTAAATATTCCTTACTTTTTGAAAAATATATTATATAAGTTTATTATAAATGCAAGGTTTCAATCATTCTAATTTCATGCCAATTTAAATCTCTAGTCAAACTGAGATAACATGTTTTTACTTAAAGATCTGAGCTAGCATTTACCAACCGAAATTTGAGATAGCATGTTTTCCAACCGAAATCTGAGATAGCATATTTTCGTACTAGCGTCGACTTTAGATTTTGTCATAAAAATAGCAGTGACGTATTTAAAAAAATTGACCTGATGATGGTCCCTCGAAGACGAAACGACGGATTGCAAAAATGTTGACGCCATTGGATAGACGGAAAAAAGTGGCATTTTAAATATGAAATTTATTTTAAAATTCGTTTTCAAATAAAGCCAGAAAAAAATAAAACAATATTTCAAAATTTCGGTTTTTACGTCAACAGTAAAGTTTGCAGCTAATACTTTGTATTGCTGAAATCTCAAATCATCCAGAGATAATTTATCATTTGTGCATTTGTAATTCGACTTAAATGTTTATAGCAATACTGTACAAAAATAAAGTTTTGGGTCAAACAATGAGACAGTTTTTTTTTTGTATTTTTTTCCCGTAGAATTGAATGGCGTAATCAGTTTTTGATTTTTTTTTAAATTTAAACGTATTATCAACAATTATTGAAAAATTCATTGTTGCTAGTCATTTTTTATTTTTTTTTTGCATTTTGAGCATGTTTTTGAACTGTGATTACAGATTTTTTTATTTCACCACAAAGTATATGTCAAAACGAAAAAAATTATCACCGGCAGAACTCTGCACGATGATTTTTCTAAGTAGAATTTTTCTTTAAAAAAAAAAACAGGAAAAAATAATATCTCGGAAACTTCTTGATTTTCTTATCTAAAAAAAATGTGGTTATTTAAGACACAGAAAGGTATACTTTCGCCAAGTTTCGTCAAAATTAAATTATTTTTGCGGAAATGAGAAATAAAAAACGAAAAAAAAAAAGAAAAAAAACCTATTTTTCGTATTTTTCTCGGAAATTTTGAGTTTCTCTTAAAAGTGGCCTCTACAAAAGTTGTAGATTTTTGCATGATCTACAACTTTTGTATTGGATACTTTTTTGTTTGACGTCAACTTTCGCCAGAAATGACAATGATACAATTTTTCACAACTTTTCAACCCCCAAATCGACCCTCCGCCACTCATGCTCACGCATTTATTTTTTTAGGTTTATTATAAGCCCTTTTACCATTTCCACTTATAAAAGTCCAGGTAACAATTTTTTTTTATCCAAGTGTAATTTGGTTCGACTACATGTGTTACAGTTAACAACAACAACATTGTATCTGACTGTGCTAGAAACATTTTAGGATGAAAGTTCTTTTTGTATTCCTCACATTTATTTATACATTTCAGCATTGATAGCTGAAGTGATTTTGTACTCGGAAGGATTCGAGTCGTCTAAGATACTATCCCAGAAAATGGTGCAAATGTACAAATTATGCAGCGAACAACTTTCTCAACAAGACCACTATGATTTCGGAATGCGTGCCGTCAAGAGTGTCCTTGTAATGGCTGGTTCCTTGAAGAGGGCTAATCCTGACCGCAACGAGGACGTGGTTCTTATATGCGCCCTAAGGGATAGCAATCTGCCCAAGTTTTTGTCGGATGATGCCGTTCTATTTAAAGTTAGTTAAAAATATTTGAGGCAGATGTTTTCATAAACTTGTCTGTGAAAATAATACCGATACTTCTCTAGGGAATCCTTGGGGACTTGTTTCCTGGCGTTGAACTGCCAGTACCTGACTACGGGATATTTCAAAAAGCAATTATCGACTGTATGATCGAAGCAGGCTTGCAGACGGAGGAGTGCATGATCAACAAAGTCATTCAACTTTATGAAACGATGGTCGTTCGTTGGGGGGTGATGTTAGTGGGACCGACAGGCGGAGGCAAAACTTCCATTTTAAATGTAAGTTTCGCTAAAAACTATTGTACAGTATTTCAAATTAAATTAAAAAATTAAAATGTCACTATTAAACATAACATTATATACATCATTGGACACTTAAATGCATGGGCATAGCTACAATTTTTGCTTGGAGTGGGCCCAGGGCTCAAGCCCTATGAAGCCTCTAAAAAAAAAATAGAAAAAAAAATTTAACACGTTTTGATTTGATTTTAAAGGAAATAAAGAGTACAATAGTGGGGAATATTAATAAATTTGTATCAAAAAAAGTAAACTGTTGCTGAAATACGAAATATTTTGATAAAAATCTGATTCCACATTCAAATAGAGGAACAAAAATAGCCCTTAAAGTCTTCATATACTTTTTCTAATAAACCAGAAAATGATTAATAAATATCAGGAATTTCGTATTTTTTTAAATAATCTCAAACTAAGATATCGGTCGATAGCCGCACGGTTTATAGTCCAAGCATTCTGTCACGGATTAATGTTAAATTTGCAGAAATTATTACCTGGACAAAAAAAATATGACCGTATAGAAAATTAAATTTTAAATTGAGTTTCTTGTTCTTTAAACTCAATCCAATATGGCGAACATGGTTAAAAAAAATCGCAAAGTTAAAAAAACGGTTTTTCTAAAATAACTAAAAAAATATAGCACGGATTGAAAAATTTTAAATGAGAAAGTTGTAGGTTTTAAAAAGATCTATCGACTGATTTTTTGAAAGTATCGATTGCTTTGTTACTTTTCGAGATATATCGAAAAAACCGTTAAAAATCTTCTCTTTTCTCTTCTTCTATAACTCGTTTACATTTACGTGCCCATATTTGCTATTTACTGCAAGCATAGCCCACGGCAAGCCAAAAAAGTACATTTTTGAAAAATTTAAAAATATTAATTATTTTTCGAGATATATCGATTTTTTGAAAAAAAGGCGCTCTCGAAAATTGGCTAGATCTTCTCAGCGGATAGCCCTACAGTAACGATTTTCGGTTTATTTTCTTCGTAAAGAGTTATATTATCATGCTGTTAAAAAATGTTGACGATTTTATTAATTTTAAGGATCAAAAAATGACTTTGAATAAGTTGCACTTTTTTGGGTATGTTTTTTTCAAATTACTATTTCAATTTTTATTTTATGAAAATGACTTTTAAAGAAAGAAAACTAAACATTTACGGGTCTATTTTGCTTCTAAGGCGAAAATGCTATAATATTCGTGTTTAGCTACCCCAGATTAAGTACAAAAAAATAATAAAAATTGAAATAGTTATTTGAAAAAAACATACCCAAAAAAAGTGCAACTTTTTCAGTCATTTTTTGATCCTTAAAATTAATAAAATCGTCAACATTTTTTAACAGCATGATAATATAACTCTTTACGAAGAAAATAAACCGAAAATCGTTACTGTAGGGCTATCCGCTGAGAAGATCTAGCCAATTTTCGAGAGCGCCTTTTTTTCAAAAAATCGATATATCTCGAAAAATAATTAATATTTTTAAATTTTTCAAAAATGTACTTTTTTGGCTTGCCGCGGGCTATGCTTGCAGTAAATAGCAAATATGGGCACGTAAATGTAAACGAGTTATAGAAGAAGAGAAAAGAGAAGATTTTTAACGGTTTTTTCGATATATCTCGAAAAGTAACAAAGCAATCGATACTTTCAAAAAATCAGTCGATAGATCTTTTTAAAACCTACAACTTTCTCATTTAAAATTTTTCAATCCGTGCTATATTTTTTTAGTTATTTTAGAAAAACCGTTTTTTTCAACTTTGCGATTTTTTTTAACCATGTTCGCCATATTGGATCGAGTTTAAAGAGCAAGAAACTCAATTTAGAATTTAATTTTCTATACGGTCATATTTTTTTTGTCCAGGTAATAATTTCTGTAAGCATTTCTCTATAATGCTTGGACTATTAAGGCGTCAGTCCTTTAATCGTGTGCAAATTTCTGCCCGGGTTCGATTCCCGCGGCCGGTAGACCGTAGATTAGCTATGCTTGTACGGAGGATTGGCATCCTGTGTGCAGGTGGTAGGGTGGAACAATCTTGGCTTGGGTCAATGTGAGAGATTGACACAGGTTGACATTTGACCACCCCCCTAATTAATGAGGTTTTCCAGATTTCGCTCATTCCTGCACTGAATGGTGGTTAGGGCCTACCGACATAAGTCGTTCCTGGGCGCAAATGCGGCCTGCCTAATAATAATATGTCGCCTCCTCTCCCGCACAAGTCTCCGACTTATGGGCTAATTCTTAGAATGAGGAGATATTATTGTTATTATTAAGAAATAATATATACAGGGTGAGCCAATGCTGTGGTAAAGTTGATTTATCGCTAGAATATAATTGAGGTAAAATTTTTCAAAATAGGTTCGTGTGGAGGGGGAGGTGGCAAGAAACGCACATTCTAAAAATACTTTCACTTATACAGGGTGATTCGTTTTTGGAGGGCTGACCAAAGTTGTATTTTTTAAATGGAATACCCTGTATTTGAGCAGATATTTATACTCATATTTTACATGTAATTACGCAACTTTTTTGTAATAGGTACTATTTGTCAAAAATCAGCCATTTCCGAGATATTAATATCTTAAAATAAAAAATGACATTTTCGGCGTTACACTAGATCGTTGATGATATACTCGTTTTTTGAGGTACAATCTAAGCAATCGTCACACTAGGTTCACCGTAAATTCTGAAGTGGTCAGTTTATAAATGTCATACAGGTGTTCACAAATTAGTAACAAATGTTATCTTTTTACAAAAGCAAAATTTTTTTTTTCAAATGGAACTCCTTTATTTTTAAACGAGATGTGAAATACCTCAAAATTTACAACTTTCATTGTTATATATCAGTTCCTCATATTTTACGATATTTTTCGCAGTTTCTTTATTTTTCATTTTTCTACCATAAATAGCGTCGACATACTAGGGCTCAAGATTTGAAACAAAAAAGCATTGCTTAAAATGTATCTTTACTTTTTGCAGAAAAGAACAATGATTCTAAATTTTGCAGCTTTCTTATTCTTATTGAATTTTTAGTGAACGAGACATATTTTATATGATAGCAAAATATATATTTATTGATAAAACAAAGTTTTATTAAGTGTAACAATAGATGTTCAAAAATATTTCCTCTTTCTCGAATACACAAGTTAATTCAGCGAACAATATCAATGTGAACGTCATTTAACATTTCTGGTGTAATATCAAGACAAATTTGTCTTATTCTATTTATCATTTCATCACGAGTCATTGGTGGCTCTCTATATACCCGTATTTTACAAGTCCCCAAAAAAAAAGTCGAGTGATGTAAGGTCACACGATCTAGGAGGCCATGACATTGGCCAACCTCGACCAATCCATCTATTAGGATAAATTTCATCAAGATAGGCTCGGATTCTTTTCTCGAGAAATTCATTACAAACAAGTAACGACAAAACCATACAAACAATATTCATTAATTAAGCATAGCTTTTTGAATCATAGAAAAACTATTGACAGTTACAAACATTTCCTTTGTTTCACTGACATATCAATGCCTCTCTAGGAAATTTTCATAAAAAATTTAAAAATTGTGAAAAATAACGTAAAATATGAGGAACTGTAACACTTATTATTATAATCCAATCAGTTGGCCTATGAAGTTTTAGGGGAGTTTTGAAAATTGGTATATTTATAGATTTTGACGTGCTCTTCCGAATTTTTACTTTGCCATCTCTTTTTTTTTCCGGAAGTAGCCGCCATATTGGAAAAATGGCGCTCCAAAACAGTTTTTCGACGATATTTCCACGTATTGAAAACCCGACCTACTATGGCTTCAATACGGCAATCAGCATTTCATCTACATTTGATTCCGTTATAGTTATCGACGAAGATGTAGATCTTTTTATTCTTTTGACGGCTCTATCTACGCGTTCAAACATATTTGTTCAGAAACCAGGAAAAGGAACAATTTTGCAACGAATATATTCAACAGAAATTATCATGGATAAAACAGCCGCAGATAACATCCTATTCTTGCACGCCTTCAGTGGCTGTGATACAACATCGGCACTCTTCAATCAAGGGAAAATAAAATGTGCCAATATACTCCGAAAGAACCGAGATTTAAACGAGCTCGTCCGGGTATTTAAAAGCCCAAATGCTGACCCGGAAAGCATTGTTGAAGCTGGAAAACTCTTCCGAAAAAAAAAGAGGTGAGAAAGTAAAAATTCGGAAAGAATACGTCAAAATCTATAAATATACCAATTTTCAAAACTCCCCTAAAACTTCATAGGCAACCACCTCCTTGAGCGCCAACTGATTGGGCTATAATAATAAAATTTTTATCTTTGAAAAAGATAACATTTGGTACGATTTTGTGAACACTCTGTATGACAATTATTATAAACACTTCAGAATTTACGGTGAACCTAGTACAATATGTGTGAGGATTGCTTAGATTGTATTTAAAAAAAACGAGTATATCAGCAAGGATCAAGTGTAACGCCGAAAATACCATTTGTCATATTAAAATATTAGTATCTGGGAAACGACTCATTTTTGGAACATAGTATCTATTACGAAAAAGTTGCATAATTCCATGTAAAATACAGGGAGTCCCATTAAAAAAATACAACTTTGGTCAGCCCTCCGAAAACGAATCATCCTGAATACGTCAAATTATTTTTAAAATGTGTATTTCTTGTCCCCCTCCCTCAGCTGAACCTATTTTGAAATATTTTGCTTCAATCATATTCTAGTTATAAATTAACGTTGCCACAGCGTTGACTCACCCTGTACAATTTTGCTCCAATTACCTAACAGAGGCAGTAATATTATTGTATTAATTATATCCAATTTTGCACAACAGTTTTTGACTCATCAAATTCATATCAGAATGACCAAATTTTATTTTGGGTGATAAATTTTGAATGAAATTATTCATTATCACTTTGCTTCCAGCATTTTTTGATTTTTTTTTTACATCTTAGTTAATTAGTAGATAGGGGACCGCCTAGCCGGGTGTCTTGGCCGAAGGATTTCGATCTGCCGAGGCAAGCATCACGGACGCAGGCTGGAATTTGGATGGGTGACCTAAGGCAGGCTCGGGGACGTGGCTGTGGCAACCTACCAGAGACCTGGGTCGCCCAACATTTGCTGCATGCGTGTGGTCCCCTATAAATGGTAATGAGAACAGAGCAAAGAAAATCTCTGTAACTCAAGACCATACATAAACTGTACAAGGCTTTGCCACCAAGCCACCCGTGTAATAAATAGGATGGTTTGAAGAAAAGTACTCGAGTAATGAAGGAGGGTGTACAAGGGGCCTAATAAGGCCTAAGTGCCGCGGTGGAAAAACAATTCCACCACCTTCCGACATACATACATAATTACTTACTTAAATTTTTAACAATAATTGTTAAAAAAAATTCCAGCCGTTGGCAAAAATGTCTAAGCGTCTGTATTATGAAATTACTAAAATATTTGTATAATTTTTAGACTTTGAATAAAACGCTGACCAAAATGCATACTGATGGAGTCGAAGGTCCTTACTTCAAACCAGTTCGAACATATATTATGAACCCTAAGGCTGTTACAGCCGGTGAACTGTATGGTGAAGTAAATCCGTTTACTTTGGAATGGAGAGATGGCTTGATGGGAATTATGATGAGAACTGCAGTTACGGTAAGTCATTTCGTTTGCTCTTTAAATCAATTTTTTAATTATTTTATGAGGGTAGTGAATTTATAATTTCTGAAATATTCATAAATAGGTACAATAATCTCAAGAGAAATCAAAATATATAAGTGTCCCAGAATAAAGTGTACAACGGAAGACCACAGATTCGTGGACAAAATAGACAGATCTAGGCTAATTCACCTATATCCGAAATCGCTTTTGTAAATAACTCGAATACTTATTGATCGATTTTGATAATCTTTGGGGTGTAGACTTTTGCTTTCAATCTACACATTTTGGTGTTAAACAAAATTGATTTATGGCGTTTATATCTGTTCATAACCTTTTCCTCTTTCGGGCTATAATGACAACTATTTTTTATTTGATAGGTGATACCTTTTGGATGTTTTTGGGCCTCTTGTAGAATGTTGATTAGAGCGGTTTGGGTACAAAAAAATATTTTTCAAATGTCTACATTATCTTAGCACCCATATTACAATACTTAAGTGCTAGTAGGCACTGATTTTGTAAGTTGACTGTAATTTTAGTTTGATCTTTAAGTCATAGTACCTGCCAATACTTAAAAGTGTTTACTACGATAAGATATACCACATGTTACTTCAATATGGATACACACATACAACGAATTATTTACAACATACCTAATTTTATAGAGATAATTAGTAAAAACAAATACAATAAAAAATGCTGGAGATAAAAGTAATACAGTTGATGTTATTAGATTTAGTACAACTTATTATAAAAACTGTTCAAAATGACCACCGTTGTTTCTACAATATAGGTTAAATCGGCGAAGAAAGTTAAAGGATACTTTGCAGTTCTTGAGGGCAATTTTTTAAAATATTTATGGCAATTTGGATATGTCCCCACAACTCTTCTTCACTGTTAGATGTAGGAGCATACACTGTTGTTTTCAAAGTACCCCAAAAATAATAGTCGCAAGGTGTTAAGTCTGATGAACTAACAGGCCAGTTAACAGGAACATTATCTACTCTACCGATCCATTGCCGAGGGAATCTTTGGTTCAGATACTGCCAGACATTGACAGTGAAATGTGGTGGAGCTCCATCATGCATAAACAACATGTTAGCTCTGAGTAATAACGGCACACCTTCCAATAAATAACTCGGGTAAAGTGTTTTGCAAAAATTCTAAACAAAATTCGCCATTCAGTCTATTGGGTAGAATAACAGGGTTAATATTAATGCTATCAGTGCGTTGTGTTTGATTGTTTTTTCTAATTTTTTGAATAAAATTACGCACGTAAATAATTCTAATTCGTCGTATGTCTGTGTATCCAAATCGAAAAATGAAGTAACAGGTGGTATATCTCATCGTCGTAAACACTCACTCACTCACTAAGAATTAGGTACAATAAGTTAAAGAGCAGATTGAAATTACAGTCAACCTACAAAATCAGTGCCTACTAACACTTTGTTAACTACCATAATATGGGTGGCACGATAATGTAGAAATTTAAAAAATATTTTTTTGTACCCAAACCGCTCATTTAATCAAAATTCTACAAGGGGCCCAAAAACTTCCAAATCGTATCACCTATCAGAAAAAAAATAGTTGTCATTATTGCCCGAAAGAGGAAAAAGTTATAAACGGATATTATCACCATACAACAATTTTGTAGGAGTTGCAGGTTTTAAAAAACACTCTGTATAACACCAAAATGTGTAGATTGAAAGCAAAAGTCCACACTCCAAAAATAATCAAAATCGATTAATACGTATTCGAGTTATTTACAAAATTCAAAAAATTTTCACGAACTTAGGCCATCAAGTGGCTAAATGAAGCGATTTCAGTGAATTAGCCTAAATCTGCCTAGTCCACGAATCTGTGGTCCGCCGTTGTACACGTTATTCTGGGACACTCTGTATAAATATAGCCAGTATTCTTTAGAAATTAAAAAAATATATATTTCTGAATTACTCATTTATGATAGAGCTTTAGAAATATACGGAGGATATTTTATAATCCATTTGAGAATAGAGGAATACATTTTTATTTACTTTTACTACATTTTTGGAAAATGTAATCTATAATATTGCAAAAACTGTTATTTAGATTTACTTAAAATGTCACAGAAAAACAAACAAATGTTTCTGTAAACATTGCGTAACCCTCTAACTGACCTTTTTGGTGAAAAAGATTATTTATTGAACATTTTTTCATTTCAGTGTGGCAAAATACTCAGTTAAATAAAAAAAATTATTACGCTTTTGTCTTAGAATATTTTACCGATATCTTAATGTCCTGTAGAAAAACATGTTGGTTGTCACCTTTGTATAAGAAAATAAATGATTATTAGTTTGAGATACTTATTATTTTTATCAAGGAAGAATTTTTTTAAATAGAAATATTAATCTTATTTGATAAGGGTTGTGGAGTTAACAAAAAATTTCCATTTTTTTCCAAAAACCACCACAATCTAGTTCCGAAAAACCGATGTTTGTATAGTAGAGTACAAAGTACGCACACATCTTATTTAACGTTTAACCTTCTGAAATTTTGAGCAAACTATCGATTACAACATTTTCAGTGGCCAAATGATGATCATCAGTGGATCATATGCGATGGTCCGGTGGATGCTGTATGGATAGAAAATCTGAACACCGTTTTAGATGACAATAAAATGTTATGCCTGGCCAATTCTGAAAGAATTAAATTAACGCCTTGGGTTCACATGGTTTTCGAGGTACAGGATCTCTCCCAAGCTTCGCCAGCAACTGTTAGCAGGTACAGGCTTTTAAGATGACAGACTCAAAAACTAAAGTGTAAAAAAACAAGTGCTCGATCTAAAATATAATCTTTTTGAGGCGTAATCGTAGGAAAATTGCGGCGCCAGCTACTACAGCCTCTGTTCAAATTCAATTTTATAATTAAACTAGGTTGACCCGGCAAACGTTGTTTTGCCGTATAAATTAATCCTAGGATTATTTTAGTAGATTTTTCATAAAGAAATTTCACTTCTACCATCTACATTATATTTAGTGTTATTCAGTGTATATCGTGTATATTTTTTTTATTAACAGTAATAGTAAATGTCATTATTACGGTTGATGCACAAACAATAATAATAATGGCCGAAAACTGTAGGGAGTGAGAAACGGCTCATTGTGTGAGAGAGATCTCATCCCTACTCCGTGCTGTTTACTGGGTCAGAAGTGACACCGGTCGACGCCTGGCGGGGATAAAAAAAATGATCAAGTGATAATTGATCAGTTATCGACCGGGGTTGAAAATTATTGAATTACTAATATCGCTATTAAAAAATAAGGGTTGATGGTAGAAGGGTGAAAATTTAGGATTGTATGTATTTTTTAAGGCCACATCATAAAAAAATAAAAAAATAAAATTTTGTCCAAAAAACAACAAAAAAAAATTTTGGGGTGGACCACCCTTAACATTTAGGGGTATGAAAAATAGATGGTCATCATAATCGGTCCAGCCGTTTCGGAGGAGTACGGGAACGAACATTGTGACACGAGAATTTTATATATAAGATTTATACAAAAAATGTGCCAGTCTGAAAGAAAAGTTGTAGAGTATTTTTAAAAACACATTATTAATTAAGAGTATTATTATGGGCCAAAAAAAGCAATAGCAAATAGTTTGTACATAAAAATAACTTGTAGCTTCGGTATTATGTATTCTTAAGTTAAATTGAAAAAGAGTGTAAATGAAAAATGTCCTAGACAGCGAGTCCAATTATTATCGCCCAAAGAACATGCGATTAACATTTTGACCTATTTTTTTTAACACCCTATGTAAGTAATATGTTCTCATAGGTGTGGTATGGTGTATGTCGACTCGGAGGAACTGAAATGGCTTCCATATGTAAAGTCCTGGTTAGACGCATTTAGCGAAAGCCTATTGAACCAAGAAATGAAGGAGTTCCTGCTCACGCTTTTTGAATATGCCGTTGAAAAAGGTTTCATTTTCCTAAAAAAGAATTGCGAATACTCCATACATCAGGTAAGATTAACATTGACTAAAAATTAACGATAAAAGGGATTACAAACAACGTTTCTAGGTTGAAGTTAGTAAAGCGAAAATGATATGCTCTTTGATAGAAAGCTATCTAACGATGCCCGGGGCGATGGAGAAAATCGGGGAGAAAAGCAAGGTTCGGTGTTTCTTGTGCCAAATTTTTATACTATCCTATGTTTGGGGAATTGGAGGGAATTTGCTTGCCGAAAGTGGAGAAAAGTTTGAGATATACGTGCGGGATCAATTTGATGATTATCCAGATGCAAGGTAAGTAATAATATTATACAGGGTGATTCAGAACTTATCCAAAAAAAATTTTGGATGTACAGGGGTCTCTTACAAATACAATTTTGTAAAGAAAAAATCAAAAAGGGCAGTTTGAAAATGATTTAAAAATACACTTCTGCACGGCACTGGAAACTGATCCACTGTAAAACAATGCAACCGGCATGGCGGCAAAGTGTAATAAAAACGGACAAAAACTTGAAAGAATTTCGCAAGGAAAGAAATAGATATAATTTTATAGCACCTATTTCATTCAATTCATTCATTTATTCAATTCAACTGCTTTTGTCGCTATTGTTATTATTAATTAATAAAATTAATTAGTGATTTTAAATAATAAAATAATTTGACATAGCTGATGTTACCACCGACATGTAAACACATTTGGATCCGTCTTACTCAGTTTAAACGAACTAACACAAATGTTGTCTTGCTTCACCATAACACAATTGTTCTCTTGCTTCACCATAAATTAAAACGATATCCATCATCTCCGAGTTGCTATACACGCAAGCCGTTTTTGACACTAACTACTAAAAAAACTATTGTAAACACTATCACAACGACGATTGTAATATCGAATTTCAGTATTCGGAGTCGCTGAGGCCAAGTGGCTCTTCATGAGTATACGAATGATGCTAGCGTTGTCCAGCGATGTAATGCTTGAAAGTACCTACTACAACTTCAATAATTTTTTTCTCGGAAACTATAAGGATTTTACAAAATTTTTTTTACGATATTGATTCCATTTCTCGTGCCGCATCTATTGTCAAATTTTTTGGATAAGTTGTGAATCACCCTGTATATGGGAAAACTTTTTATTAACTGATTTTAAAATGTTTATATGCCAATCGTTTATATTTAAAAATTGATACAAAATGACGTACATAACGGAAATTATTTGAAAAAAAGGACCGAAAACCATTTATTTTCAGTTTTACACTAATTTTCAGTCTTCAGTATATTTTTTAAATATAGGTATTGTATATACAAAAGGTGCCTCAAAATTATGAGCACATATCATTTTTAAGCAAAAATTATTTTTGTAATGTTTAGGTTGCCAGCTGGAAGTGATCTATGGTCTCTGTACATGGACACTCAAGGTAAAAAACTGGAACCTTGGCAAAGAATAATACCACAGTTTCAGTACGACAAAACCCTGCCCTTTTTTGAAATGTTGGTGCCGACAGTAGATACTGTCCGTTACGGATATATTATGGAAAGACTAATATACGTGAATCACCCGGTTATGCTCACTGGAGACACGGGTATATTCCGGAAATTACTCGAGTTGCAAAAATTGTTTTTGTTACCTTTTTAGGTGTTGGTAAATCAATCGTAGCGAAAGATGCCCTAAATTCACTCGCCAGTACAAATAAATTTGTGCCGGCAACCATGAATTTCTCTGCACAAACCAGCAGTTTTAGAACTCAGGAGATAATCGAATTAAAACTGGAGAAGAAAAAGAAAACGTTACTTGGTGCTCCGATGGGGAAAAAAGTAATTATTTTTGTTGACGACGTCAATATGCCCAAGCTTGAGACCTACGGGGCACAACCCCCCATTGAACTTTTAAGGTAAATGTAACTTCCTTATTCAATTACGTAATATTTCTCATCAATATTCTCGAATTCAGTATATTTATATCTTTGTTTTTCTTTTTAATTGGTAAAATATAATAATTTTATTAATTTGCAGACAATTGTTGGACTTTGGTGGACTATTCGATCGGGAGAAACTCTTCTGGAAAGAAATAAAGGATGTTGTAATATCTGTTGCTTGTGCTCCTCCTGGAGGTGGAAGAAATCCTCTTACTCCGAGATTCGTTCGCCATTTTGGAATGCTGCTTATTCCTCCTCCCAACGAATTTTCACTTAAAGCCATATTCAAAGTAAGTCCAACCTCAGTAGGTATACAGGGTGTTTTTAAATGAAGTAGAAAAAATAGTACCAGTGTACAGAATGTAGAGCAAAAATAAGAGGATTGAAGTAAATATACCTTATATGAAACTTGCACCCCTGAGGCGATATATCCTCTTAAAGGAGGGGGTTGAAATTCACATTTTAATTTTTTTTTTTAACATGAGGAATGCTAGAGACACCAAACTTGGTATGAGCATCCTATTAATAAAGAGTCAACTTTTCAATATTTATTCGATCATTGACATATTTTATAAAGGAGTGAAACATGAACCCCCATTGCAATATTTTATTAAGAAATTTTTCATATGAAGCAAATTATTTATTTAATAGTAAAAAAATTTGTAAAAATAAAGTAGGCGGATGTCATAACAAATAAATTGTTAATTATCATATTAATAAATTTACACTTTATGTCAACAAATAATTAGTACCAATTGATTAATTTATTATCAGAATAATTATGACAAATAATATTTATACCAATGACGAATATGTCGACATGCTCCAAGTGTTTTTCGAATCTAGAAAAAAATTAACGCTGCAGTAGTAAGATTATACCACCAAAGATTTCCAAACCGACCGATTCGTCATAGACAAATATTGTCCTCGGTGGAAAGAAGGCTTCGCGAAACTGGTAAAATTCAGCCCAATCGTGACGGTGCCGGAAGAGGCGTAATGTCCGAACTGTTGAAACTGAGGAAGCTATACTGGAACATCTAGAACAAGACTGTGATACAAGCACAAGACAGGTGACCAGGCAACTGCAAGTATCTCACAGTCTTGTGTGGAATGTAGTTCATGAAAATCTTTTATACCCTTTTCACCATCAACCCGTGCAAGAATTGAATGACCCTGATTTACCTAACCGCGTGAATTTTTGTCAATGGTACATTAATATTTCCAGGCACGACTTAAATTTCCTAATGAATATACTTTTCACCGATGAAGCAAATTTTCCTAGAGTAGGTGCAGTAAACCTTCATAATGTTCATTCATGGTCGGAAGAAAATACTCATGAAATATTTGTTTCAAGATGTCAACATAATTTCGGTTTAAACGTTTGGATGGGAATTGTAGGAAATACTATAGTAGATCATTTTATTCTTCCACACAGGCTTGAAGCGGCCGAGTATCTTAGATTTTTTAACGAAAATCTTGCAACATTACTTGATGCGCCCCTCGCTACACGTCAGGTGATGTGGTATATGCACGATGGGGCGCCTGCACATAGTGCACTTGCCATTAGAGAATGGTTAAATTTAAATTACCCGAATCGCTGGATTGGTTGTGGTCGTGATGCCCCTGTTTGTTGGCCTGCACGTTCACGTGACCTAACGCCTATGGATTTCTTTTTGTGGGGACACATAAAAAGTATTGTTTATGCCACTCCTTAGAAGAACTACGCTTAAGAATATTTCAGGTAGTAGATGACCTTCGCAATAACCAAGAACTGTTTGTGAGAGTGCATAACTTCAACAGAAGTATTAGGTTATGCTTGCAGCAAAATGGAAATTATTTCGAGAATATTCTTTAAATTTAATTTTGCATTTCTTGTTTTTCGTTTATATTAAATTTTATTTCAGATAAATAACTTTACGTACGACTACTGTAAGTAGTACAAAAACTCACTGTCTGCGATCAATGTAAGATTCCTATTACGTACGGTAAAAAAAACGCACAGTTTTCCTAGCGACTGCCTAGCAACGACCAATACAATACTGTTTGTATTGACCGTTGCTAGGCGGTTACTAGGAAAACTGTACGATTTTTTTACCAAGCTGTGCGATTTTTTTACCGTACAACGTAATAGGAATCTTGCATTGATCGCAGACGGTATGTTTTTAAGTATTTAAAGTAGTGGTCGTAGGTAAAGTATAGTACGTAATACGTGATGTAATGCAATTACGCACTCATAGAATTACGCACTCGTCGCTACGCGGCGTCGTGCGTAACTTTTCCATTCGTGCGTAAAATGCTTTTTACAACACTTATTACGTAATATACTATTACCTACGACCACTGTTGTAAATATTTAAAAGCACACCGTCTGCGATCAATGTAAGATTCCTATTACGTACGGTAAAAAAATCGCACAGTTTTCCTAGCAACCGCCTAGCAACGGTCAATACAATACTGTTTGTATTGATCGTTGCTAGGCGGTTGCTAGGAAAACTGTACGATTTTTTACCAAGCTGTGCGATTTTTTTACCGTACGTAAAATAGGAATCTTACATTGATCGCAGACGGTGTGTTTTTAGTGGTCGTAGGTAAAGTATAGTACGTAATACGTGGTGTAATGCAATTACGCACTCATAGAATTACTTTTCCATCCGTGCGTAAAATGCTTTTTACAACACTTATTACGTAATATACTATTACCTAATACATGTCCTGTAGTCATAAGTTATCAAACATTTTCATTAATTAATAGCAAATGATTTTTAATGTTATTATTAAATTACCAGCTTATTGACAGAAAGTGTCAATTTATGAATATGAAAAATAATAATTTATTTGTTATGACATCCTCCTACTTTATTTTTATAAATTTTCGCAATTACCTCTTTAGTGAACGATGACGTATCGAATTTTTTTACTAGAAAACTATCGGTTTTATCGAAAAATTAAAAGAAGTAAAAAAGTTGCGCAATAAATTAGTCTTCCCAATAAATATTCTTAAATAAATAATTTGCGACATATAAAAAATTTCTAATAAAAATAATAATCTTTATTTGAAAATAGGAAACATCCTAATATACAAAAATGTTTTATTGTCAACAATTCTGACTCCATATAACTTTTTATAATGCAATAAAATTAAAATATTGCAATGAGGTTGACTATTTCACTCCTTTATAAAATACGCCAATGATCGAACAAATATTGAAAAGTTGTCTCTTTATTAGTAGGATGCTCATACCAAGTTTCGTGTCTCTAGCATTCCTCATGTTAAATAAAAAAATTAAAATGTGAATTTCAATCCCCTCTTTTAAGAGGGTATATCGCCTCAAAGGTGCAACTTTCATATAAGGTATTTTTACTTCAATCCTCTTATTTTTGGCTCTACATTCACTGGTACCATTTTTGCTACTTCATTTAAAAACACCCTGTATTTTAATTTTTGGCAAATATTAATTCCCAAAAAAACAGAAGAATTTAGATATTAGCATTTTATAAAATCGATCAACATAAATTAAAAAGTTAAGTTAAATACCGCTTCATTTTTTCCAGGCTATTTTAAAAGGTTTCTTATTCGACTTCTCCAACGACGTGCGCGATTTAGGTGACTATATGGTCAATGCAGCTGTGGAGATATATCAAAGAATTGCCGAAGACCTATTACCGACCCCAGCGAAGTCCCATTATGTGTTTAACCTCAGGGACTTATCCAAATGCATCCAGGGAGTCACGCAGGCCGATTCCGGCACCATGAGGGAGGAAGCCTCGATGCTGAGACTCTTCTATCACGAATGTTTGAGAGTTTTCCACGATCGCCTCATCAACGTAGAGGATAAATCTTATTTTTACTTTTTGATGAAAGAGATATGTACGCGCAATTTTGGCACCAGCGTCGTTACTTTACCCGATGAGTCCGTGATACGAAATCCGCCTTTTCTGTTATTCGGAGATTTTATGCAATTTGGGGCGGACAAGGAGAATCGGTTGTACGAAGAACTGAGGAATATCGATAAAGTTAGAAACATTTTACAGGTAATTTTGTTCTTATAACTGTTAGTCCAGGCGATATCTGTTTTAAATATATAATACTTGGGTAAAACGCATATGATCGAAGATTTTTGCTTTAACGGCTCCTAAATAACATCAGAAATGATAATTTTTAATTTTTTTCTTGAATCTCTCGTCGACAACTTAGCAACTATTCATTTTAGACAAAAATGGAAGAGGAAAAAAGTTTTGTAATTAAATTTTGAACAAGATAGAGTTAGTTGCAATTCGAAAAGATAATTATTGTTATTGCAAAAATCGGAAAAATCATTTAAAAAATTGCAAAAAATGCTAGTTTATTTGTCAATTTTTTTCAGACACTTGAATAATACCTAGGATCTTCATGCTTTTCCCAATTAAACTTCTTAGTGCCTAGAATCATCACACCAAATTTTACATAATAATTGTTTAAAATTTTTTTTTAAATTAAAAAATTATCAAAATCAAATTTTTAAAAATTTAAAGCCTTTGCATACTTGAAAATTTCATCACAAAAAGAAGAGCTCTCAAGCTTTAAAATGCTTTTTGAAAAATTCAAATCGGACGATTAGATGAGCCGTGGTGATTGTTTAAACATTTGCGCAATTTTCACTCATAAACAATTGCAATAATTTAATGTTTTTTTAATTTTTTTTTATTTTAAAATATGGTTTGAGAGTACTCGGAAAGACGAGTATTTAAAAAAAAAACGATGATCCGCCTATTATTTTCGGAGTTATAGCCCGTTAAAGTTAACCCTTATTTACAGCAAAACTATAAGAGAATAAGGGCTGTTTTTTGAACTAATAGGTTTGTCATTCCGAGTACTTTCCAGATATAAATTTTCATTATTTGCAATCACGGGCGTCCCATTTAAAATGTCACTCAAAGATTCAAGACCGCGTGAAATCAATGGGGTATCAGTGGTGGGGGGAGGAAACACAGCTACTCCGATCTGAATTCTCGAGTTCAAAACTGCGACGCTCGGAAAAATTTCAATTATCTCAGCTTCTAATGGACCAATTTCGATGATTTTTTTCTAAATCGATGTCTCGAAACTTATAAAATTCAATTATCAACTACATTTTATTATTAATTATTGGACTTTTGACATGCCTATAAATAGTTACTTTAAAAAATGATTTGTTTAAATATTATAAAATTGTTTAAACAATAATTATTTAAATAAACAACTGAAAATTGGTATTAATTTTTAGTTGTACGATAAATTTCTAAAAATCTTTCAAAAATTATTACTCACATAAATTGTGAATAATTATAATTTTAATTTTTTCGTTTACTAATATTTATCTAAAATTTATTTTTTATTTATATAAAAAAGTATAAGAATCTTTTGGATACTTCAATAAACACTACACACTTTTCATGATTTTTCAAATTTTAAAGTATTTATTTCAATTTTTATTTACATTTAATCTAATCTAATTCTTTTACTAGTTGGTGATTTTTCACATGCCTCATCAGTATTGTCACAATCTATTTCGTCGTCGATTTCCTTGTCCTGTAACTGCAAAATATCATTTTCTAACGACTCTGAGATCTGATTGTCGAGTTCACTTGCACTTTCTTCTGACATGTCTTTTTCAAAATCGATTTCGAACTCATCTACTTCCACATTGCCCTTGGCAATGGATGCAATACTCAGAGCATTTTTGAACTCGAGAATTCAGATAGAAGTAGCTGTGTGTTTGCTCCCCCCACCACTGATATTTCATTGATTTTACGCGGTCTTGAATATCTTTGAGTGACATTTTAAATAGGACACCCGTGTTTGCAAATTTTGAAAATTTATATCTGGAAAGTACTCGGAATGACAAACCTATTAGTTCTAAAAACAGCCCTTAGACCCTTATAGTTTTGCTGTAAATAAGGGTTAACTTTAACGGGCTATAACTCCGAAAATAATGGGCGGATCATCAGATTTTTTTTAAATACTTGTCTTTCCGAGTACTTTCAAACCATATTTTAAAATTAAAAAAAAAAAAATTGAAAAAAACATTAAATTATTGCAATTGTTTATAAGCGTGAAAATTGCGAAAATGTTTAAACAATCACCACGGCTCACCTAATCGTCCGATTTGAATTTTTCAAAAATCATTTTAAAGCTTAACAGCTCTTCTTTTTGTGGTAAAATTTTCAAGTATTCAAAGGATTTAGATTTTTATAAATTTGATTTTGAAAATTTTTCAATTTAAAAAAAAATTAAACAATTATGTAAAAACTATCGAACCGAATTGGATGAAATTTGGTGTGATGATTATATGCACTAAGAAGTTTAATTGGGAAAAGTATGAAGATCCCAGGTATTATTCAAGTGTCTGAAAAAAATTGACAAATAAACTAGCATTTTTTGCAATTTTTTAAATGATTTTTCCGATTTTTGCAACAACAATAATTATTTTTTCGAATTGCAACAACTCTATCTCGATCAAAATTTAATTACAAAACTTTTTTCTTCTTCCATTTTTGTTAAAAATGAATATAATTTTTTTGCTATTTTTCTATACTTTTTTGCAATAACAATTAAGCCCACTTTTTTTTTATTTGCATAGAAAAATTATCATTTCTGATGTTATTTAGAAGCCGTTAAAGCAAAAATCTCCGATCATATGCGTTGTACCCAACACGAAACAGATACCGCCTGGACTATGTGTGAAAATATAGTGTCGCAAAAATATTGAAGTTTATCAAAGAAGTATTTTATATTTAAAAAAATAAGTTTAGTAATAACTCGTGTGCCGCATGAATGTGGGGTTTTTAAAAATAAAAATAAGTTGGTTAAAAACAAGCTCTATCCATCTTGAAATCCATCCTGATTTTGTATGACTAAAAAATTCCAATTATTTATTATCAACTGCATTTATGTAATATTCAGGATTATCTGGATGACTTCAACCTGTTAACTTCAAAGGAAATGAAGCTCATCTTTTTCATGATGGCAATTGAGCACTGTATACGGATTGCGAGGATACTAAGATCGGAAAGAGGTAACGCCTTACTCGTCGGAGTGGGAGGTATGGGAAAACAAAGTTTAACCAAACTAGCTTCCCATCTCAACGCTTACAAGTAAATATGTTTCCTTTTCCACGACGGTGACCTCTACAGAATCTTTTTTTAGATGTTTCCAAATAGAACTGACCAGAAATTACGACCACAGCTCCTTCTTCGAGGATCTGAGGAAGATGTACTTCAATGCTGGAGTAACATACGAGGACAGCGTTTTCCTGTTCACCGACACCCAGATTGTTCAGGAGGAGTTCTTGGAAGACATAAATAACTTGTTGAACTCGGGTGAAGTCCCCAACTTGTTTGAAGCTGACGAATACGAGAAGGTCATTATTGGAGTACGACCCGCTGTAAAAGAGGCTGGCCTGGATGAATCGAACCGCGATGGTATTTATAACTATTTCATCGGCAGAGTTAGAAGCAAACTTCACTTGGTCATCTGTATGAGCCCTGTGGGGGACGCCTTTAGGTATGTTTAAATTAATCCTAGGAACAGAATATGAAACAGAATTTAAAACTGTTTTAAATTTGATTCCAATTCAAATGCTAAAAATAATTTTGATTCGACTTTAAGTGGTCAAGTAATTTCACTTATTTTAATACCAAAGTAGTACATTTTTTCATTATTGAGTGTAATGAAAATTTCCATAAAAAATTAAGTAAACATAATGGAATAAAAAAATGACGATAAAACAAGAGAAATAAAATATTTGTAAACTTGTACTAATGGCTATCTGTTTGTTTCTATTTATCCAATAAGGGGATGCAGAAATATTGTAATGTATAAAAACACACCACAGAAATGAGACAACCCCCAAATCCAAAAGCCAAAGGCTTGTGCGGAAGGGGGCTACACTTGAAAAAACGCGGACAAACACCCATTATCCATCGACATTGTCAGTGCCGACACCGGGGATCGAACCCGGACCAGAGTAGGAAGCCTAGCCGAGAAATGCTTGCCACCGCACTCTCCACCGACTGCGCTACCGTGGCGATATCATGGCTGAATTTTGTTAATCTGCTCAAAATTACACAGGCCGACAAAATTTTACAAAAATCCAGAACCAGAGACCAGATCTAGTGTCCCTAAAGGATTTTGGTGCTTTGTTTATGAATCCCAGCTCAGAAATGGCCCATCACAATACGTTCTCGAGATATTCTAACCTAAAAGTGCAAAAATCACGTTTTTTCGCTATATTCGGGGTCAGATTACAAAGTGAATTATTTTTTTTTTTCTAAAATCGCGTTGAACCATCTCAAAGTACCACTCTTCTATGTGGACCTCAACTTTTTTGAAAATCTTTTTTCTCCATAGAGATATGATAGATTGAAGTTTAGTACTTCAGCGTTTTCGTTACAACATGGAAATAAACAAAATTTATCCAAAAACGAGATATAGAATACTTATATGTTTCTTGAGTCAGTGAATTTGAAAACACCGGCAAACCTGCTCCATAACCTCAATATTTCAAGATTTTCCAAACTAAAATTGCGAAAACACTACTATATGAAGAGATATTTATGTATACACGCTGTTCCATTCGCATGCTAAGCTCATGACAGGTTCATCATAATGCGCTATAACCTACGACACGTTAACCTAAATGCGCAATACCAGTGAGGGTTAAACCCACGGCAGGTTAACGTGAATGCGCAATAACCTGTGAGCGCTAAACCCGCGACAGGTAAACGTAAGTAAGCTATAACTTGCGACGCTAAACCCACTACAGGTAAACCTAAATGCGCAATAACCAGCGAGGACTAATCGCGATAATTTTTAAGATGCAAGCGCACCAAGCGGCGAAAGCAGTAAGCTCCGAAACAAGGTAATTTTGACGTTGCCGTTCGCGTTTACACATTCATTTGAACAACATTTGTCTTATTTGCCATTATTATTAGTAATTTTGTTATCAAACTGCGGTTATTTCACTTTTGTGTTATTTTATAGGTTTCAAATATTTCATAAATAAATTTTAAGGCAAGTATTTATGTCTACTTTATTTGTCTCTAGCATTACAATGTAATGTACATTTTATTAAGTTATAACTATGAACTTATCCGTTGTGGAATACATTTCCTATTTACATATATGCTAACGAAAACTTTTGTTGTATATTAGAAGGAGAGGCAGTTTTTTAGGCTGATCATGTGGTACTATATGGGAAAATTGAGCAAAGTTAATTTAAATTTAGAAATTTATATTATGTCTGCAGACTAGTGCCCTTACTTACTAACAACCCTCATGAAATTCAGGGAGCATTATCTACCGGCAATAATATTTTGAAAATTACTTCAATGGTTCAATGAAAACTTAATTCTGGATTTTTCTTGGACCACGAAGAGCAACCTTGAACTGAACAATAATAGTTTGACAGTTACTTCTTTCTATCCATAATTGCTGAAATTTTCCTCACGCTATTTTCTTAAAATAACAGTGTTCAAAAAATGAACACTAAATACAGTTTTAAATAAAATACAAAACAAAATGTCACAGTGAAGAAATATTTACCTTGTTTCGCTAGTATCACTTGTCACCGCCAGAGGGCGAGCTCTTAGCTGCATTCGCCAAAACCACAGAAGATAAAACAACCAGAATTATAAGTTGGCGTGGTGGGGGTATTCGCGCAGATCGGTGCACGCACCCCCCACTTTTGGTATAGGAACAAAGTGGCGTAGTTACAAAAGCATTTTAGCCATTTTATGAACCTGTTTGTCGTTTGTTATCCCGCGCGTTGAGCATTGGCGTCGTTTTACGTGATTTATTGTGTTGTGTAAATAAATGATTGTTCGAGTGTATTATTCTATAAGGTACTGTAAAATTAAGGACAAATTAAGTATTAGAAAATAAAAGACAATATAAAAACTATGAATTGTGGTGTTGAAAGGAAATATGGCGTTTCCTGATTTTGATTTACTTTTTTAAATGTTAGTTTACAACAATCTAAAACTCAAAATAAATTTAGTTTTTTTTTTAATTAATAATATGTTTTACAATTTAACTGTTTAATGTGATTCGTAAGAAATTAAAATTATAGTCTTAAATGCAAATACTGTTGGTAGCTAAATACCCTTGAAAGTCGCCCGAAACGATCGAAAGTACCCTTGGACCAGAGTCCTCCGCTCGCTGCTTCCCACACATTACTGCTCGACTCTGGCTTGAACGTACTTTCGATCGTTTCGGACAACTTCCAAGGGCATTTTTAGCATATTTCCCGTCACCCAGGCGAAAATTTGACGGAGTTATGAATTTTTGAAAAAAGGTATAATTTAGAGGTCTTTCCGGATTTTCTCTGTAAAATATATACCGATCGGGTCGCACAAAAAAACATTTTATAGGTTTTTTTATTCTCTACAAAAATGCTATTGAAACTAAGACGATTCCATCATTATTTTTCAAGATATTATAAAAAAAACAAAAAAAAAAATTATTTTTTTGCAGTTGTTATTGTTTAAAAAAAATTGGTCACAACTTTGCTGGGGAAGTCACTTGGGTTTTCATTTACTAAGTATTTTTCAAAAGGAAATACATGAAATTTGCTGTAATTAGTGTAAAAACAGCCTCTTTTTTTCGCTCTTTTGGTTGGCCTAGTTCTCCACACATCATACCCCGTGAAAATTCCGATTTCCAGCTGTCGGACTGAAAAAAGCGGCTTGAAATTTGTCGGACAATACTTTTTGACTGAATTAATTATTTACAATTTTACTAAAAATTACCTATGTAGTAATTGATTTTTAATACTCGTCATTTTGGCATGTTTGTGCCGGTAGACACGTCAATCACAGATTACCAAGAGATGACCAAGTGAACGTGTAATTGTAGTTCAAGAGACAGAGCTATATCATTTTACTCTCTCGCTCTTAATGTAAAACCTACGTAGATGGCGCGGTATGCCACATAGCGGAAATTTTGAAATATTCTTTAAATCCTATTACCAGTATACAAGATTTTCTGTAAAATTTTATATAAATATCAGGTTGGAAATATCTCAACCTACACTTTATACAAAAATTTGCATAAAATCTTGTGCAGTAACATGTAAGCATGTTTTTCTCTTTTTTAATTTTTTATTTAGACATGGTAAAAATAATACACTGAGTTATATTATTATCAATATATTTAACTTTTATATGTAGCTAAAAGATTTTTTTTTTCAAAATGCTTATCACAATGTCGTATATGTGCAGATATAATTTTTCCTGATATATCATACCAAGGGATTTTTGCCAGATTTTGGATCTAAAATATAATACAATAAATTATATATACTGACATATTAGACATACCTAAATAAGATATAAATATAATAAGTACTAACTACTCTTTTATATATTAGTGGTGGAATATATTTTTATTATGATTTGAGAGTTTTACGCTGTAGTAAATAATTAAATAATTATCATATTTTATAATTTATAACAGATAGATATTTTTTTTCAGTAGTTAAATTATCATATATTTTTCGATTACTGATGAGATTTTTTTTCGCATTTTATAGTAACAAGTTTACTTATATCATCAAGGAAAAATATACATATATGTATATTTGTCAAAATAAAAATTATGCATAATTCTCACTTCTCTGAGTTTCGTGGAAAACAGAATAATTTTTTCACATCTTCTTCGGAATATCCACAAATAATACAATATAATGTCATTGTCACAAGTGTCAAAAAAATTGGAAAACCAAAAGTTTCTCACGCAAAAAACACACTTAAACATTAAATTAACAGTCAATACAATAATGGGCACTGAAAAAATACTATACAACACAAATATCAACGCTATATATAAACTACTTACTTACGTACTTACCTGCAACCTATGCGTAGGTTATATAAAATGCGATCGTCATAATGTTAATATTATTTTCATTGCTATTTAACTAATTTCTGTAAACCATATAAGTTTTACTGAACGTATCTTGAATTTATCAACTTCTCGTTTTCTTATCTGGCCATCTGTCGAATTTTATAAAATTCAAAAAATAGATCTCATCAATATTTTCCACCCAGCGCCACCTACTAAATTGTATCAGAAACATTATTATTTCCCAAACCCATTTCAAATTTCTTCTATACCGATAACGAGCACTAGCTCCACCTAGCTCTGTTTTACGTTTAAAGCGACAAAGAGAGAAGTATTGTGTTTAATAAGGTTCAGAGAAAGATAAAAAACAGAGACAACTTTTCCCTATCAACTCGGATCTCTGGTTGGTACTCTGTGACGTCAATGTCGGAAGAATTTCTGTCGGACAAATTTAAATCGGCATTTGCAACAAAATTACCAGTAACTTAAGCTAAAAAAAGAAGATATGGTCTTGATTTGTCAAGACTCGGGGAAATTGACATGTTTTTGGACTTTTCCGAGTGGAAAACCAGAGGAATCAAGAAAGTCGCAGAGGAAAAATGTGGTAGACTCGTCAAAAGGATGCGCCTCAGGAGTTATAAAGTATGTGGTAATCGACTTTCCAGGGGGGGGCCTGTACTGTGGACTATGTTGACTGCATGAAAAACAGTAAATACCCTAAAAATCAGAAGAGGAACCATTATACCATTCGAAAGAGAACAAAATTGTTCATCAGGTTGCGCATAAATATAGAGGATGTTCCATTTAAAAAAAAATAAATAAGTTAAGATTTAAAGTTGACTAAATTATGGCAGAGAGGCTTAGAGTTTTAGCTATATCCCCTATAAATTCTATCGCTCTAACTTTATTATTATAAAATACACATCTTTTTGAATTAGGCAATGCTTTTTTTGAAAAAAAATTAATACCTAAAACGGTTAACATTAAGAATAGAAACCTTTATGAAAGTTCACCTAAAAATTGACGTAGAATCCAAAATTGCAATAATATACAGGGTGTTCCATTTAAAATAACGAAGGTGACGTCAACTTCCGAAAATATTATTGCCCAAATTTTCAAAATTAAAATCGTAGTAGTCTCTGAAATATGTCTAATGTTTCGTCACTGTGGGACCCTGTATGTTATATTATAAGTTGTTATAGTAAGTATGTAATATGTTATATTAGAAGTAGAAATAAAAATTATTTGAATGTTGTATAAAAACAATTGCCTTCCTAATTGACTCCTGATGATGTAAAATACAAAAATACAAAGAAAAGTGATGGATCGAGTGGGACACCAAGGATCTTAGTATCGGAATTATCTTATTTTGAATTAAAGAATAAGTGTACAAATTGTCAGAATTTTTTGCAACATTGGCACCTTTAGGCAACCCCTTATCTTGTACCCACACAGATATGGACCTTATCAATTTTTTTAAATAAAAAAATTACATGTTTGACCCCCTATCCTCGCATTATACATCCAGGGTGCCTTCTGACGAGAACGATTCTCGCTGTATCGGTAATAACCGAACCTGTAATGGATATAATTTCGACTGCACCGAGTCACACGTACCCCTACGTAGCCAGCTCTTAGATTATAAGTTCCAGTCCATATTATTTTTCAAAAATATTGCACATCCCCGGTATTTCTAATTTTTCATAAATTTGTCGTAATTCTTCAGCAATGGATAAAAAATATATACTTTACGTCAAAATGAATGCAAAGTTGATTTTCTATTGAAGGCTTATCTTCAAGTCATAGTAAAGGGCTGTTTTATGATATTTTTATCTAAACAAAATCCCACATAAAAAAGCAAAGAAATTATTTTTGAATTGTAATTTTTTAGTCTGATTAATAATGGGGTAATACAGGATGTCCCGAAATTCATGTAACAAAATTTGAACATAGATTCTTAAGACAAATTTAGGGGACCTGTATTTTTTATTTTTGCCAAGTGGTCCCCTCTTTCGGAGTTACAGCCCCCTGAAGTCCGCCCCTAAGAATAATCTTTTTTTTATATCTCAGAACCCTGTTGTACGAGAATCACTAAATTTGGTACACGTAGGTTTTATGACATGTGGAATCTGATGGTGCTCCGTTTTTGGGCAGGGAACCCCCTTAAAACAATTTTTCGTGGGCCCCCTTGTCTAGGAGCCAAAAAAAATTTGGTCGCATTTTTAAATTTCTTAAAAATTATCAATCCACTAGAAAGCCATTTAATTTAGAAACTTTATGTCTATACTTTTTTCGTAAAACACAATATTTTTGAAAAAAATGTCAAAATGTAATTGAATGCATATCGTGATTTGCCAATTTCCTCAAAAACACTGCGTTTTACGAAACAAATATCAAGAGACAAAAAAGTTTCTAAATTCAAATGGTTTTCTAGCTAATAATTAAAAAAAAAAATCAAATTTGCGCACTGAGAGAATTTCTTTGTTACGGTTAGTAAAAATCCATTAACCGTAGCAAAATATCTGCATTAAATAGGCGCCAAATGAGTTCCCTTCCTACCACAAGAAAAACTGCTTTGCTGAAAGGAACTCACTTGCAGTAAGTAGACAGTTTTGCTATAATCTCTTTGCTACCTCAAGTAAGTCAACTCATTAACCACAAACGACTCAACTCATTAACCCCAAACGAGTGAACTCATTAATATTTTTTGGGTGTTGTTGGCTCTCCTCACTCTTTCGTGCACCATGCAATGCAACTTAAATGTTGTACATATTTTCAAACAAGCATAAAATGAAAATCCCCATTCGAGAAGTAAGAGTTTGTATCCAGCCTGCATTGTGTGCATGTAATCACGCATGCATATAAGTATTATTGCATACCTACGCAAATACCCTAATTGAAAACTTTCTGTCGGTTGTTAGACAACTGAAAACTGACTCAACACTCGATCACAAAACATCTATTTATTATAAAGGACCCATCGACTAACGATTGACGAACGTATATCCAGTGCTTACGTGTTACAGCAAAATGGCGAATACCTCTAACTTCTCTATGGACGAAACCATGGTCAGTATAAGGCACGCTTAATCGCGCATGCGCACTGAGCCGAATTCCGGTTTATTCTGGAAATTATTAAGTGAGGCCTCAGTTACAGTAAGTGAGCCCTAATTTGCTACAAATAAGGACTGACTAACCCCAATTGGATCAATTCTAAAAAAGTACATTCACTTCCCTAAGCAAAGCAACTCACTTGGGACAGATAGACAGTCGACTAAAATAAATTTCAACTGAACTATCATATAGCCACAAGACTTTTCTTTGTTGTGGTAGCAAACACGTTTCAGCAAAACGTATTTACTTGTGGCAGCATGAATTTTATTCTGTGAGAGCAAAAATTTTACCTACTGTAGCTAAAATATCTTAGCAACGCCCCTCATTTGGTGGATTTCTTTCAGTGCGACCAAATTTTTCTGGTTCCAAAGACAAGGAGGTCCACGAAAAAGTGTCTTAAGGGGATTTCTCGCCAAAAAGCGTAGCACTGTGAGATTCCGCATGTCATAAAACAACTGTGTACCAAATTTAGTGATTCTCGTACAACATGGTTTTGAGATATAAAAAAGACTTCTTCGGGGCAGATTTCAGGGGGCTGTAACTCCGAAAGAGGAAGCCAGTTGGCAAAAAGAAAAAATACGGGTCCCCTAAATTTGTCTTAAGAATTTATGACCAAATTTTGTTGCATGAATTTGCGGACATCCTGTATACCCAAATAAAGAAAAAACTAATGAAATTAATTATTAATTAATTAATTAATTAATTAAATTTACTAGGAAATATATTTATTTCTAATAAAATTGCAAATGAAGTTGGTATTACGGAATTTGTAATAATACTATTACATCAATGAGCCCTTAGGGAATCTTAAGTAATGCCACTAATGACGATTAATAATATTATAGCTCACAATGTAATTTTTCTGACACACTGCAACTGCATTTTAGGAGACGTTGTAGAATGTTCCCATCATTAGTAAATTGTTGCACCATAGACTGGTTCGAGAAATGGCCTCAAGAAGCCTTGTTATCTGTAGCTGAAAATAGCTTGAAAGGAATAGGAGATACTGATGAAGTATCTAACAGACTGGCCATAGTGTGCGTTGCCATGCACGAGGTACATCATTTTCTCATATTCATTTTGTAAGTTCTTATATGCATTAAATTCTAGAGCGTGGAAGTTATGACGGAAAGGTTTTACGACGAAATGAGGAGGCACTATTACACCACACCAAGCAGTTATTTAGAACTATTAAAGTTGTACAAAGTTACTTTGGAGACGAAGAAAAATCAGATTATCAAAACCCGTGACAGAATAGCCAACGGCTTAAAGGTGATACCGTTTTTAAAAGTTTTTCAAAAATTCTATACTATTTCCTCAAATTTGGTATAATAGCGAGCCGTAGTAAAATGACATCACAGATTTTTGTTTCTTGTATCATTCTGTAGAGTTAAGCGTTGAACATTGATTGACACATAGTTTTAGTTCTCATTAAATTTAGAGAATTTTTTATCCCAATCTTGTTATTTGAAGCTATTTTGATTGATATACAGTGCGTCCCAGAAGTAATGCAAAAAATTCATATTTCATTTTGTGTTGAGTTTTCACAAAAACGCTAAAACACGTCAATTAGCTTAAACCTTTTTTGCGCTATGTTTCATAAACCCATGACGTCATCGACATTTTTTTTAAATAGCACCACCTAATTTTTTAAGCATAAATGGATAGCCCTTTTGAAGGGAAATGCGTCGATATAGGGTTTGGCCTACTTTAGTTTGACAGGAGCGAAAAAAAAGACAACGATTGGAATGAACATGGTTTGAATTAATAACAAAAATAGGTATCACAAATTTATGCGCGAACAGTGCTATAGCAAAAAATCTGTTTTGGTTGATTGTTGGCACATGTTTTTATGTAGATTGGGTAGGTACACCCGATCACATTGGCTATGTAAGCATTGTTCTGAAGACGACAGTTAGCGAATGCAATAGTGCCTTATATCATTGTCACACTTACAAATACCATAACTTTACGTTACGATGGTGTTGTGTTTAAATGAGAAACAAAGAACTGAAATCCTAATTATGGTTGAATACGGAGATATAGGATCCGTAGTTATGATGAAATATGTCAATTATTCAATGCCAAGTATCCAGAACAACCAATACCTCCGTGTACAGTATGCAGATTAGTACCCAAATTTGAAGACGCTGGCCATGTTAGAAATGTGTCTAGATCTAGAAGGCCAACGACAATGACAGAAAATGATAGGCAAAATGTTATGTTTAGCCGTCACTGAAAATCCACATATTGCCGTTCGTCGTATCGCCGCAAACGCCAACATATTGGTACATAAAAACGTACCTACAATCAACCAAAACACAAAACATCCCCAAATTTCCATTTTATACTGTGGCACTGTTCTCGCATCAGTTTATTATACCTACTTTTGTTGTTATTTTATACCATGTCCATTGCAGTCATTGGCTTTTTTCCGCTCCTGTCAAAGTAAAGTAGGCCAAACCCTATATCGACGTATTTCCCTTCAAAAGAACTATCCATTTATGCTTAAAAAATTAGGTGGTGCTATTTAAAAAAAATGTCGATGACGTCATAGGTTTATGAAACATAGCGCAAAAAAGGTTTAAGTAATTGACGTGTTTTAGCGTTTCTGTGAAAAATGAACACAAAATGAAATATGAAGTTTTTCCGTTACTTCTGGGACGCACACTGTATTTATTTAATTTACCGATGACTATTTTGGAGGCTAGCGAACAGAGCACCCTTACAATCTTCTCAAAAATATTTATCAACCGACTTTTTATTTTTTCAATTGAATATTTGAGAAATTTATGTAACATACTGAGAAATTATTAAACAAAGTTATCCAAAAGTCCCGGTACGGTAGAAAAACTTTCGAAGAATGCATGTTGGGAAAAAATATTTCAAACAAACGTGAAAGGATTTTTCCCTATCTGATGGTGACCTTGGATTTGACCTTGACCTGCAAGGTCATTTGAAGGTCAAGTTAAGTTTTTTAAATGGGAACCCTTATTTTTTATTGCGGATTTGGAAAGAGCAGGAAATTTTACGTCCAATTATGGTCTTGACCATGACTTTGACAATGACCTTCAAGGTCAAATGTGGGTCGAGTTTCAAAAGTCCCGGTACCGCAGAAAAGCTTCGAAGAATGCATTTTGGGAAAAAATGTTCCAGACAGAAGTGTAAGGATTTTTGCCTGCCTATCTGTTGGTGACCTTGGATTTGACCTTGACTTTGGCCTTCAACGTCATTTGAAGGTCAAGTTTTTTAAATGGAAACCCCTATTTTCTATTGCGGATTTAGAAAGAGCAGGAAATTTTTCGTTTAACTATGACCTTGACCAATTCCTTGACCATGACCTTCAAGGTCAAATGTGAGTCGAGTTGCAAAAGTCCCGGTACGGCAGTAGTCCCAACCAATTAACGCAAGGTAGCAAGGTAACGGGGTTTTTGGGGTCGCTGATGGCGAATTTGAAATCGGTTTTTACAAATTCGTAATCCAAGATGGCGGACAATATTTTAAAAAAATCAACTAATTTACGCCAAATTTGGTATACGGGGGTTTTTGGGGTCGCTGATCATGAATTTGAAATCAGTTTTTGAAAATTCGCAATCTAAGATGGCGGACAAGATTTTTAAAATGAGTTTTGGTACCATCAAGATGGTGCACCTGCTCATTTTCGGGCGATCGAGAGAAACTACCTAGATGTAGTTTTTAATAATCGTTGTATAGGTCGGAGAGGAACTATTTAGGGGCCAGTTAGGTCTCCTAATCTGTGTTAACTTGACTTTTTTATTTGGGGCTACATAAAAAATAAAGTGTACACTCCTAAACCACGAGATTTAGAATATCTAAAACAAAAAATAGTCGGTGTTTACGCTGATATTACACCTGATATGATAAGTCCAATTGAAAATATTTATGTCCGTCTAGGAATCTACCAAAATGTTGATAGAGAACATTTTGACCACAGGTTGTAAGCCTTGTCTTAACTGTCCGGGATCGTTAGCCTTATCTTAACTGGCCGGGCTATCTCCTTGCCTTAACTGACTGGGATCGCTAGCTACCCTACAGTGACTGAAATTTTTCAAAATTCTTGAAAAAATCTTTTTAAAATAATCTTATAATACTGGTTCAAGGCCAAGAGCTTGATTATGGTCATATTCATACATTTGTTTTCCCGTTCTTCCTAACATATCCAAAAAATAATAGTTAATGTAAATAAATTAACCTGACTTTGACATGATCTTGAGGGTCATTGTCGAAGTTGTAGTCAAGGTCGTACTTGAAGGTTACATTACAGCTCTTTCCAAATCCGTAATAAAAAATAGGAGTTACCAATGAAAAAACAACTTTGACCTTGGCATGACCTTGAAGGTCATTGTCAAAGTCATAGTCAAGATCATATTAGGACGTAAAATTTCTTGCTCTTTCCAAATCCGCAATAAAGATAGGGGTTCCCATTTAAAAAACTTAACTTGACTTTCAAATGACCTTGAAGGTCAAAGTCAAGGTCAAATCCAAGGTCACCATCAGATAGCCAGGGAAAAATCCTTACACGTTTACCTGAAACATTTTTTCCCAAAATGCATTCTTCGAAAGTTTTTCTGCCATACCGGGACTTTTGGGCAATTGCCCTGTGAAAATTGCTAAGTTGTTCTTACCTGATTCATATGTAAATATCTTTTGAAATACGACTTTTAACTTTTCCTTTTTTGTAAATTACAGAAATTATATGAAACCAATAACGTAATCGATTCTATGAAAGAAACGTTGATAGCCCTGGAACCAGAATTGGCTAAGAAATCCATAGCCGTTGAAGAACTAATGGTGCATTTAGCAAAGGAACAAAAGCAAGCGGATAAAGTACGAAGTGTGGTGAAAAGCGACGAAGAGGTGGCAAAGGTACTGTCTGACTTCCGATGTTTGTTCTCATACTTTTCATGAATACCAAAATAAAAACAAATGAATAAAATGTTTTATTGTTGCAGGCCAAAGCAGAAGACACACAAGTCTTAGCCGACGACGCCCAACGTGATCTAGACACGGCATTGCCAGCATTAGAAGCTGCAACTAAAGCACTAGAAGCTCTCAATAAAAACGATATTAATGAACTGAAGGTTTTCCAAAAGCCTCCAAAGCTTGTGCAATTCGTTATGGAATCCATATGTCTACTACTTGGTTCAAAGTAAATACTGCTTGAATTCCAAATAATTTTTGGAGCATCGCTGAAATTTGTTTTATTGAATTATTTTCAGGATCGATTGGGCATCCGCTAAAATCGTTCTCGGAGATGGCAACTTTCTAAAGAAATTACAGGAATATGACAAGGATCACATCAGTGAACTGGTACTGAAGAAACTGAAGACTTACATAGACCACCCCGATTTTACTCCTGAAAAAATTGCTAATGTTTCGAAGGCGTGTAAGAGTATGTGCATGTGGGTTAGAGCCATCGATATGTACGCTAAGGTTTACAAAGTCGTCGAACCCAAGAGAAAAAGGTAAACGTGTACTTAAAATAAACTGGTTTTGTTGAAGTAGGTAGGGGAAACGTTAAAAATTTTGGTGTGTGTATACAAGCTCTTATTGAACTTAAGGTAATGATCGATAAACTAAGGTTTTATTAAATGTCATCACTAGACTGGAGGGTGCCGAAAAGGAACTCAATCAAGTGATGGGCCTTTTGCGGGAAAAGCAGAGGCAACTGGCAGAAGTAGAAGCTATGATCGCAGCTTTAGAGGCTAAATTTAATGCAGCCGTGGCGGAGAAACAAGCACTTGTGAATAACATAGAATTGACTTCTAATAGACTTAACAGAGCAGGAAGGCTGAACGTCGCTTTAGGTGATGAACAAGTTAGATGGGAAGAAAGTGTCAAAGTGAGTAACTTTTACATTTTTAAGTTTTATAATTTTGTGTGTAACTGTAAACATGCATACAGACTAAGCTCAAACTTCATTCTTCATTCTTCATTCATTACTGCTATATTTCCTACACTTAACTGAGTTTGACACAACAGCATCAGTCATTTTATTGACCATTGGTTCTATAAGCTATGCCATTAGATAAAGTAAAAACTGATGCTTGCCCACAATTTTTGACGCTTATAGGATTCGGGGGGCATGCGATCGACACGCTCGGATATGATTATACTCCTTTATCATTATTATTACATTTATAATTTTTATCTAAGTAACAAAATGTCTCTTTTTGAGGCACACTTTCTTAGATCGGAGGATATTGACCACACTGCCCTCTGGCTGCAAACTTCTAAAACTGTGGACACTGTCGACAATTAGACAAAACCTTCTTACTCTAGTCGAATTAGATCGTAAAATCTGAAAACTCGAAGTAGGCATTTTATTGCACTTTTTGACAGGGAAGGGTATGTAGAATGATAATATCAAATAAATAACTCGAAAGAAGTGACTCTAAGTTGGCAAATTGTAAATAAGTGGCAAATTTACATATTTTTTCTGCCCACGAAAATCTAGACGACCCATCAGGATATTAGTAATTTTATGTTGTAGGCAATTAAATTACCTACAATTTAAGGTATCTAGTTATATTTCACCAATTTGTTAACTGTAAAATAAAGGTTGAACACGGAAATATCAGTCTTCGAAAATTGCGTATTATTATTGCAAATTGATGAAATTTATGGAAAAGACAGTCAATCCAAAGACCAACATGTGTGCCAAAGTCCCATTCAATTGACTGTGAAATTGTTGCTCCAGCTATTTGTTAATTAATTTCGTTTGTTTTCTTGCAACTAATTGTTTAATTACTAAATTTTTATTTTAGAAGTTAAGGGTCGTATGACACTATACTAAAATTATAACTAATTTCAGTAATTAATTAAGAACTTTTTAATCTTGCATGGTATCATACACAAATTGCAACAAAAATTGTTGCAGTTTCTGTATGATACTATGCAAGATTAAAAAGTTCTTAGTTAAGTACTGAAATTAATTATAATTTTAGCATAGTGTCATACGACCCTAATATCGTAGATATAGTTCTAAATGATCCAAAGAAACTTATCGAAAGAGAAAAATTTCAAAGAGTTCTGCCGCGTGCATTCATTAACGTTAACTTTTACTGCTGCTAGCGCGTTTATTACATGAACTATAAATGTAAAACTTTCTAAAAATAAAATTTTAACCCTTTCTTTACGGTCCAATACGTCCAATAGTCAATTAACAATTAATGTTATACAGGGTATATCTAAATGTAGGCTTTTTAATGTTTGTCCAGGGTTTTAATTAACAATACAATACACAGCTTCATGTGAATAACAGTAGTAACAATTTTTCGAGAAGGAGTATTCGTCTTTACACCTTCCTCGTCGTCTCGTCGTCTCTCAATTTTTGTCTCACAACAGCAAATTATATATTAGGCGATATTAAGTAAACGCACAATAATATTATGGATATGAAATTAATAATTCTACAGAATCATCAAAACGTCAAAAAACTCTGTTGACAGTCAACAACTATGATACATATCTACATAAATAACACCGACAAAATTCTGATGAAAATTAATAGGGGTCTTTGATATAAAATTTTTTGAAAAAACTCCATGAAAAGTTACGTCCCTCCAAATATTTAAAAATAAAATTGTTTTCCTTTTTTATCTTTCATGTATATCAAGCAAAAGAAACCAAACTTAGTGAACATTATCTGTCAAAAAAACTACACTTTTTGAAATTAGCAACCCTGAAATATTTTTGTAAGGGATTGAAAAAATCAACCCTTATGACATTTTTTCTTATAATTTTTTTTTATAAAATTTTTTTCCGTTAAAAAAGACCCATTTATTTATTAACTTTTTGATCTCTTCAAATTTTTTCGAAAAGTTAAGGATTTATGAGTAAAAAAATAAATGTATTGCAATGCATTTTTAAAAAGATGAGCTGTTTAACGTGAGTGTATTTTGCCGAAAATGTCATAGGAGTTGATTATTTCAACCCCTTATAAAAATACTTCAGGGTTGAAAAAATCTAAAAGTAGTTTTTTTGACAAATAATGTTCACCAACTTTGGTTTCTTTTACTTGATATACATGGAAGATAAAAAACAATTTTTTTTTTGAAATTTTTGGAGGGGTGTAACTCTTCAAGGGGATATACATATTGGATATACGGTGTGAAAGATTTAGGTCATTTAAGTCATTAGGTAAAATAAACATAAGAAGTCAGTTAGATTCTGCATATTGGGATAATATACGGAAACACAATGAACAGGTAATGAAAAATCGTTATGTATTATCTAAAATCATAGATTGCATAAAATTTTGTGCGCTTTCGAATTAGCACTTCGCGGACACGACGAGACAGAAAATTCGGACAACCCTGATGTGTTTCGTGGACTCATAAATTTTAGTGCAGATCTTGACGACATATTAAAAAAACATCTAGCCACATGGGCATGACCGGGATTTTCTGTGATTGTACCGGGAATTAGCTGTATGGTCCCGGATATCGGATTTGCACGTATAACTCCCGAAATATAATATAATGTACATAAAAAAATCGTTGGTAAATTTCACAAACGATTTTTTTGTTTATAAACAATATTCAATAATTTAATAAAATATATTTAGTTTATCCCAATTTATTTATACCGTCAGTAGGTAATTCTAGAATAGATATTTCAAAAACGTATCAATTTCAAAAGTCGTTGTGAAGATCTGTATTTTTGTATAAATGGATTGTTCCTTGAAATTCAGAAGTGCCAGGAAAACGCGTGACCTTGAAAATTTTAAAATTGCAGCACCATTTAGAGACTGTCCGGGCACTTAATATCCCGGAATTCAATTCAACAAATGTACCAACCCTAAGCAGAACACTTTCAATCAATGTTCACGCGCTGCCACTGATCTGTACTATATATCTATGTTGTTGACTCTGAGGTGAGGTATGACGAAAAAACAAATAAAATGCCCTATTTTACTTTACTGTCTCACTTATTTGATTGTTTAAATTTCTAGGCATTTGCTATTGACTTAAAAAATGCTATTGGAGATGTTTTGATGGCATCAGCTTCTGTTGCGTATTTAGGAGCATTTACCAGCAGTTACCGAATAGAACTGTTAAATATGTGGGAAGAAAAATGTAAAGAATTGGAAATTCCATCTTCTGAATCTTTTAGGTATGTAGGTAGATATTCATAGTTTGAATGAAGCCTATTTGTCCATTTCAATTTTGGTCAATTTGTTTGGTCAAAAAATTCTTAAATTGATAGCAAGTTTTATAGCTTCCATATTTTTTTCACTAACATTTTGTTTTTAGTCTTATTGTGGTATTAGCGGATCCCTACGACATTCGTGTTTGGAACTCTTGTGGCCTCCCCAGAGACAGAGTTTCAACGGAAAATGCAATCTTAGTAACGCAGGCGGGACGTTGGCCATTGATGATCGATCCCCAGGAGCAAGCCAACAGATGGATTCGGCAAATGGAAACTCCCAAGAATCTGAGGATCGTTAAATTAACCGATTCCAGTTTCATAAGGGTATTGGAGATGGCAATTCGTATAGGGATGCCGGTACTGCTGGAAGAAGTGGGAGAAACTTTGGATCCCATGCTTGGTCCCATTTTGTTGAAGCAAACCTTCGTGCAGGTACCGTCATTAACCTACGTACATGTTTGTTCAACTGTAGACTTAGTTTCTATGTTAATAGTCCAGTAAATGAAATTTGTAATACATGTAAATCAAAAGGTAATTCGTTTCAGATTGAAGCTTGGTTTAATAGTTAGTTTAGGCAAAAAGAAATAATATTTCCCAAAAAGTATCAGTTTAAAACAACAAGATTATTGTTTAGACAATGATTATAATGTAAAAATTACCAAAAATGGAGTTTTTTAGCTGTATTAAAAAGTGCTCTCCAACAGGAGTTTTTGTTTTTGTTTATACTTATAGGTTTTCAAAAAACGCTTCATTTGAGACCTGCTAAATTAAAATCCATTAACAATTTGTTTAAATAATTGCAAAAAAACAGCGAAATTTAAATTTGCTATAAATAGAAGAAAATCGTCTCCAAACTGCAGTAAAAGTTGTATTTTGTTATGCTTAAGAAACCCTGAAAATTTGGAAAAAAAATATTTATTTGTTTACGAGTTTTTGCATTTGTTTATTAGAAATAGCATTTTTTCAATTGCAAAAACACAGTTGTTAGCGTTATAATAAAGGGCATTATTAGGGCTCATTTGTTTCATCTTGACTTTATATTTTCAAAATATGCAATTGCAAATTGTAATTTCATAGGCTAACCTCCTCCAAACGGCGTATAAACAAATAGTGTAATTTGTTTATAATGTTTTTCGTTAATAACTTTGCGAAGAATAAATATTTTTTAAAGCCGCTTTGATATTCGTAATCCTAGTAATTTTTCACGAATTTAAAAACAAATTTGTTCTAGAACCATTTTAGCCGAGATGGCGTTTTTTTTAAATTCATAACGTGTTTATTTATAAACATTAAGACATGAAATTTCGGGAATAAATCAATCAACCCTTAAACTTCATAATAAAGGTTAAAGATATTGAAAAAAATGCATCTTATAGTAATTTTTAACCCTTTAAAAAACGTCCTCGAATACATTTTTGCACTTGGAATGTGATGGGGGAAATAAGACAGAAACGTTCAAAAGTGGAAATCGAGACTTCAAATCTTAACTGGCCGAAAATTTTGAGATATCCGGTAATTGTGGACCAATTTTAACGTTTTTTTTTAATCTGGGGCAGCCCATGAAAATAATAACAACTGCACGGTCCATTTTGCAATAATTAATAATTCATTTGTTATAAACTATTAATTTTGTAAAAAAAAAATTTATCGTATTTTTTCGAGAAATAATTTTTCACAGTGGTACCAATAAACAATTTTCTTAAAAAACAATATTTCTATGTAAAAAAAATCAGGAAATGATATACATATTTTTTATGTATAAAGTTTATTTTAATGAGAATCGAGTTTTGGATGTAATATGCATAATACATATAATACATATTATATTTTAAAATAGGTAAGTAAATCAAAACACTCAATTCTCATTAAAATAAACTTTATACATAAAAAATATATCATTTCCTGATTTTTTTTACATAAAAATATTGTTTTTTAAGAATATTGTTTATTGGCACAATTGTGAAAAATTATTTCTCGAAAAAATGCGAAACAAATTTTTTTTACAAAATTAATACTTTATAACAAATTAATAATTAATTATTGCAAAATGGACAGTGCAGTTGTTATTATTTTCATGCGCTATCCCAGATTTAAAAAAAAACGTTAAAATTGGTACGAAAACAACGAAACAAATGAGTCCTCACAAGGCCCTTTATTATAACGCTAACAACCGCGTTTTTGCAATTGAAAAAAATGCTATTTCTAATAAGCAAATACAGAACCTTGTAAACATAAATTTTTTTTACCAAATTTTCAAGGTTTCTTAAGTGTAACAAAATACAACTTTTACTGTAGTTTGGAGACAATTTTCTTCTATTTATAACAAATTCAAATTTCGCTGGTTTTTTGCAATTATTTAAACAAATTGTTAATGGATTTTAATTTGGCAGGTCTCAAATGAAGCGTTTTTTGAAAACCTATAAGTATAAACAATAGCAAAAACCCCTGTTGTAGAGTGCTTTTCAATACAGCTAAAAAACTCCTTTTTTGGTCATTTTTATATTATAATCATTGTTTAAACAATGATCTTGTTTTAAACCGATACTTTTTGAGAAATATTATTTCTTTTCGCCTAAACTAACGATTAAACCAAGTTTCAATCTGAAACGAATTTTTTTCATTTTGGACTATAAAGTGTAATTTACATATTTTGTTTATCAAACAAATATCGTGAAAGATCGGGAGTTATCTGGATTATTTAATAAAGTTTCGGGGAATAGGTCGACGCTTTAGTACAAAAACATGCTATCTCGGATTTCGGTAGGAAAACATGCTATCTGAAATTTCAGTTGGAAAACATGCTATCTCAAATTAAGCTTGCAAAACATGCTAACTCAGACCTTTAGGTAAAAACATGCTATCTCAATGTGACTAGAAATGTAAGTTGGCACATTGAATGATTGAAACCGTGCATTTATAATAAACTTATATAATATATTTTTTAAAAAGTAAGGAATGTTTATGTTCAGGTACACTGTTTATTTAATTTTTTTTATTCAACATTTTTCAAGTAATTTTGTTAAGTTACACTGTTATAAACGACAAAATTGTTAATTATGCAGTATGTTGCAACACGTACATTACTCGACGTTTTTTGAAATAACAAATTATAAAAAAATAGTGTATACTTTAATATACCGGGTGATTCAGTTTGATATTCGCGGCGTCGTATCTCTTTTGTTTTATCAGATAGCTATAACAAACCCTATATATTTTTAAATCGCCGCTCAAACTCTATCAAATGACATTGTTAGATCGTCTCCATGGTAACATATGTTAAAATTGCTATAGTCAACTGTTTTTGTTCAAATGGCACACTATATATTTTTTTTATCAATTCTGGAAGATATTTTTTTCTACATTCAGCTATATAAAGAAGTCTATAGTTTCATAGAAATATTGCTAGAAAAACAGGAAAAAAGTTGAACCCTACTTTCAGTAGCTTTATTCTGAAAAATGATAGCCAGCTGCGGAAACAACTGAATTTTGACGTTTCTAAATAACGGGGTGTCAAAATAATTGACATTTTGTACCTACCTATNAAAAAAAAAGGAAAAAGAAAAACAACAATTAAGCAGGATAACCCATCAATAACTATAGCGTGGACTTAAACTTAGCAATAATATAACTTATACCATGAAAATTGATGTCGCACTGATCGGATATACCATTGAATAATTGACACATAGTATAAATCGGTGATTTAACTAATATATTAGTTCTAGGGGTTTTACAATAAAAAGTAGGCTTATATCTTGACTGGGCTCTTGGCACTGAAAATGAAAATTGTTGCAAAAGATAGTCACAATCAATTGAGTTATTAAACAGTTTACACAAAAAAGTTAACGCAGCGCAGTTTCTTCTGTCTGACAATGCAGGAAGACTGAAAGACTCGAGTAGAGTTAGATGATCAAATCCTCTGGGGGGATAAAACCCATTACATTTAAAATACATAAATTTTAGACATTTACGCTGTACGGATTCTATATGGTGGATAGAATTTTGATATATAGGAGACCAAATGATTGATGCATAATCCATTTTACTTCTAATAAATGTTACATATAAAATTCTAAGTGAATTTATTTCGGAGAACTCGCCCCAATTCCTAATAAAATATCCTAACAATCTGCAGGCAGAAGAGACAGTTTCCAGGACATGATTGTTGAAGGAGAGTCCCTTATCGAATATTACTCCCAAATCTTTATATGTATCACATCTCTCCAGTACAACTCCATTCAGTGAATAATCAAATATTATAGGATATGATTTCCTATGGAACGAAACAACCTTACACTTAGTTAAGTTTAGTTCAAGCCTGTTGTTAAGACACCAGCTGTGAACTTCATCTAGCGAGGCCTGTAGGACCTTGCAATCAATAACTGAATTAATTTGTAAATAAATTTTCAAATCATCAGCAAAAAGCAAATGTTGCACAGATATTTTAGTTGAAATGTCATTCACAAAGAGAAGGAACAGTAAAGGACCCAAATTCGACCCCTGAAGAACACCTGATGTCGACACATACATCTCAGAACGTACACCACCATATTCCACATACTGACGACGATTTAGTAAATATGATTCGATTAGGTTGGATAACGAACTTGAAAACCCTGTCGCTCTGAGTTTAGACAGCAGACATAGATGATCAATTCTGTCAAACGCTTTTCTTATGTCAGTATATATAACATTTGACGGTAACATTTTTGACGGTTTTTCAAAATAATTGATATTTTGTACCTACCTATTCTATCTATAACTAATTATTATTACTATAACATGAATACTTATAGTAACCAAGAAAAACTAGATATGATTTTAATTTATGGAGTGCTGAAATAACGCTAAAGCTGCCAGACGCTTTATACCAACATCGTTTTCCGCAGAGACAACTTCCATCAGATAAAATTTTCGGAAAGTTAGCCAGGAATTTGGTAGCAGATGGTTTTTAAAAGAAAATAAGAGTTTTTAAACTTAGAAGGGTAAGAGATGAAGAACATTCGATAAAGATGTTAAATAGTCTGCTATAGATCTCCGGATCCCATTCCTATAGATTTCTTTCTTATGCCTTACCTAAAAGAAAAAGTTTACTCTTCGCCATTATATTGATGACTTTAAAAACAAAATAAGAGTAGAATTTCGGAGATTAAATGAAGAAACACTAGAATGTGTTTGTAGAGAGGGAGTGATAAACAAAGCTATTCTGTGTTTGGAAGCAAATTGAGGTCATTTTGAACGTTTGCAATAAGCATTGTTTTAAATTGTTATCTTATTATCGTATTAAAAATAAAATATGTTACTTTAAAAAACATAGTAACTTCTTTTCGCAGCTGGCTATCATTTCAGCTACGAAAAGTAGGGTGCATCTTTTTTTGCTGTTTTTCTAGCAAGATCTCTAATGAAACTATTATAGACTTCCTTACATAGTTGAACGCAGAAATAAAATATCTTCCAGAATTGATAAAAAAATATATAGTGTGCCATTTGAACAAAAACAGTTGACTATTGTAATTTTGACATGTCACCATGGAAACGATCTAATAATGTCATTTGATAGAGTTTGAGCGGCGATTTAAAAATATATAGGGTTTGTTATAGCTATTTATTAACATAAAAAAGATACAGGGCCGCGAATACCAAACTGAATCACCCGGTATAAACATGTTTGTTATTACCAAAAATTATTCGATTTTTTTCATACAAGTTTGCTTTGATATAAAAATTAATAGCGCACTCTTACCTGATTTATAGCCACTACTCTTACTTTTGTTAATAAAGTTAACATAATAACCAGAATATAAATATAATGTATAAAGTTGAAAGATATGTATACATATATCGATGCGACTGGCGCATATGATTTGCACGTGCACATTTCCGCGGTTCCCCATGCACACATGTTTATCATCAGCAGATCATAAAATACCGGTAATAAAATTTCATTTCCAAAGTCTATGCAAGCACGCGACTACCGTACCCTTAAGAAGCCATTTGTTTTTATTGAGATGCAGTAAGAATAATTCGGACCCGGAGTTTAGGGCCTAGCTTGGTCCACTATATAATTCTTTTTATTGCAGTCTCCTTAGGCATACAAAATTATTTTCAGAATAAATTGTGCATCCCAGATTTTGTGAAAAAGGAAAATAAGTGTTTCAAGAGTAGCGACTATAAATCAGATAATAGTACGCTATTAATTTTGATATCAAAGCAAACTTGTATGAATAAAATCGAATAATTTTTAGTAATAACAAACATTTTTATATATTAAGGTATACACAATTTTTTTTATAATAATTTGTTATTTCAAAAAACGTCGAGTAATGTACGTGTTGCAGCATACTGCATATTATTTATTTTTTAAATTAACAATTTTGTTGTTTATAACAGTAACTTAACAAAATTAATTGAAAAATGTTGAATAAAAAAATAAAATAAACAGTGTACATACAACATAAACATTCCTTACTTTTTTAAAAATATATTATATAAGTTTATTATAAATGCACAGTTTCAATGATTCAATGTGCCAATTTGAATTTCTAGTCAAACTGAGATAGCATGTTTTTACTTAAAGATCTGAGTTAGCATGTTTTCCAAGCTTAATTTGAGATAGCATGTTTTCCAACTGAAATTTCAGATAGCATGTTTTCCAACCGAAATCTGAGATAGCATGTTTTCTTACTAAAGCGTCGAGGTGGATTAGGTGTTCTAATTGTTCTCATATCGGCTTTATTAAACAATTCCTGTTCTTTACTTACTTTTCTTTAAGGGAGGAAGAGTTCTTATAAGGTTAGGAGATACAGATGTCGAATACGACAACAATTTCCGGTTTTATATCACCACCAAACTGGCGAATCCCCACTACTTACCGGAAATCTGTATTCAAGTTACAATTGTGAACTTCACGGTTACACCGTCCGGACTGGAAGATCAGCTACTGGCGTAAGTGTATGTTTTGAGAGTATTTTCAGAATCTTATTAGATTTTTCACAAAAGTGACGTGGTGAGACTCGAGCGTCCAGATTTAGAAGAACAAAGAGTCGAGTTGATAATAAGGATAAATAATGACAAAACTCAACTCAAAGGAATAGAAGATAAAATCCTGCGATTGCTTTACCAATCGGAAGGTAATATTTTGGATGATGAAGAGCTGATTGAAACTTTGAACGAGAGCAAGGTAAATTTCATCAGAGAAAATGTTAAATACAAATAAAGATGTATATTTTTTTGTGTAGGAAACGTCGGCTATAATAGAAGCTCGTTTAATAGAAACAGAAGCGACAGAGGAAAAAATATCGATTGCCCGTGAAAAATATAGATCAGTTGCTACAAGGGGGTCCGTGTTATATTTTGTAGTAGCACAACTCGCGGAGATAGACCCTATGTATCAGTATTCGTTGAAATATTTCAATCAGGTACGTAATTTTTTTTCTTCAAATTTTTTATCATTTAATGCTCTTCCAGATCTCCCTTACTATTAAAATTAGATTTTGTCAATATAATCATAAAAATTTTTCCCAATATTAAAATTATACAGGGTGCTGATAAATTTCCTATCTCATCAAGTTTAGATTTTTATGCCACACAGTTTCATATAGTCCACGGGCCCACGTACAAAAAAAAATATGATTACCAGCAAGCTGGAACTTTGCGTGCAACTTAAGTTTGAGTCTCCCAAGATTTGACTACGAGGAAAATTCAACAGTGGTAAGTGTTCCCGTGATTTTCAGGAAAACATGTCAATCTGGCATAATGATGGAATGTTATGACCAGCACTTTTTTAAGTTTATATGAAAGATATATTTTTTTTAACCCCCAAAAAATTTGTCCCACAAAAATTTTGGCATTTTGAGTTTGGCCCCCACCCCAAATATGTCGATTTGGTGATATTATGGTTGGTGACAACCAGCAGGTCGATTTTTCTGGGATGGTTTGGTAATAACATTTGAAATGCAAATATATATAAATATCTTATTGACCGACAAAATTCTTGAGAAGCTTTTGCAGTCCGACGCCCCGTAGATGTCGACTTAACGACAACATGGTTGGTGATAACCAGCTGTCAGATAAAAGTGTCATTATTTAAAAAAATGCAATATTAATTTGAGAATTTAATTGTCCGCCAAAATTATCGGTTTTTTTTTGCTTGTCCGAAAAAATTAAACCATAAAATTTTGTGGTTTCAATACTTACACATGATGTAGAAGAAAAATTTATATTTAATAAAAAAAAATTATAAATAAAAAAAATTTCTCAAATTTCGATATAAATATGACTAATTTAAATTCATTTTTTTATATAATTACAAAAAATTGTACAGGGTGATTCACTATATTTTGACCCCCCCTATAACTTTTTTGTTTTGAGTTATAAAAAAATGTGAAATATGAAAGTTGCACGAGTTTTGATGAATTTTTCGAAAATTATAGTAGAAAAACAAATGAAGTCCAAACAAAATGGCCGCGGATGTTAACTTTGTTAAGTTAAATGGAACACCCTGTATATTTTTACATATAAATGTTTCACGGCCAACCTGGTTCTGGAGTTTACTAATTAATTGGGTAGGTTAAAAAATCGATAAGTAAAAACTTTTTTAACTAAAGTATCAAACATCGTTGATGAATACATATGTGTTTGACTTTACTATACATTGTAACGAATACATATTGAATCATTTTCAAATAAGAAATAATATTGTCTGAAATAAAAGGTATAACATAAATTATAATTAAGTAATTCAATTATCAATTAATTATTTGCAATCATTGTAGTATTTAATAGCGAATCATCTGGGTACTTCACATGTGGTTGATAGCGGGCATAGCCTAGAAACAAAAAAACACTGGCCACATGAGCACAAGTTCCTACTACTCTCGCCTCTGAGTAACACGTGCAATAATATGCTAGGATTGGACCATTATCTTGATCACCACCATAATTATCTTCATCCACATAACTAATGAATATTTGATGTCTTGCAGCATTTCGGAATCTTGAGAAAATTCGTACTCAGAAGTCCTGGTTCATCTATATGTTCATTCAATTGAAATTCATCATCATTTTCCCTACGCACCTTATGTATACTGTATACCCGAATGGATGGCTGATTTGGATTCAGTAACCCCAACAATCTAAGAAATATGTGTTTTGGACAGATCAGCTTCTCTTCATTTGACCTTACAATGAGTCTTCTTTAATTTATACCTCGCGGTACTATAACTCCTACCTTTCGGCGACTATATTTCGAAAAATATAATTTTCATTCATTTTACAGTTACCATTTTTTATAAAATAGTTACAACAGTTTATAAAATAAAATGTACATATAAGTTTCTTGAACAAAGAAATCATTTTGATGGAGATTAATTAAATTAATTTTTATAGACATAATTATTTATGAATTTCTGTTGCTCGTGTTAACAAGATAATTTTCTTATTTATTCTTCTTTATTTTTTCATTAAAAAATTAATTATTTTATAGCGGAATGGAAAATTAATTATTTTATAGCGGAATGAATGAATGAATTATTTTATAGCGGAGTGAACATTAGGTACCACAAAAATAGTTATTTTTCCCATTTTTAAGGCAATTTTTCCAATCTTTTTGGCAGACAAGTATATATTGTGTTATACATTTCAATTATTAGAGAAATAAATCAAAACCAGATTGCTGGTTATCACCAACCATGTTGTCGTTAAATCGACATCTTTGGGGCGTCGGACTGCAAAAACTTGTCAAGAATTTTGTCGGACAATAAGATACTGTCATTTCAAATCTTATCACCAAACCCTCCTAGAAAAATCAGCTTGATGGTTGTCACTAACCATAATGTTACCAAATCGACATATTTGGGGTGGGGGACAAACTCAAAATGCCAAAATCTTTGTCGGACAAATTTTTTGGGGGGCTTTAAAAAAAATATATATTTTTCATTTAAACTTAAAAAAAGTGCTGGTCATAACATTCCATGTTTATGACAGATTGACATGTTTTCCTGAAATTCACAGGAAAACTTACCACTGTTGAATTTTCTTCGTAGTCAAATCTTGGGAGGCTTGTCAAACTTAAGCTGCACGCAAAGTTACAGCTTGCTGGTAATCATTTTTTTCTTTGTACGTGGGCCTGTGGACTAATATAATTCCGTTTCAATTTAATATAAAATATTAGCATATTTCCTAGATTCTAATTCTTCAAACCTGGATTAGTTTTATTATACTATATTTTTGTTTTTCTATACAGACAGTTCAGAGTAATACCAAAGATCTAAATTACTGTAACCTCATTAATAATATTAAAAAAGGTGTTATTGAATAAAATGTATTTTGCAGATTTTCAATAATGTTATCGAAACTAGTGAGAAAAATCCACATCTGGTCATCCGCCTGAACACCTTGTACAACGAAATAACACTTGCCGTCTACACGAATATATCTCGAGGTCTCTTCGAAAGACACAAACTCGTTTTCAGCTTTATGCTGTGCGCCGCAGTTTTCCATGAGAAAGGTGAAATTAGTGCCAGCCAGTGGAATTTTCTGCTCAGAGGTCCAGTCGGAACGAAGGCCGATCTTCCGAAAAAACCCGATTATCCCATGATAACTGAGATGATGTGGCACTCGGCCCACTACTTATCATCTAACTACGAATCTTTCGAAGGTTTAGCAGGCGATATCTTGAAGATTATATACATCAACGTTGGGGATTTCATCTTAGTAAGTATATCGATAGAATCGTTTAACTATATCAGAAAATTTTATGTAAAAATTTTATGTGAAAATGTAAAGTACATACTTTCATAATAAAATGTGCAAAAATTTCAAAAAATTAATGTATAAACATTATTTTTTGTTCACGAAGTTATATTTGCATACCGGATGTCCCCTGTTGTCCATCGTATTAAAAAATAATGAAATTACAGAAAGTATTTTAAAAGTTATTAAAAAAATTGATTTTCAGGGACGTCCATTAGGGGCATGCATCTCTGTAGGAGGGCTCTCTAGGGGAAATTTTTATAGGAACTTGTCATGTTAATTTAACGCCCTGTGTATAAATCCGAGAAATTGCCCATATATTCTGGGACACCCTGTATAAGCTTATAGTACTATACAGGGTGTTGCAATATTCCACTGACGAAATTCTATAAGTTTTAGCTACTCTAATTTTTTTTGTAGCTACCATGACTTTTTTTTTGAGACAAAAGGTCTGGTAATCTAACCGACCAACTAATAAGAGAAAGTCACTAAAAAATAATACTTAAAATATTTTCATTCTACAGGGTGTCCCGCATAAGAACCGACACAGGGCAGGTGCATGTAGGGGTGTCCAAAACATTGTAATTTAACCAAAGTTACCTATATACAAATTGCACCCCTGAGGAATTAGCCCCCAAAGTGAGGCCCAAATTTCGAAAAAAATTAATATCTGCAACACTTTACCGCAGAAGAAGCAAATTTGGTACATGATTGAGGTTTATTATTGGTCTTCTTTGACTATGATTTAAAGTTAATTGAAGCACTACAACGTGTTCATTGGGGATGACACCCTTAAAATTGTACCGAACTTTTTTTCATTGACCGAATTGAAAAATAATATTAATTCGCGGCAGAATTTAATTTTAAAAATTTTTTTACTCTTGTTAAATTTTAAAAATCTTTATGGTTTTCAAGAAAAACCGTATTAAATAACCGAAACAATATTTTAACAGTGTTTATTAGAAAATAATTGAAGTCAGTAGTAGGCAATGAATGAAACTTGTCAGTAATAAAATTATTTTATTTCAACAATTGCCTCTGATTGTTGTTGAAAAAATATCAATTGTTATTTTTATTTATTTGTGTTTTTTACTGATCACAATATTCGCTTATTTAAAAACTACCTAGGTGCTTGTTTCCTTTTTGTAGAATTAGGAGAGAAGTGAAGTAACATTTATTTGGCCAATTGTCAAATTTGAAAGATAAAGCCTACTACTGACTTTTTGATTATTTTCTAATTAACGCTGTTAAAATCTTGTCAGTTAATACGGTTTTTCAATTCGGTAAATAAAAAAAAAGTTCGGTACAATTTTAGGGGTGAGTCATCCCCAATGAACACCTTGTAGTGCTTCAATTAATTTTAAATCATAGTCAAAGAAGACCAGTAATAAACCTAAATCATGTACCAAATGTCTACAGTAAAGTGTTGCAGATATTAATTTTTTTCGAAATTTAGGGCCCCACTTTGGGGGCTAATAACTCCTCAGGGGAGCAACTTTGTATGTAGGTAAGTTTGGTTAAATTACAATATTTTGGACACCCCTACATGCACCTGCCTTGTGTCGGTTCTTATGCGAGACAACCTGTATATTTCAAAAATGAAACATTCACAGAACACTTGTATGTACTTTTTTTTTAATTAATTTTTAGTGTGAACAACTTGTATAATTATAACACTATTTTATTAAATGGTACAATTAATTAGTCACTGTAAAATATGTATTATAGACATAGTTATGCAGATTTATTTATATAAAATATTTTCATTATACAGGGTGATTCAGAACTTAAAAAAAAATTGAATGTTCAGGGGGACTCTTACAAATACAATTTTGCAAAAAAAAACAAAAAGGGCAATTCGAAAATGATTTAAAAATACCCATCTGCACGGCACTGGAAACTGGTCCACTGTAAAACTTGACTTTATGCAAGGCAAAGCATTCAGTCGGCAATCGATACGGCGGCAAAGTGTAATAAAAAATGAAGGGACAAAGGAAAGAAATAAATAACATTTTATAACACCTATTTTATATAGGCAAATTCAACTGCTTTTGCCGCTATTGTTATTATTAATTAATAAAATTAATTTGTAATTTGAATTAATAAAATGATTTGACATACTTGATGTTATAACTGTTCAATATTTTGTCCACCGACGTGTAAACACATTTGGGCCTGTCTTACCCAAATTCTACGAACTAACACAAATGTTGTCATGCATCACCATAACACGAATGTTGTCTTGTTTCACCATAAATTAAAATGATATCCATCCACTCCGAGTTGCTATACATGTAAGCCATTTTTGACACTTGAAAAACTAATGTAAACACTACCGTAATATGAATACTAAAATCATATTTCAGTATTCGCAATTGTCTAGACTAGAGTCTAGAGCCACGTGAGCGAATGATGCTAGAGACTACAGTAGCCCAGTGATGTAAAGGTTGAAATTACTACAATTTCAATAATTTTTTTCTTCGGAAACTATAAGGATTTTACAAAAATTTTTTATACGATACTGACTACATTTTGCATGGCGCATCTATTCCCAAACTTTTTTGGATAAATTGTGAATCACCCTGTATATTAATCATGTAACAATCTGTATACTGCATACTGTAAAAACAATACAGATACTTCTTTTACAGGATATTAATGTGGTCCCTTACTTAAAACACAGAAGCCAGAACAACTGGAACGACAGTCTTGAAGATTTCGAAAAATTGATGCTAATCAAAACTTTACAAGAAGAAAAATTGGTGTTTGCCATAACAGCATTCGTAAAAATTAAACTTGGACAAGTATTTATCGAAAGCCCTCAAGTTTCGTTGAACGTTCTGTAAGTACGAGGTTGTTAAGTGGCCTATGAACCTGATCGCCGTCAGTTACAGACTTACATTACACTTCTCTGTTGCTCTGGGGCTAGGTTTGTGGGGGCGGACTCATCGGAACCCCTAGGCCTGCCGTTATTTCATATCCGTTCTTGTTGTTAGCTCTAAAGCTGCTACGGATGGAACTGCTCCTGGTCCTCTGAGATGTTCAGTAGTGACTCCTGTAACTGGTCGCATCTAATATTTATATGAGATACTAGATCTATAGACATCTCAGTCGAGTTTTGCCTAATGTGTTGTTAAAATTGTCTTTAGAAGCATCCTATTTATTGATTCTTTTCACCGAAGGTATCAAGATACATCGAACGCCGTACCGCTGGTATTTGTCCTAAGCACCGGATCGGATCCGTTTGGAGCTTTTCAACGATTTGCGGCCGACATGGGTTATAGAGAGAAAGTAAAGTCAATTTCTTTAGGTCAAGGGCAGGGCCCCGTGGCTGAAAAATTGATTCAGGATGCTCTGGACGTTGGCGACTGGGTCTTTCTACAAGTAACTATTAAAAAAAGATTTTACAAACATGGGTTGAGAGATAATTGATTTCTGATCAAGTTGAACTAAATATTTCCGACACATGTTTAAGGGAACTTTTTTCTTATTCTTTTTTTTTTATAAACGAATGAATATTTCTCGAACATCTGATTTTCTTACTTCTTACCACCTCCCATTTTAAAAAATACACATGAATATCTTTTAAGTTAAGGACTTAATGAAAACATTTTTCAAATAAAAGTTGTAGGGTTTTGAGGGGGACATCTAATGGTGACCTTGGCGATGACCTTCAAGGTCATTTCGAGGTCAAGTTGATTTTTTCAAATGGAAACATATTTTTGACACCAGAAATGAAATGAGCAGAAAATTTTACATCTGACTATGACCTTGACCATAACCTTCAAGATCATTTGAAGGTCATTTTAGTTTTTGTTGCAAAATTCTACTTTTGAGACCAGAAATGAGAAGAGCTGGCCATTTCACGTCCATCTATGACATTGACCTTGACCTTCAAGGTCAAGTTAGTTTTTCAAATAGAAACCGGTATCTTTCAGACCAAAATAGAAAGTACAGAGAATTTTGCTTCCGGATATAACCTTGACCATGACCTTAAGTTTCAAGTCATTTGAAGGTCATTCTAGTATTTTGTAGGCAAAACTTTAATCTTGTTTATATTTTTCTTTTTGATATGTAGGGCTTGCCATAATTTTTCAGAATACCCATTAACCCTTTGTGGCATGCACTTTTTATTCAAATGTTTTTGAACTTAGACTAGGTCAGAATTTAGTAATAGTTAAATCCGATACGGCGGTTCCAATATGTCGAATACTCGGCTCGACCTTGAATTTTAAAGTAGGTTGAAGCAGAAGAAGAAAATTGGTCGGCCATATTGGATTCGAATATTTTCAAATTCTGACTTCATATTCGCGATCAGCGCCCTCGAAAACCCCCGAGTACACTATTTGGCAAGACGCAAATTAATTTTGCAACAAAAAACTAAAATGACCTTCAAATGACCATCAAATGCCCTTGAAGGTCATGGTCGGATGTAAAATTTTCTGCTCTTTTCATTTCTGGTGTCAAAAATATGTTCCCATTTGAAAAAATCAACTTGACCTTGAAATGACATGGTCATGGTCAAGGTCACCATTAGATGTCCCCATCAAAACCCTACAACTTTTATTTGAAATATTTTTTCATTAAGCCCTTAAGAAATATGCACATGTATTTTTTAAAATGGGACACCCGGTATATTTTCAGAACTGTCACTTAGCTACCTCGTGGATGTTATCCATGGAAAGAATCGTATTAAAAATCGCGGAAGACAGTAATAAATTGAATAAGCAGTTTAGATTATACATGAGCTCCATGCCGTCAAAGGCGTTCCCTGTGTCAGTGTTACAAAATTCTGTAAAAGTCACAAACGAACCACCAAAGGGTCTTCGAGCCAACATAAAAAGGGCTTTCGGGGAGATGCTTGAAGATTTCTTCGAAGATCATAGTAAGTATAAAAAGACAAATAATGGAGAACATTTCCCAACTATTAACCTTTTGAATAGTATTTAGAGATGGGAAAATTCCCAAACTATGACAATTCCTGGAAAGTTTCCATTGAAAATTCCGGAAATTTTCCGAAAATTTCAAAAATTTTTTTTTGGATTTGGTATTGTGTTCAGCTTTCGAAAAAGACCAAATACTTACATACGTTTTTATTTATATTGGTATAAATATTGCAAAAATATAAATTATGTATTAATCATCCGTTAGAAAAAATTACATGCTGAGGGTTACAGTGCGCAAACACTATACAGTATACAATATTTATCTTTATTTTTTAACAAATAGTAAATACATTAAATAATTATACTAGTTTTAAAATGTAATTGTACTTTGGTTCAACTATCAAAATTCATATTAAATTTCAAAAGGAGCCAATTTATGAGTCTTGTATTGCTCTCTATTATGTAGATTGTAGACTTAACAAAGATTAAAATAAGTAAGTGTAAGTGTTTTCTAACTTATTTGGATAATATGGTATTCCGAATTAACCGAAAATCCGAAATTAACCAACGATTTTTTGTGTATGTTCATAGAAGTTAGAAGTAAAATTGGCTCCAAGTTTACAAATTGTTAGAAATATTTCCGGAAAATTTCCGACGGAAATTTTTTCAGAAACTTTCCAGGGAAAATTTCTCATGCTTCGATTATTTTTTCCCGAAAAATTTCCCATTGCCCATCTCTAAGTATTTTAGTTTAATATATTGCCACACTTTATTTTTAGTTCTCGGTCAAAAGTGGAGAACGATGTTGTTTGGTCTTTGTATGTTTCACGCGGTTATTCAGGAGCGGAAAAAATTCGGACCTCTTGGTTGGAACATTGTGTACGAGTTTAATGATAGCGATCGTGATTTTGCTTTTAATACATTGAAAATGTTTTGCGCTGAAGGTAGTATACCTTGGGATGCCTTAGAATACCTTACAGGTAGATACAAAATTTTTTCATTTCATATCGTATATAATTATTTTAATAATTCAATTAAATCGTGACGTTACGATAACAGATTATAATTAGGAAACTCATTTTTCATTTATTTAATAACAATGCAGGTGAAATTACATATGGTGGCAGAGTTACGGACTATTGGGATCTGCGATGTTTGAAAACCATACTAAAAATCTTTTTCTCGCCGGAAACATTATCGCCACGGTATGTGTATTCCAAATCCGGAACATATTATTGCCCAAATTTCGAGAAATTACAACAATACCGAGATTTTATTGATGGCCTACCTATCATAGAAGAACCTGAAATTTTTGGAATGCACGAAAATGCTAATATTGCATATCAAGTGAGTATTTGAGATATAATTGATTTACAGGTTGTTACAAACTAGTAGATCAACCGTTAACTAAAATTATACAAAAAGTGTGCCGACTTAAGATCAAAATATGTGCTAAATTTCAAATAAATATCTCTACAATCACCGGAGTTAATAAAAATCATTTTTTAAATTTTGACACCCTGTATTTTGAAAATGGGACTCCGAAATGAAAAGTGGCATAAGAGAAGTTCCATTATTTTAGTCCAAAGAATATGTGGTTAACTGCTTGACCTACTAATTTGTAACACCCTGTATAACAGATTTATTAACACGAATTTATATTAAATTATTTAGTTGATCAAGATTTTTTTAAATCTAGATTCTGAAGTACGTTAAATACTGAAGATAAATTAATAACAGGAATCAAATAAAATTATCATACATATATTTTTCGTTTCATAGACTTATGGCTGACATAATTGTAATTTTTAATTTTTCAGATAAAAGAAACTCAGACTGTAATTAGGACGATAATGGAAAGCCAGCCTCGAGCTTCTGGAGGTGAAACTGGAAAATCTAGTGACGACATTGTATATGAATTGGCGGACATGGTCATCAACACAATACTTACAAAGATATATACTGATGAAGCAAATGTTCATCTATTTAAGGTAAATTTCTACTCAAAAGTAACTAACTACTTGTGACTGAGCTTCAGAATATCAGGAAATTCATACGAAAGTAATTAATTCGTTATGACCAGAATAAATAATTGTTTAAAGGGGGAAACCATATTAGGAGGCTGATTTTCAGGCGTTCCTCATTAATTTTTTTGAGTGGGACAAATTTATTTTATTAGAAATTGATCAACCTTTGATATGATTTTATTAATATTTTGAACTACTTTTACAAATTCTTTTAAGTCACTTCAAGTGTTGAAAATATCGAAGTTGTGGACTGTCGTCCACCGAAGGTCGTCGTCCGAGTTGGTTGTTCACGGGAAATGTGAAGGTCGCAATTTTGATCTGAAAGCAAAATGGTTGTTTTCCTGCATTATCAACATGTTTTCTAAATTTGTGAACCTCATTGTGGGTAAAAATTGTGAAAATTGAAGTTTTGACACATGTACGATTTTTAACATTTTTTTTATTTATTTAAATAAAAAAACACCCTTAAAGTTATATCATCCCAATTGTTGGTTCATGTTCTTTGTAATTTCATAAAGAAACATAGTTTCAATTTTCATAACAATCGATTCATAACTTTTTGAGCTAGAGTTCCCTTGAATCAAAATGTCGTTTCGAGAAAAACGCGATAGAAGATTTCCGAAAACTAGAAATTTGAGAAAGTTATCAATAATATAGAGTGCGTTCCGATCAATCAGCGATTCCCGCACCATATAATAGTCCTTCTTCCTCAAAGACATCGTTCTGAGCTTTGCTCTTTTCTTGCTTAATAAGTGACTAGACTACCCAAACAAGCAGTCTGCCCTACCTGCTGTGTGCCTCTATGCTTATCCCATGGGCATTCGGTTTTAGACTCATAAAATTGGAAGCAATAGGAATTTTGGCAACGTATTCTTGAATAGTTATACTAACAATTTATGTAAAAAAAAATAATTTTTGAACATCCTAATGTGGTTTCCCTCCTGGTCAGCATCTAACAGATTCTGCCCTGACAGAAAATTAAAAATGTAACACAAAGAAATAAAATGAAACCCTACAATTATTTTTTTTACTTATACCTCAGTTGAATGAAATGTAGTTTTAGTACAAAATAATTGCTTGCAGAGTGAGTATTGATATAATTTATACAGGGTGTCTCATAATTAGTGTCCAATAAATTTACCATTTGATTCTATTAAAATAAGAATATATTTTTTCACATAAATATGGGTCGAGAAATGCTTCCCTTTACATGGGGCCTCAAAAAATTCATTTTTTTTAAATATTATTCAAAACGAGTTGAAGGAAAATTATGAATTTTGACACCATGAACACTCATTAAGTCGAAATAGATCATAAAATTTAAAAAGAATTTTAGTCAGGGACGTCTCAATTGGGGGGTCGTCGGCTAAAATTTGCCCCAATTTTTTTGCTGGTAGAAACTTTCTAATTCAGATGCCAACAAATGACAGACCCTCATTTCCTCTACAAAAAAGGTACTCGTTATTTCTTTCAATAAAATCCTCCATTTCCGAGAAAAATGGATCCAAGCATTTCATTACATTATCTTTATATCCAAAAAAAATTTCTTGAATATCTAAAATGGGTACATGTACCATTATGAATTTTAATATGTCATCATATAAAAACTCATATAACAACTCATCATGTAACAACTGTAATAAACACTGTGAAAAGTGCTTAGAAAAGCACACTTGTTATACTTTTACTTTTTTGATATAAATTAACATTACCATTTTTTCATAGAAAATTCAGATCCATCAAATTGTATTGCTTAAATTTGAAAATAGCAAATTTTACCCGATTTCGAATTCAACCCGTTTCGGTAATATTTAAAAAAATGAATTTTTCGAGGCTCCATTTAGGGAAGCGTAGCTCCCTTAGAAAGCATTTCTCGACCAATGTTTATATGAAAAAATATTCTTATTTTTGGCAATAGAATCAAGTGGTAAATTATTGGACACTATCTATGAGACACCCTGTATATGTATACTTACATGATTGTATATACATACATATTTTTAGAAAGACGACAAAGGTCGATTGCCCTCTTTAACAACTGTTTTAACCCAAGAAGTTGACAGATATAATATTCTCCTGAAGCTGATTCACAACTCCATGGAGAATTTGAAAAAAGCGATTAAAGGATTAGTTGTCATGTCGGAGGCTTTGGAAGACGTTTTCAAAGCTTTCATAAACAACCAGGTAAATAATTGTTCCCGTGTGTTATTATAATCTGCTCCATCATCAGAAGGAAAGATGATGAAGCTGACAAGTAAAATGTCAAAATGGCAATACCCAGTAGCCACTAAATAATAGTTGCAGAATGTCAACACAATATGATAAGGTCTTTGACTGGAACAAATTAAATAAATACAAAAAATATGCAAATACAAACGAAAAAAAATATATTTTAGGTTCCTAAAATGTGGTCGGCAAAAGCGTACAATTCTCTCAAGAGCCTAGGTAGCTGGATAAATGACTTAACCTTAAGATTGGACTTTATTTCTGTAAGTATTTACAAGCTAGACTATTTTGCCAGATTTTCTCAAAATTTTTTATTCAAATCAATAAAATAGTATATTTTGTAACAAGAGATGAAAATATCCATTTTTCTGAAAGTAAACCTTCTACGTGTGAAAAGTAGTAAACTTATTTTTTTTTTCAAAAAACATTGATGTACTAATCGTTTCTGAATTATCAGACATGTCGAATAATTTATATAAATCGAGCACTATGGTGACGTTAGAGCTCGAATAAATTTAAAGTTATTTCACATTTAAGATCAGCTGCTAATTCAAATTATCAAATAGATATGGTTACGATTTGGTCACCCGACATCTTACTGGATATCTGGTTTTTATTTCCCTCAAGGTTTTCTTACCGGAACCTTACAAACTCATGCCAGAAAGTATAATCTACCGATAGACGAACTGAAATTTGATTTTAAAATTCAAAAGGTACTAATAGATCAAGAGGAGATCAAAGCTGTCCACGACAGGGAAGGAAAGGAGGTAGGTTAAATTTATAAAGCTTGCACATGAATCTGGATTGACTAGTAGTGAATATCATGATTATCCAAATGAGATATACAGGATGTGAATCTTATCTTTGGTCAAACAATGTATTTTCTAAGAATTATAGTTATTTATTAGTGTCCCACTTAAGGAGGGTCGGGTGCTTCATCGGGGGTGAACAGGGACGCGGGGGGGCCCTATACTTACCGTGTTATAAAATCATTGCTCTCAATGCAAAGCAAAATATTTTTTATAACTAGAAAGTAAGTAGGTCGAGATACTTGCTTGTAGATATTGAATACATTCGAGTTTAAAATACTTAAAAAATATATATTTCCATTTCTCAAGTTTTCACGAGTTGCAACAGAAACTTGGCAACAGCGCATGAGTATGCTGAGTTTATTACTTGTAAGTTGGCAGTCCTTGTCATGTATATAGGTATACATTATGCTATGTAATCGCTCGCAGAGCTAATTGCTTTAACCTGTGAAATTCCTCACAGCATGACACAGACGGCTTTGCATGGCTAGATTCGATGCGTACAATAGAGCTGTGAATAAAATTAATTCTTACCAACATCGTGTGTAGGACATGCACTTGGTAAAGACTTACCAGAAGAGATAATGTGTTTATTTTGTTTCCAATCATTTTTTGCGTTACCCTTATTGGCTACTGACTATGTACTTTAGATAGGAACTACAACGTAATAGAAATTTTATTGTTTGATATGTTCAATTGACCCTAAAAAATGATAAAATTGCGGAGTGCTATCTTTTAAAGGTGTGCGTTTTTGAGAACGAAGTAAAAAGGTGTATATTCAGTTTTTTGAGTTTTACTCGAAAACTATGCATTTTTTCACTATAATTGTCAACAGAAAAATTGTAGCAAATTGAATTTCCAATCTAAATGAGTCAAAAAAATTATTATTAACAAAAATATGCCCAAAAAACGAGTTAAAAAACCCGAAAAAATGCATTTTTTTTTCTTTTTGGCTTTTGGCCCACAACTTTTTTCTGAGAGGAGTTAGGTATAGGTATTGCTTCACAGAAAAAAAAGTTAATGTTTTTTCCTTTGAAATAAGCCTTTATAGAAGTACCTACGACTAATAGAAAACGAGATACATTGGATCAAAGTTGGTTACTTTTTGGATTTTTGCCCAATTTTTGTCCTTTTCTGACGATTTTCGTCTTATAACTTTTTTCTGAGTTAATTTAGGTATATGTAATGCCATATTCAAATAAAAGCTGGTTTCAAGACCTTTAAAATGGTACCTGGTAGAAGTTTGTACAATTAAAATCAACCGAGATATTCGGTATTATTTTGTCTAATACATTTATTTTTGTGAATGTGAAACTTAAAATAAGTTTCTAGGTGATTGGATATTTTTATTTATTTATTTAAACAACAGTTAGTCATATATATCTTACAAATTTTCAGTTTCATTTAGTATATTTTCAGTATTAATATCAATTTCGTCGTCATCATTTTCATCAATATCCTCTTCAGGAAAATCAGGCTCATAAGTATTCTCACAATTTATTCCCATACATTCTTAAATACATTTACAGGCTATTTTTTCAAGTAAATTTTCAGGTGCAAGAGATTTATTATTAAAAATGGGAACTAGCCCATTTATGGAATTTTTCCAACCCCAATCAAGGGAATTTAAAGAACAACCATTTCACTGTTGCATCTGAAAATATACTCTGAACCCATGATGTTTGAGAGCATCAGTTGTTGAAGGCAATCGAAATAAGGTACATTTTGCACTTGTTGAATACTTTTGAAATAATTTATATCGACAAGTTTTTAGGCTGTCAATTTTTGAACTATACATTATAGTTACAATGCATTCAGATGCAGCAAAAATACATCGAGGTAATTTTTTAAATTTGAAAAATTCTTATTTACAAAATTGAAAATTTTTTTTGCAATTGTAATTTTTAATTAAAAGTACAAAAATAATTAAAAGAATTCGAAATTTTACAAGATAAATATGATTAATTGTTGTTTAAATAAATAAATAATAATATTCAATCACCTAGAAACTTATTTTAACTTTCACATTCACAAAAATAAATTTATTAGACAAAATAATACCGAATATCTCGGTTGATTTTAATTGTACAAACTTCTAACAGGCACCATTTTAAAGGTCTGGAAACCAGCTTTCATTTGATTATGGCATTACATATACCTAAATTAACTCAGAAAAAAGTTATAAGACGAAAATCGTCAAAAAGGACAAAAATTGGCCAAAAATCCAAAAAGTAGGCAACTTTGATCCAATATATCTCGGTTTCTATTAGTCGTAGGTACTTCTATAAAGGCTTATTTTAAAGCTTATTTTAAAGGAAAAAATGGGCATATTTTTGTTAAAAATATTTTTTTTGTCCCCCACCCCTTTAAAAGGTAGCACTTCGCGGTTTTACCATTTTTTAGGGTCAATTGAACATATCAAACAATAAAATTTCTGTTACGTTGTAGTTCCTTTGTACCCTCTTTTTTTGACATAGTCAATAGCCTATTAATAAAAATTGCTTAAATATCAAAGTCTTTTGGAGTCAACGAGACAACATTACGTGTTAGGCCAAAAATTTCTCCAGGGCCAAAACGGCTCATTTCTGACTAGGGGTTTATAAGCAAAAATTTTCTACCACAATGTCCTCTATATCCCCTTCACGTTTGGCAACAACTTTTTGAAACACCCTGTATGTAGTATTACACTGTGATATGTTTTAAAAAATATACTGAAATTATTGAAATGTTAATTTTAAAATGAAAAATTATATTAAAAATGTGATAATTTGTAAAAATGATAATCGAAGTAAATTAGCAATTAAAATGGCAAATAGGAGAAATAATTTATAAAGTTTAGATGCGGACTCTTAATAGACATCCAAATACAGATCAAAAGAGTTCCCACCTCTCAGGAGGGTGCTTCATCCCCTTCTGCTTCAGAACCACCCTGTTATGTGACCTGGTGCCCGTTTTCTAATTTTTCTCAAAAACTGTTACTCTGACGAGGAAAATGAATAGGATCTAAAACATTCAGCATAAAATTCTACATCTTTTGTGTCCTGTACATTTTTTCCTATATTCAGCCCTAATCTCACGTTTGAAATAGGTTAATGCTGGTAAAGATAAGACAAATTCCTTAAAATTAAGATGGCTTTTGAGAAAAATTAATATTGGTGCTTAAAACTAAACAGCGGATTTTGGACTACATAACAAAATATAAGCTTTGCCTAATAGCTTTGCGAAAAATTATTAATATAATCCTTTTAGTTTTTTAATATTTAATGTAAATTGTATCCATAAAAAATATATTTAAACATGTTTAGTATGTATAGCATACAGTTCTCCCGATTTACAGAATTCGGAAGTCCTTCATAACTGTAAAAGAAATATATTATTTGCTCACGCATTCAGTGGATGTGATACATCAGCATTTTTTGGCAAAGGAAAAGCACAAACTGTAAATTTAATAAATACTAGAAGGGACTTAGACGATGATTTACATATTCAGGGTCGGAAAGTCCCCATGGTTCATCAGCCGTTATGTGAGAGCGATAAAGTAAGTCATAGAAATCCGTGCGATAGAGAAAGATGGCTATAATGAAGGCGTCTAATAGTCACCGCCCATTTCGCCCTTCCACAAATAAAATCCACTTCTTATTTGTGGAAGGGCGAAATGGGCGGTGACTATTAGACGCTTTCATTATAGCCATCTCTCTCTATCGCACGGATTTCTATGACTTTCTTTATCGCTCTCACGTAATGGCCGATGAACCATGGAGACTTTCCGACCCTGTATTTAAAAATTCATCATCGATCAAACTAGCCATTGTAAGAGATGGAGAAAAAATTACATTAGTTTTATACAAAGCACCTCGAACTGTGACATCATTAAATCAATTTAGATTCATTTCATTTAACAAATTTGTTGGTCAATTTAATCAAGCAGTGATATTATCAAGACTACCACCTACATGTGCTGCTTTAAAACAACATTCGTATCGCGTTTTTCGACAAATTCAATCATGGCGTGGAGAAAATTTGAAGCCTAATGAATGGGGATGGAAAACAATTAGCCAAAATTTTGGTGCCAATTCCTACAATTGAGATACCAGCTCCTTCAATTAATATCATGCCGTTGTAAAAAGAGTTGCAGAAAACGATGCAGTTGTGCCAAGGTTGGACTGAAGTGTTCAACAATGTGCTCCAAATGTCATGGTCAAGGATGTCTTAATTCAGTGGTAGAGAAAAAATTAACTGAAAATAATTCAGTTAATAAATAAACAGCAGTTGGTTTTTAATGGTTTAGGCCTCCAGGGGAAACCACTTCCAAAAAAAACGCGCCAGGAGCTCTACCTCAGCGGTGGTGTGGAAATGGGCTTGAATATAAATTCAAGTACATAGTAATAAAATTTTCTGTGGTCATGTTTTTTTGCCCTTATAACCAGGTTTGTATAGAAAAATTTGCTTTGCATGCAAAATTTTTCTATGGCCAATGTATTTCAAGATATTTGTCACTTTACCCGTTTTTGCCTAACTTTAGCAACATATCTTAATTTTTCAAACCATATTTGTGAGAGTAGAGTTAACGTTAGAAAAAAGTTTATAGGACATAAATGATGTAGAATTTTATGCCGAAATTTTAGGTCCTTTTTGTTTTCCTCGTCAGAATAGCAGTTTTTGAGAAAAATTAAAAGAACTGGCGTGAGGGCACATTAGAGGGAGGTTTCTGAAGCAATAGAGGATGAAGCACCCTCCGGATAGGTGGGAACTTTATTGATCTGTATTTGCATGTATGTAAGGAATTCGTACACAAATTTTTAAAACTTTATAAATTATTTCTATTAAAAAACTAATTTACTTTGAATATGAATAGGATTGTTATATGCGCTGTGATACAAAGTTTAAATATTTCATTGTTTATAATATGCATTATGCTGTCTAGTATTGAAAGTTTATAAATAAAAACAGATTTCAAAAAACATAGATTTGAAAATTTCCCATTTTATTTTATTATTTTAAATTGAATTATACAAATAAATACAAGTTGAATGTAATCAATCCATTTGCTAATGACTAATTTGTGTATCACAAATTTTATTTAAATTTCCCGCCACCTATCCTCATTCATACTCTATTGCGCTGTTGCCGTTACTCCTTCGCATTCATTACTTAGCGGACAAGTCAGAAATTTTTATGTTTGATAATTAATTTCTCTGTGAAATGTGGTAACCTACTTTTTTTCTTTTTCTCATCTATTAATTAATGATTCAGGTAAATGTAAACTTTTTTCATCCTACTATTTGCATTTTTTCACCCGTAATTCGATTGTAGGGGAATGCATCGTAGTATTTCCTATAAGAACCTATGTTAAATATTCAAATTTTTGGCTTTAATTAAAAACAAAAACAAATAATTCACAGAATTTGATTTGGCATTGAAAAAAAATATCTCAATAATGCGAAATTGGCTGCATTTTTTCGTAACACCTGATCCTCTTTAACACCTTACAACCTTGATAGTTTTTGTCTGATTTAACTCGGCTTTGTTTTCAAAAGATGAAGCTCATTGAGTTTGATTGCCTGTATATACTCTGTAGAAAAATCGATTTTAAATATTTTTTGAGAAACGTTTTAATGAAATTTAATATTATCAATGAAAATACGGCAACCAGTAAAAGGACGTAAAAAAGCAATATTTCATACAATTTGTATAAAATATCTAATATAAATATTGCGTTATTTTTAGATTTATGACGTGTATAAACCATTAGAACGTCCAACTGATGGTGTTATTATTCATGGCCTTTTCATCGACGCAGGTCGATGGGATCTGACACATATGAAATTAGTGGATGCCAAACCAGGTAAATATAAGTGTGATAACTTAAAGCACCCATGTATGTTGTTACAGAATACTCTATGGATAGTTAAGTAATATTTAATTTTTTTTAAATTTTTTGCAGCAAAAATATGACATTTAGCTGAAAATCGAAAATGTATACAGAAACAAATATGTTCTCCTATAAAATGTTATTTTTTTTATGTAACCCGATTACATATTTCAACTACACCGAAAAAAAATATATTTAAAATTCCCATTTCTTTTCAGTGTGACAAAAATACTGAAATTATTTTAAACATCCGACTTTTTCCAGGTGAAGTCAATCCTCCTCTGCCCGCCGTTTGCTTAATACCAAAATCCAAGATGTCAGAATACGATCCAAGGTACGTTGCGCCTTTGTACAAAACTTCGGTCAGGGCAGGCGTACTCTCTACAACGGGACATAGCACTAATTTCGTCCTTCCCGTTTTATTACCAACTGATCAAAGTCAAAGTTATTGGATACTCAAGGGGACTGCCTTATTAACGCAAATTACTGATTGAATTGCATAATTTTATACGTATAAAATGTTCTGTTTTAGTTAATAATTAAGTACTTAACAGTAAGTACCTACCTGTTATGTTTTTATCCATTTTTAGAAAAATATATATATTTAATCTTATAAGCATTGTTTTTAATAAATTTAACATTAAATATCATCTTTTATTTCTAACAATTCTTTTCGTATAAGCTGTTTTTGTCAATTAGGTGATTAGTTCATCGAAAAAACTACAATCCTTTTATACAGGCTGTCTTATAAAAAACGCCCCAAGCTGTAACTCTGTTAATAATTGCTCTATTTAAAAAACAAAAGAGTGTTGTTAATGGCTTGACAAATACTACAATCGAGCACTGATTTTAATTTTATTTGCCATCATCAGAGCGTTAGGCGTTTTCAATTGTTTTCTCTTAAAGTCAAGTTATTATTTTTTTTGGCCTGTTCAATAGAGTATTTTTTTATGCAGTGAACGGTATATTACAACTTGATATTTGTTAAATATTTCATGGAAAAAATATTTTTTTACAAAATTTATTAGAGAAATGCTATATCTAAAGTAACAACAAGAAAGCAAAACAAATAGATACCAGATCAACAACAAAACAAAAATGTAACAATAAAAAACCTTATAAAAAATTTTTATTAAAAATTGTTCGAACTGTCTTCCATCTTGTTGAATACATAGTTGACATCTTTTGGCTACCTGATGATATTAAGTTTGGAGGTATTTCACGGCAAACGTTTATAATCGTCTCTCTTAAAATATCTACATTTTCCGGATGTGTTAAAAATACTTGATCTTTAAGATATCCTCAAAACCAAAAATCTGCGGGGGTGAGGTCAGGAGAACGGGTGGGCCATCGAACAGGACCAGTCATGCCAATCCACCTTTCATTAAAATTAGCATTTAACCAATTAGTGTTTCTTCTAGCATTATTCGGGGGAGCACCATCTTGTTGAAAATAAATCCTATACACTTCTGCAAGCGGTAAGGTATCCAAAAAGTTTGCAAGATTTTCTGACAAGAGTCTATGATATTTGTCTTGAGTTAGAGTTCCATCGATGAAAAATGGTCCAATTAATCGATTACCTAGAATACCGCACCAAACATTGACACTGAATCTCCGTTGGTAATTGGTTTCAACAGTTAGTTATTCTGGGTTAAAAATGCCATTATTACTAAAGGTACACTCATCTGACTATATAATTTTTCTCCAAAATCCTGCGTCTTGTATCATATTTAAATAAAAATGGCAAAATTTCTTCCTTCGGACACGATCGTTATCTTCTAACATTTGCACTTTCTGTGGTATGTATGATTTAAATTTGTGTTTTTTTAAGATTCTGTGTACTGTGTCTTTTGAAGAATTAATGTTGCTTGCAAGTTTGTGGATTTTCCTCAATACTACGTAAGACGTAATTCTACAGGACCATTAAAAATGCGTTGTGAATTTTTAGGCTTTTTAAAAGCACCATACATTTTGAGATTGTCTTCAAGTCTTTTAAATTTTAATCGCTGTTTGGAAACCGATTTGCATACAAACGTTCTGCTTGGGCACTATTTTTATTGCATTGAAAGTATACTTGCAACATATCGGTCAGTTCATTAGTGTTCATATTTTTTAAGTTACAATAATTTCTTTGTTATTAATAACCACTTGACAATACACTGATACGTATTTTGCCTAGGAAATGACGCGTACGTGACATTTAATGCTTCTAAATTTAATTGTTTTCATGGCTAATTTGACATTTTTATCAGAAGTTGCCATGAATTAGACATAGCATTTCTCTAATAAATTTTTAAAAAATATATTTTTTCCATAAAATATTTAACAAATATCAAGTTGTAATATATCGTTGACTGCAGAAAAAAATACTCTATCGAACAGGCCAAAAAAAATAATAACTTGACCTTTAAGAAAAAACAATTGAAAATTGCCTATCGTTCTGATGATGGCAAAAAAAATTTGTCAAGCTATTAACAACAGTCTTTTGTTTTTTTAAATAGAACACTTATTAACAGAGTTACAGCTTGGGGCGTTTTTTATAAGGCAATCTGTATAACAAGGGAAATAAGTAACAATTTTTAATATTTCTTTGTTTTTCCATTTTACATTTTACATTTTTTTTACATATTTTTATGAAAAATGCCTCACGTTCAGCCTCAAGTTTCTGTAGTTCCAGTATATTTTTCAACATACATTACAGTTAAAGGCAAGTCATGTGACTGTATCTTTAACGGATATCAAGCCACAGTAAAACTGATGATAAGACATACATACTTCAACAAATGGTTTATTTTTACAGTAAGTAGAAAATACAGGTAAAAACATTTAAAATATAAATTGTAACAGTAATTAATAACAATGCAAATATAGATACGTACTTACTTGAATAAAATAAAAATTAATTCATCCTAACGAAGAGATCAATGATTTTTGGAGATACAAAATTTCTTCCGGTAAGCTTGACCTATAGAATATCCGCGTCTCCTCGCAATAATTGGTGTAACTGTCCATAAAATTTATTGCAAGAACAACTTCCGGTGGAAGGTCTGTAGCTTTTCCACTACAAATGAAACAATATATAAGATTATATACCTAACCAAGAAATATCAAGTATATTTCACGTGGAGTCTGGAAATAAGGATTTTTCCATAAGCGTGTGACAAATTCTCATGAAGTCATGCAAGCACGAAAAAATCTATTTCTGGACATGTAGAGAACGATATTTTTTATTATACTTCTTTGAAAACGAAAACAAAAATAAAATGTAACATAAAATGACATACGAAAGAAACTTGGCACTTGCAGTTCATCGGACTTAGTTGAATTTAGACCAATCAGCATACTACCAACTCTGTCTAAGGTTTTAGAAAAAAATATATTTGAGCAATTTCAATATGCGTTTTGGGACCATCATAGTACTGAAACAGCTCTTTTAGATGTTACTGACAACATATTTAAATCGAATGATAATAATAATTATAATACATGCTTAATTCTGTTCGATCTAAGTAAAGCATTTGATACCTTAGAACATGATTTACTTATCCAACAACTTAAATACTTTGGTGCTGGTAATGTACCAACCTTATTTTTCAAAAATTATTTATGTGGCAGGCATCAACAAGTAGTATGCTTTGGTCAATACTGATTTCAAAATTATTCGCCAGGGAAGCATTTTAGGTCCTCTTTTATTCTCTATTTATACTGCGGATTTGGATACCTATTTAGAGACTTGTCAGATACATCAATATGCGGATGACACGCAAATTCATTTTATCACAAAGAACTATGTAGTTGTATTAGTTTTTATTTAGTTACGTTAGTTTTTAGTTATATTTTGTTATACTATTGATTTCCAATTACTTATTCTTCTGGTAGTTACGGGAAATGCGAGTAAAATTGAAAGGAGTCACCAGATTGCCTAAATTTTTGTTATAAATAATCCTACTAATAATAGACTAGGCGGTATCTGTTTTGGTTTGGGTGAATCGTATATCCACGGAGATTTTTGTTTTTTTGGCTTTCAAATATCACTAGAAATGAAAATTTTTCTATGCGCATAAAAAAAAACGTGGGCTTAACTGTTGGCGGCACAATATGTTAAAAAAATTCGAAAAATGTCATATTTTTCTTCCTATTTAATTATGTATCTTTTCAAGAGTTGATTTTAGGCGAAAATGGAAGTGGAAAAAAATGTTTGTAATTAAATTTTTTACAAAACATGACTAGTTACAAATCGAATGAATCATGATTATTATGGTAAAAATCGAAAAAATCACAAAAATGGGGTTAAAAAACAATACTTTTTAGGGAATTTTTTTGGTGTATTTAAATTGGGTGTAGGACCTTTATACTTGGCTCAAGAAAACTTCATGTTATGTAGAATCATCACACCAAATTTCATCAAAATCGGTTCGATAGATTTTGCATAATAATTTTGCAATCCAGATTTTGAAAAAAAAATTGCAAATTTTCAAAATTTTGCACAGCAAAAACCAAGGCCCTTAGATACTTGAAAATTTAATCACATATAGAAGGGCTCTCAAGCTTTCAAACTTTTTTTGAAAAATTCGAATCCGTCAATTAGGAGAGCTCTGGCGCTTGTTTAAACATTGGTCGAATTTTTGTACTTATAAACAATTAGAACTTTGTGAATATTCAATCAAATCAAATTTTTTAAAGCAGGTTTTAAAAGTTCTTGGAAAGACGCTTCTTTTTAAAAAAAAACAGATCGATTGGTCAATTAGTTACGTAGTTATAGCCGATCAAAGTTAACCGTCATTTACACTAAATGTACTGGGACATCCGGGCTAATTTTTTGAAAAATACCTTTGGTATTCCGAGTACTTACCAGGTCTAAGATTACAATAGTTTTCTTCATTGGCAACCTACTTTAAAACGTGTTTAAAATTATTTATGCAAGCGAGAAATTCAAGAAAATCGTACGGGTGGTGTTGGTGGGGGAAGGAGGGAGCGCGGCCGCTTCGGCCTGCTCGAAATTGAATCGGCGAGTTCAAAACCGCGATGCGCTTAAAAATTTTTAATATCTCACCTTCTAGAGGTCCGATTTTAATGATTTTTTTTTAATTTTAGCGTATTTTCGAATGCCTATCGTTAATAATTATTGGTCTTTTAACAGTCCGATAATTATTTATCTTTAAACTTCCTTTACTTATCAACTTTATTTTTCTATTGTATCAAAGGTAAGTGCATCAACTTATATACTGTTTATCAAAAATCTGTTGCTTCGATTGTGGACTGTATTTGTTTTTAATGAGATTTATTTACTTGTACATACATAGATTATGACAATATTAATGATTACATTTAACGTGAGTCTCTTGAACTTTGACACATATATTCTGTCACTCAAAAATTTACGCCGTCTTGTTTTTGCTTCGCTTCACTTCCCCACTAGGGTCCATTTCGCACAAGAGCACTAACATACCGCCCGCCTTGCCAATACGGAGTATTGCAACACAAGCATTCTTCATTTAATGTTAATTAAGTCCTTTCTTAGTCCTTTTATTTTTTTTTCTTGGCGTCACTATACTCTGCTTAACAGTCTATTGGTAACACACAAATATTGGAAATAGCACGGGTTAGTTCGCCGGCTGCTACTTTAAGATCAACCACACGTATTACTCCATCCTTGCCTGGTTTTAGTTTGGAAATTCTTCCTAGTTTCCAGCACTGCGTGGGCGCATTTTCATTTTTTATTAATACTAAAGCGCCAACCTTTAGTTTCTCCTGTGCCTGCACTTTCCATTTCACCCTAGTCTGGAGCTGGTTCAGGTACTCTTTACTCCACCTGGTCCAAAAGTGTTGTGTCATAGCTTGGACGTGCTGCCACCTGGACAGTCTATTTTCAGGAACTTCCTTCAGGTTCATTTCAGGCAAACTTGTTAATGCCCTTCCAATCAGAAAGTGGCCGGGAGTTAAGGCTGTCAGGTCATCGGGATCTTGGCTAAGAGGACCGAGGGGCCGGGAATTGAGGATACCTTCTATTTGGCAAATTAAAGTTGTAAATTCCTCAAAATGGAGAGGACTATTTAACAATCTTTTTAAATGGTACTTTGTACTCTTTATCCCTGCTTCCCATATCCCACCAAAATTAGGAGATCTGGCAGGTATGAAATGCCATTTTATTCTCTCATTAGCTAGATAGTTTGATATTATTTCATTATTATGCTTTAAAAAGTTATATAATTTAAGTAATTCATTATTTGTTCCTATAAAATTGAGCCCATTGTCCGAGAAAATGTTATTAGGTTTGCCTCGCCGACTGACAAATCGCTTTAATGTTGCAAGAAATGAGTCCGTGGTCAAATCGGACACCAACTCTAGATGCACAGCTCGTGTTGCCATGCACACAAACAGACAGAGATATGCCTTCACTAGTTTAGCGCCTCTTGTCTTTCTATCTTTTATTTGGAACGGACCCCCATAATCTACACCCACGTTTGTGAACGGAGCAGATCTATTTACACGGACCTCAGGTAAGTCGCCCATTAAGTAATTGCTACATTCCCTCGGCTTGGCCTTGAAACATGTTATACAAGAATTTACAATTTTTTTACAGGAATCTCTGCCCGACAGAGGCCAGTACTTGGAGCGTATGGAGCACAATAAGGCCTGGACTCCGCAGTGTAGCAGACGTTCATGTTCAGCACGTAATATAAGTATTGTTAATGTATTATTTTTAGGTAAAATAATTGGAAATTTTTTATTATACTCTAGGTTACAATGTCTAATTCTACCACCTACTCTCATTAATTTGTCAGCAATAAATGGATTTAAGCTAAGTAGTTTACTTTTTTTATATAAACTTTTCCCGTTTTCTAATTCTCGAAATTCTTGGGAAAAACATTGCCTTTGTACATATTTTATTAAAATATGCAATGAATTTTCCAGTTCTACTGGTGATAAAACCCCAGCACTTCGTTGCTCTTTATTTTTTACCTTTATATTTGCTATGAATCGTAACACTAATGCAAAAACTCTTTGTAATTTTATTAAACTAGAATATTTGTGTAGTAGATAACTTATTAATTCGTTATTCTCTGGTATAGCAATCAAACTAACTGTTTTTTCATCAGGTATCTGTACACTACTGGTATTTATTTCATTTACCGTCCAATTACTATTGTCAATCTTAAACCAGGTGGGACCGAACCACCATAACTCAGAATTCTTTAATACCTCAGTGGACGTTCCACGTGATAGTAAATCCGCTGGATTTTCCCCCGAACTCACATGATACCACTGCTTTCCATTTGTTAGTGTCTGAATTTCACTTACTCTGTTTGCAACAAATGTTTTCCATCTGTGCGGTGACTCTTTTATCCAGGCCAATGTTATCATGGAATCCGTCCAATAATAACACTGGTCAACCTTTAAATTAATTGATTCGATCACTTTCTTTGCTAAATTGGCCAGCAAAAGTGCGCCACATAGTTCTAATCTTGGTAACGTTACCCTTTTTATTGGTGCTACTCTTGATTTGGCACATAATAAATTTGATTCTATTTTATTATTAGATACAAAAACACATCGAACATATATACATGCCCCATAAGCCACTTCAGATGCATCGCAGAACCCATGTAGTTCTATTCGTTTACTGTTGGAGATGACAGCTTGTCTAGGAATTTCTAAACTGATTAATTCTTTTAAGTCATTTTTAAAATGCCGCCACTTAATTTCTACACGCTCAGGCAACTTCTGATCCCAATCTAATTTTTCCCTCCACAACTCTTGCATGATCAACTTGGCGTTTATTATTATAGGACCCAATAAACCTAACGGATCAAATAATTGAGATGTGGTCGATAATACATATCTTTTCGTACATTTAACTTGATTGATTTCATTATTTATTTTATATTGCATTACGTCCTTATTTGCGTTCCAGTATACACCTAAAGTTTTATTACTTTCTTGTTCTCCAATTTGTAATACACTAACATCTAACTCTTTATTTATTTTAAATTTATTTAACAACTCCCCTTTATTACAAAGCCATTTTCTTAACTCAAACCCTCCGGTGGCTAGAATTGT